GGTAGCCCTGTCGAAGAGTCCGCTCGATCTTCGCTGGCACAGTCGAAATCTTCCGCCGAATCTAATGGACTTGGTCGGCCAGACTCCAATGGTATCGCTCGGTCTAACAGCAAAACAGCCAGTGGCAGGGCACGCTCTAGTTTGGGGCTCAGTCCTCTATTCCACACAGAAGATGCCTACAAGCTTCTACCACGGACTTCGTTGACCGATGTTAACACTGACTTGCGCCTCATGCTGACCAACCTGGTTAACCACGCACCAAGTAGGCGCAGAGGCGGAGTACGAAAACAACCTCATGCCTATGTCATCAAATGGGTCGACTACACCAACCGTTATGGTATTGGATATGTCCTAGATGATGGCAGTGTTGGATGTGTTTTTAAGGGAGAAAATGGGCAGCCGGCAACGAGTGTTGTGATCCGAGATGGCGAGAGACACATCCGCCGAAAAGCGCGTAGCGTTGTGGATGGCAAACAACAACCGATTTACTACTCCGAGGCTGATCAGTTAGTTCCTCGCACTGGAAACCCGGTCGAGTTCTATGAGAACCGTGACGATGACTTGTTAGGATGCCGCGGTATTCGACGAGCATTAATCCCGCCCTCACTCTTCGATGTTAAAAGCTCGAAGGCAATGAGAGTCCGCTCCAGCACAGGAACCGAGGTCGAACGAGCTGATGCAGAGAAAATCAAGCGAATGAAGCTTGTGGATCAGTTCGGTAAATACATGATCGGAGCCCTAGGTCGACATGGTGACGAAGGCATCATGGACGAAGACCTGCCCGAACACAATAGTGCACAGTTTGTCAAGTTCTACCAGCGCTTGGGTAATGTTGGCATCTGGGGTTTCGGAGACGGAGCCTTCCAGTTCAACTTCCCCGACCACACAAAGCTAGTGATCTCGCCCGGTCGCACCCGCAGCTCATCCCCCTGGATCGATTTCTACCACCTCTCGTCCTCCGCCGCTCGATTCTTCGCCGCAAAAGGCAAGATGCACCCTGCGGGATTCGACACTCGTGCCGTAGCCTCCGACGAGGCCGCCACGTTCCTCAGCATCGCGAACGGAGATTCCATCAATTCGACCGAAGACCGTATCCGGGACATCCTCGATGCAAACGCCTTTATCCAGAAAATCGCTTTCATTAAAGATACCCTCAGAGTTTGGATAAAGTTTGGGCGGCTTGGAGGTCGTCCACCCTCGATCGAATCTGCTTCTGCTGATGAATCGCTGCCGGACGAAGCGTTCTGGCAAGGAACGCAGGAGCGCTCGCAGCCCAATAGCCCCGGAACCAAGTTTGTCTGGGTGACTGTTGGAGCACCGGATGGAGATGGTCACTATCGGTCCATGATGCTTAAAGATAGTGACCGGGAGCCAAATCGCGCTCCAGCTGGGATGGAATATGACAAAGAAATGGATCGACTCAAAGACCGGCTACGTGCACTTGGTCGTTGATAGAATCTGCCTTTTCACCTTCTGCTATTTATCATGTCCACTTTATGATGTCACGACCTTTTGTTTTTGTTTCTGGTGTAATGCTTCATGTTTATTCTCGTGGCACGAGATCACGAATTTTCAAATCAAACACCCCAAGTTGTCAATAATCCTTGCTTAACACCGTTTTTATTTCTTTCAGCCACTTGCAGCAATGTACATGCCATGCACTGTCCTGTCGCACTGTTCCATGTGGTGACCCTCGACCTTGCCAGCCCGTATGCTTAAACCCCCGTCCTATACTCGGGACCATGCGTATCGTACTGCTTCTTCACTACCCCTTGGTCGAATGTCCTCCGACGCTCCATTCTCCTCCTACGGCCTGATAACATCCCTGCGCTTATGCGGGGTGGTAATACCTATAGCCATTGTAAAAGAGTTCCTGAACTAGCGTGCAAACAACAACTGACTTACATAACAGTATCTTTGGTAGTTTGACAGACTTCCTTGCTGGGCCTGGGAATTTTAAGTTAGCATTTGAGATCGCGATGTCGGGGAAGGTTGATTTGAAACCCCTCATCACCAAGATCGTGCCTTGTAAGGATGCTGTCAAGGGCTGGGAGACTACGAAGAGAGGTGAAGGGATTAAGACTTTGATCAAGAGAATGGTCTGCTGATATGAATTAAGACTTCTATTATTAACATCAGTAAATGTCGTTACTTTGTACATTATAGACCTCCATCAACCATGTCAAGAAAGAACATCCACTACCACGCCCAAGGTCGAGGCTCCGCGACAACTCTCTGGTCTGCCCGCATCTCTACGTCCTTCAAACTGTTAATCGACTCAGCATCATCCCGAAGACCTTGGTTTGTCTCCAATGCACGGTCAAGGTCATAATGTTCAGTCAAGAAGCTGATCACCATCGCCACAGCAGACACACCACAGCAGACTATCCACACCGTGCGCAAACTGTCCGTGTACGCTTCCTTGAGATTCGCTTTGTCGGCACCCTCGGCCATCGCCTTGATGACTTGGACCAAACCCGCGGCATCCTTGCTGTACGCCTCAGCCATAGGAGCCAAAGCAGAATACCTCGAGATATTGGTGAACATGCGGTTCTGGAAGACAACACCACCGACAGCGACGCCAATGGCTTGGCCAAGAGCACGGAAGAAACTAAACATTGCAACTGCAATAGCAAGGTTCTCAGGCTCTGCCGAAGCCTGCACTGCATACCCAAGAGATGGGAAAAGGATACCCAATCCAATACCGGGCACAATGTTGAGGAATATCCAACCGACCATGCTTGTATCCACCTTGATCAGACACATCAAGCCCAGTCCGACAGTTGAAAAGGCCCATCCGATCCAGATAGCCCATCGGTAACTGCCCGTTACCGTGATCAAGATACCAGCTACCATCCCACTCGGAGCCACAGTGAATGTTTCGGGGAATAGAGCAATACCCGAGATAATAGGGCTATACTCCTTCACTGCCTCATAGTAGAGAGGGAGGTAATAGAGAGCACACCATAGGACCAAACCCTGCAAAACACTCCCGATGAACGAAGCTACTGCTGTGCGGTTCTTGAATATCATAGGCGGGACGATCGGATCGGTAGCAAAGTATGTCTCGTAGAATCCGAAAACAATCAGCCCGACTCCTCCTACACAAAGAGGTACAAGTGTGTGCCACGAGCTCCAGTCGTATGAGATACCACCCCAGCTGAGGGGGATCAAGAAGGACGACATACTTCCGACGAACAGGACAGTACCGAAGTAATCGATCCGACGGAGCTTCTCGACTAATGAACTGGGTGCGAGCTTGAGGTTCAGAAATAGGATCACGAGAATTCCGCCGAGTCCGATAAATGGGAAGTTGATATAGAAGATCCATCTCTGGTCATAGTTAGCATGGATACCTGTGTGTTCGCCAGAGACCAACTTACCCAAGACACATTTTCGGAGAATCCACCACCAAGAATAGGCCCCGTCACGGATCCAAGACTCCACATTGCACTGAGGATACCGAAGTATTGACCACGCCATCGTAGAGGGACGAGATCAGTTATGATGACTTCGCTTAGGGATATAAGTCCACCTCCGCCGACACCTTGAATTGATCGACCAACCAACATGTAGGTAAAGTTATTGGCGATTGCTGATATTATAGCGCCAACACAGAAGAATATGAGGGAGATAATGATCATAGGTCGACGGCCGAAGATATTCGAGAAAGAAGCGAAGCTTGGTTGGAATACTATGACAATATTAAATGGATTGATCGTATCGTTGTGGAAGTATAATGCCACATACCTGTTGAGCATAGCAGGAACGAAGTTCCACTCCAGAATGCTTCGATGGCCGTTCCATTTAGTTCTTTTGCAATTTCCTGGGCCTGGTAAGTTTCAAGACACAAAATCTTCTTGCTGAAGCACTCACAGGTAAAGCAACAGATAGTGAGGTGCCGTCCAAAGCGGCCATCAAGGTGAGAACAGACAAAGTAAAGAAAACCAGGATTCCCCTTCGACCCAAAGCGAATTTCTCCTCGTCAACCTTCTTTTTCCGCTTGATCACTGTAGATGCTCTGCTCATATTATCGTCGTGTTCGGACCTCCCAGGTCTATAGAATGGAAAATCTGCGTCCGCCATGGCGAAGATCAAACGATGGCGATGACAATCTTGCAGTTAGGAGATGAGTGGAATGTTAATAATTAGGGTCACTAGCTGTAAAGTACCTGCCAGAGAAGAAAAGAAAAAGAAATTGCAATGGGGATTTGCATTGTAGATAGATAAAGCATCTGGTATAAACACATGTTCACTCCACGCGGAATTGACAACATCCTAAAGTTTAAAATAGGACGAAATATTCGACCGTCGTGATCCAAAGTTCCCGACTCCGCTGGCTATGACCTCAATTTTCGTGTTGTACGTGGGGAATTAATCTCAAGGATCTCAACGATAATACTAGTTGGTGTTTGAATATGGCCTCATCAGCCTAGTTGGCTTGCCAAGAGTCGGCACAATTCATCTCCGTCTCCGTCTTACCAGTCGGGGCCGGGTAGTTACATGAATTTCGCGATTATGGATCATTTTTTTTGAGTTCGATTCTCATTCTGCTTTTGCTATTATACAGCTCTCTAGTCGGGATTTTGATGGCCTAGGATGATTTGGTAGGATCTTAATCGCAGATGTCCCTGCGTCGGTCGACTTAATTCAAGACTGAGATGCATTGATGCACCTTACGATATCATGAGCCTGAACTTTGAATACGGTGAGACTCGAGGGTCCAAGCCACCAGTCCCACAATATTGCCTTTACATTTGTACCACGCTAACGGGCCATAATGCTTGGTTGTCGCAAGGGTTGAAATATGTCTCGATTCTGAAGATTTGGCATCTAGCCAGATCAAAATGACACTGGTCAGTATTTAAATAGCTAGACCTCGCATCAAATTCCCTATTCTCTGCTGATCGCAAGTATAAGACCCAGCGAAATGTCTCGGGGCCACCCCGCATTTTCTGAGACCAAAAAGAGACATTTGAAACGTCTACTCACCACATATACTAGGCATCTTGCAGTTTCTGCCACTCAACGCGAACAATCTCCGGTAGTTCATCCACCAGGCTGGGACGTGATGGATTCCATCCCAAGATTTCGCGTGCCCGCTGCGAGCGACCACGAGAGTTCATCCCCCAACTGAGAGATTCATATCCTGCATGCTCCTTGGCGCTCTTGGGGTCGAGTGCCTCGGTCTTTGCCTCAGGCAGGTACCCCAGTTTCGTGGCTGCATCTGCTGTAGCTTGAGCTAGCTCACCCCAGCAGTGTTCCCCATTCTCGGTAAGGTAGTAGGCCCTATGACCCCAGAGCCCATCATCAGTTCGGCCTGCAATCGCCGCTTCAATGAGTAGAACATAGACGTCACTCAGATCCTGGACGTGGACGTGATTCGAAATTGACTGGCCGGCGCCGATTATCGGGCCCTTCTGACGACGAAGCGTCATATTCGCCAATACGTATACCTGGCGCGAATGTTGGTTAACTGGACCTCGTCCTTTGCCTGCTGGAGATTTAGTAAATTATTTCTCTTTTGTGGATAGTGGTAAATGCGTACCGTAGATTGTAGGTGGACAAACGAGTGCTGTCTTGAGCACATCGGCATGCTGGGTTCCAGCCCCGAGGACGAGCTGGTCAACATTCCGATGGAACGCGTGATCTGGTAGATTGAGTAATTCATCCACTCCATCCCAGTCATTGTACACATGCTCGCTCTTATTTCCGTATTCGTCCTTGTCGCTGTCTTCCCATGTCAGGATGCCAGTTCCTCCGGTGTGTAGCAAGTAACCTGGGTTTTCCTTGGTGTGGCCAGCTACTAGACCGGCAATGATGGCTTTTGCAGCGCCCACATGGTCCGATGCATCTGCAGTGTCTGTTTTGCAGGGGTAAGCATGGCCCGGATAGCATCGTGTATGAATTAGTATGGAGTGAGATACTTACGCAGTACGATATCTGCGGCGGCACTTTCTCGCTCCAGCAAGGCTGAATCGTCCAGGTCTCCGATTACGATGCGGACAAATGGGTACTTGTCCTTCACCTGTTTGGCCTTTTCGGATGTGCGAATAAGGGCTGAATATGAGAACTCTGGGTGGTTGGCAACAAGCGTCGCTAATGTGTCGCCGCCGATGTAGCCCGTGACACCGGTGCTGAGGCACTGTTAGAGTTGAGTTTACCAGATCAAGATCTGAGCCTCACATGAATAATTTGGTCATTTTCGTATATTCAAGGGGATAAAAGTGGGAGGGTCAACGTCACAGGTTCCCCGCAATGTTCAATACTTTTAACGGAACGCACAAAATATCGCTGACTCAAGCAAGTCTAGAAATAAAGATTTTTGATGTTTCAGATATTAAACTTCTAATTGGAAAAGGGGAATACCTTTTGATATATCTATCTTATATTCTAACCCCGCAATTCTGGGGTGCCTAGGTGCCTAATGTTAGATTTATAAGCATGCAGCCGGGCAGCCGAAGATACACAGCATCTTTGCTATGGAAAATAATAACAAGCTTTCGTCGGCTGGTCCCTAATATATCGTGGAGGAATTGCTGTTCTTTGCTCCATCGCTCAGGGGAATGCACATTCCGAGACGAGCTTTCTCACTTCTGGGAATATATATGTGCCACCGCTGTATGGGGGGCTTAGGGTCCTACTTACTTTATGAGACAGACACCTCACGTAAACGTGGATATCACCCTTTGTGAAAGTGTTTGATATTACCATTCTGCTTCTCATATAATATCGGTCATTTGTTTCTGTTAGGAAACTATGTAGTCACTATATTCGTGCTTTGAATAGGCTAGGAAGAGTTTACCAAGAATAAAAACAGAAACACTAGACATATTAATGAAAGTACAGCTTAGAGACTTATATGAAGATAATTCAAAAAAAAATATGATTGAAATGTCGCTGGGCTTTCTAGATAATTGAATCTAGAAGACACACATCAAAATTGAAATTGTAGACCTCTACAAGGAAGAATAAATATATATTAGAGATCACCTTGCAAATATCCCATGACCCAGAGGTTTCTTAAAGTAAATACAAAAAGCCTCGGCCTCAATGGGAACGTGGGGGGATATTGCCTGCAGCATATTTGAAGTGCTATATCTAGGGTTGACATCACTGGTTTTCCGTCGGAAAATATTGCATCTTCGAATAATTATACAACTTGGTTTGTAAAAGATGTTCTTGCTGGGAGGTCACTGCAGAGAGGGGTGCAGATAAATAATTACTTGCCGAATATTCGTACGAATAGGAATACCTACCCCTCGCCACTCGTATGATATCTGTCCGAACCTTCCAAGGTTGGAATAAAGTTGGGATACGACAATAGCCCTGGGGACATTAATGGTTCGGCCAACAATCTACCGAATTTAATGCGGGGAAGGCCGATCAAAACACGAACAGGGATTCCAGCATGTAAATGGAACAATATACGAATACGAAGGATATCGCCAACCGTGGCCCTGTCGGTTGCTACAACATACTCGAAGTAATGCCTGATCTCCAGCGAAGGAAGTCTTATAAAGCTTGCTACGCCGTCTCTATTTTCTACTGATAAAGGCTAAGCATAATGGCTATGACACTCTTCCAGTATTTTGCTGTGGTAGCAGCCCTGACTTTTGTTTCAACCGCCACAACCCCAAACAACAACGATGGAACGTTCACAAACCCTTCTGCTCAAGTCCGACCATTCTTCCGGTACTGGTTACCAGATGCCGGGGTTGATCCGGCAGTTGTAGCCTCTGATATCCGCTCCGCTGCAGAGGTTGGTGCTGGAGGCATCGAGTTCCTCGCTTACTACGGATACGGAGGTGAGATTGGAGGAACACCGCCCGGCTCCGACTGGGTGACATATGGGTTCGGCAGTGCATCGTTCCAGCATATATTGCAGGTGGCGTTGGAAGCTGCTAAGGAGAATAGCATGCTTGTGGATATTGCGCTAGGGCCGAACCAAGGACAAGGGGTGCCTGCGTCTTCAGATGATGAAGGGATTCAATGGGATTTGGTGAGTGTAGTTCAACCTAGTCCTTGCTGCTTTTGATCTGCTAATTGTGTTTCTACTAGGTGCCATTCGTCCAGAGAGTGTCAGTTAATCAGACGACTGAGCGTATCCCAGGATGGGGTGAAGGGCAACTAGTTGCCTGTGTCGTTGCATCAGCAGACAGGAAGACAAATGTGTCTATGGTTGGTGGACCTGGTTCCTTAAGTGCCACGCCGTCGCAGGACTCATACATCAGGCTGGTCCTAGACGAGAGATCCCTACAAGACATGACACAAAATGTGTCGTCAGACGGAATCCTAACAATACCGTCACGGCTGTCGTCACACGAGCTATATTTATTCTCCTTCTATCAGAAGAGAACCCTGCATAAAGCGCTCGAGGTGAAGTCTAATCGAACGGATACGATCCTAGCCAATGGCTCGTTTGTGGTGGATCATTTCAGCAAGGAGGGAGCTAGGACAGTGATCAATTACTGGAATGATCACATCTTCACAGAGGACATACGACAACTCCTAGTGGATGTGGGAAACTACGGTACGCTTAGAAGATAGGTAAAACGAAGAAAGTCTGCTGACCATAACCTTTCTAGGCTGGGAGGACAGCATGGAATTCCAGTCCAACATTTCATGGACACCGAAGCTGCCTGATGCGTTCTACCATAAGTTTGGATATAACCTCGGGAAATTTCTGCCGCTCGTCATGTTCGGCCAGAACAATATAATGGCTCAACCTGGTAACCCCGGGTTGGTAAAAGCCATCTTTAAGAACAGCGAGACTACCAACAAATATATCAATGACTATCGCTCCGCCCTGGCAGATGGGTATGGTAGTTACTTGACCACGTTGCGAGAATGGCTGAATCAGGACCTTGGACTCCAATACTCAACCCAGGTCTCGTATAACCTGCCTCTAGACGCATTGACGAACATACCATTGGTAGATGCCCCCGAGTGCGAGAGCCTACAGTGGAAAAGCAACATCGACGGGTACCGGCAGTTTGCAGGTGCTGCATATCTAGCCGGGAAGAAGGTCGTCTCGAACGAGATGGGGGCCGTCCAGTCCCGCGCATATTCCCTGACAATACCAGAGCTGCTGCAAAGCGTGAACAAGGCTTTTGCTGGGGGTGTTAATAGGGTTGTTCTGCATGGCCAGCCGTACAGTGGGGACTATTACGGTACTACCTGGCCGGGGAGCACGCCATTTCAATACGTATTCGCCGACATGTATTCCCCGAAGCAGCCTTCGTGGATGCATGGGTTCAATGAGGCCATGGGCTATATTTCCAGAGCTCAGTTTATACTGCAGCAGGGGATTCCTAAATTTGACGTGGCTTTTATCAACAAAGATTCCGCCACTGACCCCAATTGGGCTACAAAATACGGCCGGGATGACCTTCTTGATGCTGGTAGGCAGTACTTGCAACTATATACCACACCTTCACTGACCAATATTCCTCCAGGTTATATATACACATATCTTTCCCCCGATAATCTCGAACTCCCCGAGGCCTCTGTCCACGATGGCGTGTTCGCTTCGCAGGGTCCCGGCATTAAAACAATCATTGTCACGCAAGATGCGAACATCACTGTCTCCGCTATCCATAGGCTGAAGGACTACGCGGCGAAGGGATTACCTGTAATTCTTTCCGGTGGTAGCGCACAGTATTACCCAACCTCCAGTGATGGGGGAGTCGAGGCGTTCAGGGCAGGCCTTCAAGAACTGGCCGATTTAAGGGTTGTCCGAACCATAAGAAGCGCCGATATCGCGAAAACTCTTGCGTCGCATGGTATCTCTCCTCGTATCAGAGTCCAGACAAATGGTACCTGGCATACGACTTGGCGTGAGGAAAAGGAATTTCAAGTGGACTATGCCTTTATTTTCTGTGATGGAGGTGGTGCTCAAGGCAAAATCAGAGTCACAACTGATAAGTTTCCTTATCTTCTCAACGCCTGGACTGGAGAACGCCAACCACTGGTACAGTACAAGCGTAGGGCTGGTGATGTTGTCATTCCCCTGACACTAAAAGCCAACCAAACCACTATACTGGCATTCAGCGCCCAACCCTGGGATGATATTTACACACCCTCTATTCACATCGAGGCTGCTCCCAGCTCGGTCCTTGGTTACCACGTTGACCACAAAGGTGGAGTCGTTGCCCAACTGGCTCACACTATCAATGAGACTGCTCACGAGTTTTTGCTGTCCGACAACTCCACTAGAACCGTTCCGAGCACATCGGCTGTCCAATGCCCATTCCAAATTCGAAATTGGACACTCACCGCAGAGCGCTGGGAAGCCCCCGAAAACATGCAAAATGCCTCTACAATAGCATCAATCCGTAACACAACGCACCATATCCCCTCTCTACTTTCTTGGACTGAGATTCCCGACCTCGTCAATGCTTCCGGGATTGGGTATTACAGTTCCCAATTCGCATGGCACCACGACTATCAGAACCAAATTGGAGCTTACATTACGTTCTCTCGTATCCTCCACGCAGTCCAAGTCTTCGTAAATGGAGAAAAGATTGCACCTATCGACCCAACTGCAGGAACTGCGGATATCGGAGCATATCTGCGGGACGGGGAGAATGAGTTGCTGGTTGTCGTTCCAACTACGATGTGGAATTATCTAAGGAGTATCTTCCCGAAGATCACTGAGTCAGGTGCGCCTCCTTTGTTGAGTCGCTTAGCTGCCCTGATAGGATTGCCTGATATTGTTCCTAATGGATTAGTGGGTGAAGTCTCTATTACGCCGTACCTTGGGTTTGCACTTGGTATATAGCCAATTATTGTTACAGAATCATGACGAACAGTCCTTGGTCATATTCTATATTTAAAAAGAGCAGAGCCTAAACTATAACATCAGATGTAGTTTAGGATTGTAGATACGATCAAGCCAGAAGACGTAGGAAGACTCGTATATTCGGGTATACTTCGGAGCTCGGAGGCCATTCAGGCACTTTTGTCTTGTGCACCGACTGCCTCCGCCCAGAAAAACTCAAAGTATGATATCACAATCAAATGGTGTAAGGCATATTCCAGTTACTCAGATTATCACCCTGGAAGTTTCCAATCGATCAGATAGGCAATGCATACGAATACGGGTAGATCTTGCATATCTTGGATACCATTGGCTGCTAAAATAAGCTAAACGGCTCAGCCCCACATCGGAGTGTGTCTATTTGGCTCACATTATGTATTGCATTGGGGCCTTGTTAGACTTGACTTGAATGCATGAAGGATTTTTTTTTTTTGCGTGGCAAATATGTGGAATGTTATTGTAGATCGTCTACCTAGGCTGATATTTAATCAAGTACCCCCCTTGTGAAGTTCATTCATTGATTCCTTCGATTTTAAAATTCGAAACATGATGGATGAGAGATTGATAACAAACGTTGATTCGATGGAAATCGACGGTACTAGCATTGCTAAATCGTCAACATCTGATAAACAAGTCCGCAATTTGATCACAACGTTAAGGATGTTCATCACTAATGCCTATCGCAGACGACTTTCTCCCACAATACGGTCGAAACTATTCCTAAAGGCACATGGCAAGAAAAATTCCACGCCTTCTTTCGGTGGATGTGTACACCACTGGGGGCTTGTATCACAGTTTACGGTCTGAATGTGGTCGCATGGGGCGGGATGCTCTTCCTCTTGATGTGCAACGCAGCGCCTGCAATGTGTCATCCAAGTTGCGATAGCCTTGACTCATCACGACGAATTTGGATTGAGATCGATTCCCAAATTTTAAACGCCCTATTCTGTGTCACCGGGTTTGGGCTAGCCCCGTGGCGTATCCGTGACCTTTACCAATGGACTTTCTGGCGTCTGGGCTGGTCGGAAGGGAGCCGACGGAAAGGGCTCGATCGCCTGGCTCAGATTCATAAGAACTGGTTCTTGAAATCTCAACAGCCGAGTGTGCTTCCTATCAAAGCTCCATCGCATGATCCAGAGACTGAACAGACAACACCTACCCCGTTGTGGAAAATGGATATCGTGGTCTGGGGTAACATCCTCAATACAGTCTTTCAGATCTGCTTGGCTGTTTGCATGTGGGCATGGAATCGTTTTGAACGGCCAAGTTGGACAACTGGTCTCTTTGTTGGTCTTGCTTGTGTTGTTGCTGGAGTTCCTGGGATTCTGATGTGGCTAGAGAAGAAACGCCTCAAAAAGGCTAGCGAGCACCCCGGTGCCCTTCTTTTGATCCCTCGTGCTACACAACCAATACTATCAGGTGGGGTGGGTGGCGAGTATACTTCTGTAAAGCTGGAATCATGAGTGGGCATACTGTGACTAGTAGAATGCTGAGAATATTCTCTGAGTGTCGTTAGGGTTTTGTTTTCCGGTTGATCAAGTGTTGTTGCTTTGATAATTCCAATGAATATATCTTTCAATCATAACTATTCAGTAAGTCCCTTCCAAAAAGCCAGGTGTCCGCAGTTTTTTACATAGTGGCTGTGCTAGGTGGAGCATGGTAGTCATTATATCTAATTCGACTGCGCCTGAAACCATGCACGTGTATAATTTTATGATTGTATTAGCTCAAAGGACCATGGTGCGCTCAAAAACGAGGTTGCCGCAAAATCCAGAAACTAAGTCTCTCTATGTATCTGACGACTGTAAAAATCTATCAAATGACAACAGAATCTCTCGCCGCTCTTCATCGGTCATCTGCATCCTGTTTGTTTCGTAATATCCACTCTTTAACCGTGCACTCACAATAGTCTTGCGACCTTGTGAACGAAAGGCCGCCTCAATACTTTTCGTAATACCTTGGAAAGGATATGCCACCAGCCCAATTCCCGCTAATCGTATGTCCAAGTTAGCTCTGTTTCGTGTCATGGATTGAGAGTATTGCTTACCAGAGGGGACCTTCGTTGCAAGCCCAATAGTGCCCTTAGCAAATCCCTTAACCGCACCCAAAGCACCTTCCTCTTTTGCGCCATTGACAGGTTGTGTAAAGAGACCGGTGAAACCATCAGTCATGCCGTCCACAAAATTCCTTCCGCCAACGATAGCTCCGGAATTCCAATCCTGAATTGCGCCGTAATCCTTGGGCTTCTCCCCATACAACCGAGGAACCTGTCGGAATCCTTCTGCCGCGGCATGTGGAATGTCGACGACCACCCCTTTGAAGTACGATCCGGTGAATTTACCGAAGCCTTTCATTGTTGCGCCTACCATGCTGCCTGCGACGGATAGTCCATTTCTGCGTTCATCAAGTTCAGTTTCAGATCCAGGACCAACGGATGGGGCCCGAGAATTCTGCTTTCCCTCATCGCCAGCAGATAGTCTTGTTGATGAGGGTTCCCGTGAAAGTGGGCTGCCAGGGAGCACCGGGGCTTGCAAGGCTCTTGCTGATGGGTTTGGAGAACGACCGCGTTTATATTCTTTGTATGGGTTGTAAATCATATCAGCGGTCGAGCCCAGCATACTTGACCCGGTTGTGGTGGCTGCAGCAAAAATCCCGGTTATGGGATCCCAGCGGCGATGTTCGATAATGATTGGATTGACAAGATGACTGATGGAGCATGAAAGGCATTGGTTAGTAAGTTCACATACTAACTGGAGTCCAGGTACGTACAACTGAAGACGTTTTTCGTCTATCCTTTGATATTCAATTAAGATCTGCACGGCTGCGTTTGACAGGGTCACGTTATTTTTGCCTTTTTTGTATTTCCAGACTGCAACTTGAAGAGGCATCAGATTGCACTTCATCTTGTCCAGGGGAAGATTTCGATGGAAAGATTCCACAGCTGCGGTTACGCCTGATTCAGTTTGCATTTTGACGGCCAGCTTACGTGCGGCTTCTGTTGCCTCTGGGGTAAGGCAGAATTGGATAGCAGCCGTCAGGTTCTGAAAGTTGAGAAATGCAAATGGAATAGGTTTAGGTCCAGCACCAGCCCTAGCAACCATGTTGCCCCAAAAAGGTTGACTAGGAGAGTCAGTACTGACAGAATTTGGTAGGTCAAAGATGGGTGACTTTGAAGAATTGGTAACTCACTCGCCGAAGAAAGGCACGATGGCAGTCGGTCGGCCATTTCTGAGACCACACGATGTAGTCCCAGCGCCTCCGTGGTGAACTACTGCAGCAACATGCTGAAATAGCCACTCATGTGGACAGTCGTCAATATAGTAGATATTCGGGTTTGCACTTCCAACTAGCCCACTCCAACCCTTTGAAATGATCGCACGCACACCTGCCCTTACCACCGCTTGGACAACAGTGTCTATTAGCTTTTGAGGGTTATCAACCACAATACTACCGAAGCCAATATAGACAGGAGGTGGTCCTTCCTGTAGGAACTCCCTCAGCTCCGAGGGTGGGGAGTACGATGGGGGGTCTCTGAAGAAAAACCCACAGACATCTAAATCATTTAGTTTTCATCATTGCAACAGGAAATCAAAATGCTGACTTACCAATATGAGGTGGCCAATCCTGTGGTTTTGGCACAAGGGCAGGGGACCAACAATATGTGTAAGGTATTTTCAATGCTTCGGCAAGGCCAGGCCCTTCTGTTGCGGGAATAGGCTCCAGATCTATTGAGACCCGCCATCGATTGATCACATCTCCTAGCCTGAAATTTCATGTCAGTCGCTTAACCCATGTCGCTCCATGTGTAAGCTTACCCTTGCCATGTTAACCACTCAACAACTCCATAAGAAACCCAATTTGCAGTCCTTGGATCCATAGAAGAGGAATTTAGATTGGCGAGAGGATGTGGAAACGCCTTGGTACTGCTCCAGGGCATCGTAAACATCAGATGGACTGGAATGCTTAGAGCCTGTGCACAATGAACGTGGGCAAAGCTGGGAGGATTGGCAATTATGGCGTCTGCAACAAATGGCTGCTTGGTAATTGGATCGTCTTGAATGCAGGATCTCCAGCACCCATCCAGCATTGTCGCTACCATAGCCTGTTTTCTTTGCACCTCCCCTTCGCGCAGTGTCTTCATTTGTGGTATCAATCCGGGATTCTTGACCATGAATGCCATTAATTCTGCAGGATCCCCGCCGATGGAGTAGAACTCCAATCCTGACTCAAGTACGAAATCTGCAAATACATCGTGTGTGGCAATTCGGACCCGATGACCATGCTTTTGTAATGCATTTCCAAGGGCGATGAAAGGTTGCACGTCTCCACGACTGCCCACAATTTGAATGACAATGTTGAGCTTGAATTCACATGACGTCACTTGCTTGCTAAGGTTGATATAGTCGGGAGGTGGATTGTGGATGTCTTCTTGCTGCAAGTCGATGATTTTGGCGAGGGTCCTCGCAATTCTCGATTCGAGGTTCACGTTAATTCTGCCATCCCCTATAGTAAGTGTTAGAATGAGAAATAATCATCAACCTGGCTCGACATACCCTGCACGTTTCCTGATTCTGCTACGAGTCCACCATCGGCAACCAACGAATATGGAGGAGGGGCGGACTCTTCCGCTTGGTCTTTCCCAGGCCCAGTAGTTTTAGAGGATCCCATTTTCGAAGAGGATCCCATTTTCGAAGTTGATGAAAAAGGTTGAGATCAAGAATCTGGGAAAGTTGAACTACTCATGGCAAATAAATGGTAAGCTAGGCTCGTAATCGTACGCTTCTGCAGATGGGGATTAGTGGATTCCAATTAAGGGTTCAATATTGGGCCCGTGCGTCGCCGCTAGCTCCATTTTGAGATCCACCCACCGATTTTAAATTTTCTGATCTTCGGTAGCTTCCAGGCAGCAAAGTCTAAAAAAAAATAGACTGTTTGTGGCGAAGTGATGTTTCTCTAGTGATATTTCGCGCTATTCATGTGAACCATTGATAAAACTACTAGCTAGAGCGGCAGCCCTGGAGGATACCTAAATCCTCTCCTTTCTTCCATTTCGAGCACTAATCATATTTAGAATGATACTAGTCATGGTTCCTATGGGTCTCAAGGTTCTATTTTGAGATAATAAACTTTGAACTATATGGCAATTTCGGCTGTATCTACTTGCTCGTTCCCTCCAGAATTCGCAAGCAAGTTTTCTGAGAGTTGGATTACCACCTAAGTAACAATTTCTATATGCTAATGTATGCATAGTGGCATCTTCTTATTTGATGTTATTCCGTCTTGAGACAAGGGGTTGGAGACTACTAGTTTGAGAATGAGATAACTTACACGGAATGCTCTACAAAACACTGTTGAATTACATCAGCACGCTGTCAAATAAATAATGAAATCATTGTATATTTGAAGAAACGTTGGAACTTTACTTTATACCAGATTGGAAAATTATAGGCCATTCCACCACGTAGTTTGTCCAACCTCAAAGTCGGCTGATAGTGGATTTTCAGCGCTAGATGTCCCAACTTGAGCACTGTAACGGCCAGTCTCTTGAACCCACGCGTTTCTATGCTCATCCCAGAAACTGGTAGCATATTTTGTCAAGATCTTGACAGTCACAGTTGCAGTCTGCTGGGCACGGAGGAACACTTTTTCAAAGCCTTTGAGCTCCTTGAGTGGTCGATTGATACTCGGAGTCTGTTGGGAAACATAGACCTGGACAACCTCCGCACCATCAATGTTTCCAGTGTTCTGGACATCAACAGTGACCAAAATCTCCTCCTCGGTTTGTTGGAGAGAAATCGAGCTCAACTTGAAGGTGGTGTAACTCAGCCCATGCCCAAATGGGAATGCAACTTCCTTCTTGCATTTTTCATAGAAGCGGTAGCCGATAAAGACACCTTCACCGTATTTGGTGCTCCCTCTTTCACTTCGGAAGTTCAAAAACGCCGGGTTATCTTCATTGCGGCGCGGGAAGCTAAGCGGGAGCTTGCCACTCGGGTTCACCGCACCAAATACAACATCCGCGATGGCATTCCCAGTCTCGTTGCCGCCGTACCAGGCCTGAACCAACGACGAGACATCATTGAGCCATGGCATGGTCACGGGGGTCCCTGACTGGATGATCACAGCTGTGTTGGGATTTGCCGCTACCACTGCAGCGATGAGCTTGTCGGTCCCCGGGGGTAGATCCATGGTACTCCGGTCGTAACCCTCGCTTTCCCAATCGTTGTTCAGTCCGGCGCAGAGGATAACCTGATCAACGCTCTTGGCTAATGAGACTGCCTTTTGGATTTCGGTCTCGATCTCGATTGTTGGAACACCACCAGCTCGAAGACCACCAGCACCGAAGGAGGTGGCTCCTGCAACGTTGAAAGTTCTGGTTGGCAGTGTACCAAATGTGATTTTGATTCTATAGGTCTTGCCCTTGTCCAATTTGATGGTTCCAATTTCTTCGATTGTTCCGGAGCCAAAGAAGCTATCACCAGGGGTCTGCACAGTTTCGTTGTCGACAACGCACTGACCATCGACAAATACTTTGCCGGTTCCCGATACCGAAAGACTGAACTCATAGTCTGAAGTCTCTTCTGGTGTGAGTGTGCCCTCAAGCTCTAGATAGAACAGATTGCTTTCGATTTTGGGGTGTTTGTAATCTGCGAGGAAAATGTCTCCTGTATTGACATACAGCGAGTCAACTATTTCCCGATCCTCTTTCGACGGTGGCTCGAGATAGACTTTCATATCAAACCCTTCTAGACCGTTGCTGGCTTTGGTTAGCCGAGACAGAAGAGGCATTTTCTTCCAACCCGGAACTCCCAAAGAATATTGGACATCTGGGACTTGAGCTCTTAGTCCATCGAGAGGACTAATCGCATAATAAGGCTTGAGTGCTGCGGAGCCACCGCCGCAATATGCTGCAAAATTGGCATTTGGGCCGATAACAGCGGTGGTCCTGTTCTTCTTGAATGGCAAAATATCATGATCATTTTTGAGCAATACCAGACTTGACGAGGCCAGAGAACGAAGCAACGATGATGTCTCAGGAGTATCGGCAGTCAACTCTTCCGCGTTTTCCGGAATCCCAAGAGGGAGAACTTTCTTCACAAGCTTCAACACCTCTCTTACACATTGGTCAAGTTCAAAGGGTAGCAGTCTACCACATCCCAGAGCTTGCTTCACCAGTTTTCCACGCATGTAAGAGGGCCCTGGCATCTCCAAGTCAAGGCCGGCTTGAATCGACTCGGCAATGGAATAAACTCCAAACCTAAGTCCCGTCAGTTCAAAGGTCAGAGTTCACATGGCTGCCTCCATAGAAGTATGCATACCAATCAGACATCACCATGCCATCGAAGCCCCATTCCTTCCTCAAGATACCCTTTATGAGTTCTTTGCTCTCACTCGCGTGTGTTCCGTTGACTTTGTTGTATGATGTCATATAACACATAGGCTTTGCGTCTCTTTGCGCGATTTGGAAGGGCATAAGATAAATCTCTCGCAAAGCCTGCTCCGATACAACAGCATCCACAGACTGACGCTCATGCTCCTGGTCATTGCAAACAAAATGCTTCAGGGTAGCCGCTACCCCCGTAGACTGGATACCGGCGATAGTTGCAGCACTCATGTTCCCAGCCAAAACTGGATCTTCACTAAAAGACTCGAAACCTCTGCCGCCCAATGGAGATCGTTGCATATTGGTTGTGGGCCCCAATATAACAGATGCTCCTTTGGCAATGGCCTCTTTTCCTTGTAACTTCCCACCTTTTTGGACTAGTTTGGTGTCCCAGGTAGCTGCAAGGCCGGTTCCTAGTTGCGAATTAGCAATTGCACCCAGTCACGCTGAGATGCGAACTCACCGCATGGGAAGCAGGCCGCAGGAACGCCGTTGAAAAACCTGGTTCCTCTCACGCCATTGGGCCCGTCGGTTAGACGAATTGAAGGAATACCAAGGCGACGTATGGGTGCAGTGTGCCAGGGGTCGGTGCCGGAGATCAGAGCGATCTTCTCGTCAACAGTCAGTAGAGCTAGGATATGCTCGACGTCGAAGTCCGAATGGACTGTTTTTTGGACATTCGCATCATTCGTAAATTGCCTGGTCATGATTGGATTTCGAAGAAATGTTGTGACGGGTAATGACTGAGTGTTGGAAAAGAAGAACTTTTGCGAACGTAAGAAGTGCAGAAGCGTCCATTATATTTTATAAATTGAACAACAAACACTGGTTAGCACCATGCAAGTTCTTTTTCGTACTCCATTTGATTTGACAAGGTCAGCAAGAGAATATGGAGCATGAAAGTCAGTAGGTCCACTCGGTATATCTTCCCCCGTCCCCCCGGACCGGCTTAAACCCGGGACTCCGCGAGGGGGTCCACCCACCTACCAGACATTCCTTTTGCCACCAGCCATTATATCTAATGTCCCGGGATTCCGCTCGCTGTTTAACCTGTTTCTTGCATTACACCCTGCACTTTCTCGTTGGTGGTTAGATTGATTCGGATACCCCAAAAACCCCACCCTTACTGTCATATCCCCGGAGAAATGCCGATAGAGGAAACCTGCAACCCCCGGAAAAGACCACGAGAGGAAAATAACGAAAGACCCTCATATCCGCGGAAGCGGGCCACGCAGGCATGTCACACTTGTCGCCGGAAACGAATTAAGTGCGATAATGAGAAGCCCGTGTGCGGCTCTTGTGTGGGATTGGGGATGCCGTGCATTTACCGAGAAAATGACAAGTCCACGTAATCCATGAACTCTCGCGACTGATACAATGAATATTTGCTAAGCAAGGATTATAGGTTTGACCCAGCAAGCATTCTCATCCTGCAGCGCTTGGACATTCTGGAAGAGTTGGTCCGCGGATCCACGTTGACTCCGGGCCCCCGTCCGGCAGCAGCAGAGCCGTCTTTAGGACAGGCTGCACTAAACAATACTGGATCACCGCCCGCAGAAGGGAGCCTACAAGCATTGGAGAGGACGGAATCATCAACATTGTATCATATTAATGTCGAGAGTATTTTGAGTTGGCCGATCTTTCAATCTTGCAATATTGCACAGAAACATGATTTGAGGGCTTTACTAAAACCAGCAAACGGAGTTCCGGAACTGAATTCCTTGCCTGTCTCTTTGGAATTCGAGAACGGTGGAGCCAGGCAGCTACTGCAGCGGTTCATCAGATATGTTCATATCTACAACCCCGTCTTAGAAATTGGCAAAGTGCAGGAGTATATGAGAGATACGCTTTTTGATGGTCTGGAGTGGGATGCGAAGTCATGTCTACTTGTCAGTAAACCCGCAACCATCTCTCATAACCTCCGCTCACTCCCAACAGCTCTTGATATATGCACTAGGAACTGTCTCCAGTCCTCCTGACAGCCAACCTTCATCCTCGTCCTTGGACATCCGTCAATCAGAGGATTTTAAGAAAGCGGAGGGATATTTTCTCGCAGCCAGAAAGCGCATGGGCGTATTGCTTGGCGATAGTGGTATGATTGAAGCACAGTGCTTTTTTCTCGCGGGTGTGTATTTGATGGCGACACTTCGACCATTTCAGGCAAGACCGATGTTTGTTCAGGCTCTAGTCTGCTGTGAAGGGTTCCACATTCCACTACCTCCGAGTGATCCCCGTCATGATGAGAACCATACTCTACAAGAAAGCATATATTGGACATGTTTCAAGTCGGAATTGTAAGTTCTTGCCTCTGAACAGAATCGAAATATTAGACTAACCATGAATTTACAGAGAGCTTCGATTGGAATTGGGGGTTGGAAATACCACCTGCTTGGACCTGACATATCCTGCCCTCTTCCCTTCCCCTCCCAAAGATCTTGAAACCCAGGGAGAGACCGTGTGGTATTTCTATCTAGCTGAGATAGCTCTACGCCGGTTGGGAAACCGAGTTTTGAACTATGTCTATAATTGTAAGCCGTTTGGGAAATCGGTCGATGTGGCGACGATCAGGGAGTTCGAAGGACAGGCACACGGACTGTGAGTTTGCTAGATCTTTTCAACATCCCTCTCGACATACTTATTTCTTCTTTCACCCAGACTGAACTCGCTCCCCGCACTGCTAAAGCCTGATACGCCGAGCGCGGAAGCGCAAGATAAAGACCACGAGCACTCTGCTTTGCGTTTTATCTTGAGTGGCCATGCCATCGACTGCTTCGAGATGATCTACTGGCCTTTTATTTTCGATGCCATCCACGAAGGTCTACCTCACGATCCCGAGCTAGTAGCCTTTGTGCGAAAGGGGCTACATATGTATGGGTCTCGAATTGAAAGTAACGAGGCTGGATTTTACTATCGTCATCACGGTACGTGGCTGATGTTGCGGTCCTGTACACGTAGTGCCTTGGTTTTGTGTGGTGCAGCTCGTCGGGGCCTTGTTACGTTACTTCCCCCCAACTGGAGAGATGGCGTTGGGCGGGTGATGCAAATGCTAAAATACTGGAGCTCCGAGGCGAAGGATATCGCTAGTCAATTAGAGATACTCGAGGATTTGATGAGAGACGTTCCAGAAGACTGATGGGCTGTTGTGAGCTAAGATTTCTCCAGATAGTGGGTTTCATTATGTACAATAATGGTAACAATGACAAGGCCATTATATGTCATATAGTACATAGCCAATCCATAATAATTCAATTCATGAAAGGTACAAAGGCAGGGCGGAGTTGCTCAATTAGCATTCAAGGTTAGTTCAATATTTTCGGCCCCGTCTATCATCTCCTCATGCCCATCTGGAAAGACCACTCGAATTGGTATGCTTGCAGAGTCCCCAGTGTTCATTTTTAATGACAACGAAACTTTGATAGTACTGCCCTCAGATTCCCAATGAACATGTGCAATGCCAGATGAGCCAGGGAGCCCGAAGGGAACTTTGACATCGAGTGTTGGGAACAAACCGACCCGTGGATGGAAGGTCATTGTTTTCCATCCGGCTGTACCCATTCGAACACCAGCAACCTCAGTCGTGAACTCATATATCGGCGAACTTCCCCATGCATGACAATCTGATCGTTGGGAGACTGTATCTTCCAACCACGTGGTCAGGCCATTCGACAACTGTTCTTTCCATGACCCCCAAAATTTGTGGAAGCGTTCGTCATAAAGGCTACCCCCGACCATTGAGATAGCACGAAGTGTGTAAAAGGACATCGCCGTTGATGTTGCTGTAAAGCTCTTAGAACCAGACACTGCAGTGCATTCAGATATGATATCATAAGCCAAATCGCCTGTAGCGGCACCAGACAACACTGCCCAAACCTGACCGTGCTGGCTATAATCATTGTCACAATCAGCATCAGAGGCTAACCCGTCTGTGAAGAGGTGTCCATCAAAGCAGTGGACTTTCAGCGCAAGCAGGGTTGCATCAGCTCGCAATTGGTATTCTTCAGCAACTCCTGGACGACCCACAGAAAGCAAAACTTCCGAGATTCGCTTTAGAGTGTATGCATACAACATGTTGGTAAATGATGCGAAACCAGTCCTTACAGCCGCTGGTGGAATCCCCAATGGTTTCCATGAATCTGCCCAATCGACAAAATCCCATTGCTCCGAGCTGTCAGACAAATGAATGAGACCAAGCGTAGAGTCAATGCGACGAGCAAACGAATCCAACACGCCGTCGCACACGGGCAAGAATTGACGAACAAATTTGGCGTCATTGAAGTATCCAAAATGATCGCTTATCATACAGATCCAGAATAGGGAAAAATGTGGAATCAGTTGGAGCTGGTGAGCTGGTGCGCGGCTAGCCGTGAGTCCGACTTCTGGTGAGTATGAGTTGTGAAGCTGGATGATTGCCTGCCGTGCTAGGCGATCATCGCCTGCGCAACAATATGTGAAGAGGGCTGAGCTTCTGGTGTCCATTGCATATTGAAGTTGCTCATAGAATGGACAATCCTCATAACAATCATGCATGCAATTTGAGAGGGTTCGAATGCTTGTCGTCCACATTTGCTGGTAGACATTATTAGCAGATCCAACGTCGAAATCTGCAAGCACTTGTAGGGGGTATTTGGTTGTGGTTATGTCAATGCGCTTCATGGTGAGATCTGATAGCGCTGAGACAGTGATGTCCAATGCTAGGAACCGGAATGTGCGAAAGTGGAATGGCGCAAAGACGTCCTCATCAGAAGTNCGGCGCAAAGACGTCCTCATCAGAACTGTTTGGGTTGTAGCTCAGTGCGTTCCTCGGGTTTTTATCGGTAATCCCAGGAATAATATACTCGTCTNATGGCGCAAAGACGTCCTCATCAGAAGTGTTTGGGTTGTAGTTCAGTGTGCTCCTGAAACTTTTATCGGCGATCCCTGCAATAATATACTCGTCTTTTGGCCCGACGAGGTTCTTACTAGTGTCACAGCGGTCGCCTTTGTTTCTGATCCAGGGGACAGTGTCGGGTAGGTCTTCATAGCACTCGGAGTAGGTCACCTGCATGGTACTACCGGTATGTTCAGGCCATTTAAACCGGAAGTAAAGCAATGCAGTCATATGGTTCTCAACTTCGAGCTCTAAGTGATGCCTACTTCCAGCTGGAAGACAGATTCCCTCAGAATTTGTGTTATCGGGACCGAGCAAAGCGTTTTCCCACTCCACTCGGGACTGGCTGCTTTCGATGTTGTAAATCGCCTTGAGTGCGGCTGATTCATATTGAGGAAATGGAATCAGACGGGGAGAAAGTTTCCATGGGGCCGAAAGACCATGGGAGGTAGGAAAGACCAAAGGTTTGGCTGGTATCCATTTTGGTTGCGACAAACATTGACCGACTTTCTCGTAGACATGTAGGAATGCGTCTTCTAAAATGTCTGTGGGTAGCGTGGTTGATTCATCAAGGGCAGTTTCCCAGCTTTCATCAGTCTGGATATTGATGGCTAGCTCGTGATCCAAGCGGGCGTTGCGGATGAGGAGACCAGGCACGTGGAGTCGTGGAAAGCTGGTTGCGTGTGTCGTGGCATGGTACAATCTTAGGACCCTCACGTTGATAGTATTGACTCCCAATCTCAAGTACGGTTGGATATCCAGCTCGTCGTAAAACCAGAGATGCCGGTCCCCTTTGACGGGACCGACCGATACAAACTCAGAATTTATATAGAGCTTATATTTTGTGTCAGCGGTAATGTGGATGTTTACTGGTGTTGAAATTCTCTCCGTCAGGGTTATTGTCTTGCGAAAGTGAACAAATGCCCCAGCTGTGTCTTTCGAGTGCTCTGTCCATTCGGGATGCCATATCCATATGGCCATGATCGAGGTGGGGGGTCAAAAGAGAAAGAAATAAAAAACACGCAAGATTGTCATCTGACACCGTCTCAATATTGTGTGCACACCAAATTGGAGCCCAAGATGATATTTATCTTATGTCATGTTATACTGGGGTACATCTGTAGGTATGTTGTAATCGAAAGTGAAGACCTCGGGAAATCTTTCATCGAACACGACCCGGGATTCCGCAGGTGGATACGGAATTCTCCACACGTCTTGGCGCCGAGCCAAGATTGACCCGGGATTCCGCGGCGGTATCGGGCTACAAATCTGGAAATCCTCTCACTTACCCACTCCTTGCCCGAATATGCTGGTTCTGAATTATTCTGCTTCCCCGGCTTTCGCGTTCTTCTCCCCCGCACCGATAACCCCGGAGTTCCAGGGCCAGAACGGGAATATGGATCACTATAGCACGGCTTCTCTATGCTAGGGAAAAAAGGAGGACACATATAAAGTCTGCTCGGCATCTCCCCACAAGGCCGTCTTAGTTTGGTTAAACGGTTCTTCTTTGCAATCAAACAGTTTTGAAACTAGGCTTCTCTCGAAGGAGCACCTACGCCTCAAATGTCTTCTTCTTCCAGGGTAGCGATGCCCGAGAGCAGCGTCGACGTGGTCCATTGGTGGAGGCACAAAAACTTACGTTCATTGAATCTTCTCATGATGTTTCCACTAATGTCTATTTTTACACAAGGGTATGTCTGTAACCTGCCTCCTAGCGAGGAAATTCATGTATTGCTTGTATTCACACGTTTGCTAACCCTCGGCAATGACAGCTTCGATGGGTCGATGATGAATGGTCTACAGGCAGTTGAAAGCTGGCGCAGCTATTTTGGAGAACCTAAAGGAGCTACTCTAGGTTTATTCAATGCTGCCTATCCAATAGGTGGCCTGGTGGGTATTCCGTTCATATCATTTGTGTGTGATGGTTTTGGTCGACGTGCTGGTATTGCCCTTGGTGCAATCATATGCTGCATAGGGGCAGCACTTCAATCTGGCGCACAGACCCTTGAAATGTTCGTGATTGCTCGTGGAGTTCTTGGCTGCGGAACAGTTTTCCTTGGAGCATCTGGCGCTCCGTTGATCACAGAGATTGCACATCCAGCGCACCGAGCTACAGCAACAGCTATGTTCAACACAACCTACTCCCTCGGAGCAATTGTTGCGGCCTGGTCAACCTTTGGGACATTCCGTATCGATGGCAGCGCTGCATGGCGAATTCCTTCAGCCCTCCAAGGCCTTCCGTCCCTTGTGCAACTGCTTGGTTTATACTTTGTTCCAGAGAGCCCACGTTGGCTTGTATCCAAGGATAGAAGCAACGAAGCGCTTGAAATCCTTAGTAAATACCACGCAGAAGGAGACCAGGCCGACCCGCTCGTTCTTTTCGAATTCAACGAGATCCAAGAGGCTCTCGCATATGAACGCAGTTTGGGCAAGAATACCTGGATCGAGAGTTATTTGCAGTTTACTCGTTCTGGTGGGAATCGGAAGCGCTTGTTTATGTTGTTCTGGAGCGCGTGTTTCGCTCAGGTATGTGCCCACAATCAACACACATGATATAGATATTGAAGCTAATTTCGGGGCTCGTACCATCCATATATTTAGATGTCGGGCAACGCTTTTATTTCATACTACCTCTCCCCGGTTTTGTCGAGTGTGGGATTGACAAGCAGTCTAGAGCAGACCTTGATCAATGCAACCCAGCAGATGCTTTCATGGTTTTCTTCTTTATATTTCGCCACTCTTCCCAATAAGCTTGGACGTCGAGTTCTATTCCTTGGTTCAGGAGCGAGTATATTTCTTTGCCTTGTTGGTATCACTACTGGCAGTGCTATTTTCGCCCAAGATGCTTCAAACAAAGCGGCAGGTGGCGCAGTGGTTGCCTTCCTCTATCTTTTTTCACCATGCTACAATTTTGGATTGAACGGGAATCTCGGTCTCTACATTGCGGAGATCCTACCTTACCATCTTCGCATGAGAGGTCAGGCTTTATTCCAGCTTTTCTCCACTTGCTTCACCCTACTCGCAACCTACGCCTTTCCCATTGGGCTACAAAACATCACATGGAAATTCTATATCATCTTTATTCCATGGGTTGCCATCGAGTTCATTGTGGTGTACTTTATCTACCCGGAAACCAAGGGATACTCACTTGAAGAAATCGCGGTCATTTTTGATAAAGAGAGGGCGGCAGGTCTCCGGAATGATCTATGCGCGGATAGCAAAGAGGTTGATGTTGAACATTCTGAAGTTGTTAGCAAGTAGTTCTTTATTTGTCTCTCGTCTCTCATACAAACTTCATGAAGGCTGGTTTTATTCAGCGTCAGCTTTGACTTCCTCACAATTACGCCATACAACCCATTCAACGTCCGTGTAAAACCAACCACTGACACGCGTTAAGACATAGCCATAGGGGTTATATTTGCTAACTGCAAATTTTAGTGATGGGGGGTGCTCTGCATGTGCCCCATGAGAATATCAGATCCTATTTCCCCAAATTTCCCTTGTTGTCAGTGGAGATTTCCGCGCGATTCCCAATTCAGAAATCTCCCCCGAGTCTCGGATTTAGCGCCCTCGCTCGTTCACGGCTATCCCTCTTGCCGTTTAACTTCCATTCGAAAGAACTACACCAGTTTCCATCTTTTGCGACACCGGTCGGGGGGATTTGAACGAATATTCATCCATCACCCTAGCTGCAGTACGAAACACAATTGCGTGGCTCGACATCAAGCTGAGTCTTCATAACGCCTCAATCCCCCTATGTGGAGCTTATTTCAGCCAATGGTTGTCTTGACGGCTCGGTATTATCCCTAGAGACTATCACCCCAGTCCCTATCAGTGCATGCAAACGTATGTGTCGCGTTCCGAGGAGAACTGATCCTCAGAGAAAGCACTACATGCCAAGCAAGCATTATCGGCCAGTTAAATCAAGACTTCTATTTCTATTGATAATAGTGTGACTTCGTATTAACTCCGCGGATGTGAGTGCATCTGACGGCCCCTGCGAATGCTACTCGACGCTCTTCGGCTTGCCTAATGCGATTTTCAAATACTCGATCTGGTCAGCCAGCCGACTCGGGTATGCAGCATGAGTGTAGCAGAGCAATACAAAGCCCCGCTCCCTACCATAACTTCCCTGTCTATAGGTCAGAGTTTGAGGGTTGTGGACAAGTTGCCCACACTCGCCCACCTTGGACAGCGTGGATCCCAGTCATATTATGGGTCTACCTTCATGATCTCGGGTGCGGCTTTTTCTTATCTAGTTTGCTTTCCACTGCACTCAAAATTTTGTTACTCAATACGGGCTATAATGTCAATAAATAGGCAAAGGTAAGCCCCAGTGGTGACATTCATTTCTAGAGTTGAAGACTGTCCTTGCATCTGACACGCCTTGATTGAGCCTGTTTGAAGTGCCATCACACCCACTTTGGTCAACAATGTCGAGCCACGATGATCAAATCAGACCCACTAGGAACCTCGAGGCACAGAGTGCCTTTGCGTCTACCTTAGTGAATGATGTTGAAAAAGCTGAACTATCCAAGATCAGCGAAGTGTCGGACATACAGCACAAAAGCCTCTTTGGGCTTGTAATGGAAACCCCTAAGATCCATCCAGGAAGTGATGCTGTTTTCGCGGCCAAGGCCCAACTCTTGAATCAGGCACTGCTGGACATGGGAATGGGGCTGTATCAGTGGATGCTTTTCTTGATGACTGGCGTTGGATGGTTTCTTGATAGTGTAAGTTCTCAGTCTTGTGTAGACAAACTTCCATTTTGGTACTAATAAAATCCGTGCAATGATAGTTCTGGATCATGTCATTCCTAGTCATCGCCCCATCAGCTGGAAATGAAGCTCAGTTCTTCTTCACTGGTGATAACACCGATTATCTCTTTATTGCCCTGTTTGTCGGTCTCACTGTCGGCGGCACAGCATGGCCCATGATGTCGGATACACTGGGTCGAAAGTGGATGTTCACTAGCACGATCGTGCTGATGGGAATGGGTGGTTTAGTCGGTGCGGGCATGCCTTCGTTCACGGGGCTGTGTGTCGTCGGCTGCGTTGTGGGATTTGCTGCTGCTGGAAACCAAGCTGTCGACGTGATGATTCTTCTGGAATCGCTGCCTGCGTCACACCAGTACTTGGTCGCCCTTCAGGGTGTCTTCTGGGGATTGGGACAATTAGTGGCTGCTGCAGTGGGATGGTAAACAACATCTACATGAATAATTTAATTGAAAATATTGCTAATCACCATGCAGGGCTTTCATCGCTCTATACACATGCGGCACCGGGCCTGATGAAGTGAGTACCTCGCAATCGATGAGCAGCAACAAACGTGCCCTCGGCCATTCAAGCAGCTCCTCGTCCTGTCACTACGTCAGCAACAAAGGCTGGCGCTACGTATGGTGGACCTTCGGGTGCATGACTCTCTTCCTATATCTGTGTCGTTTTGCATTAAACCTACACGAAACACCAAAGTTCCTTCTCTCACGACGCCGCGACGCAGAAGCAACCCAGCTTGTTAAAGATATTGCTCTCTACAACAAGCGCCAGACATGGCTTACTGAAGCATCGTTTGCACGGGTTGATTCCACAATCGACGCCTCCGAAGCTGAACTGCGCACGAAGTCTCGCTCCCAAGCCCTTGTTTCTTCGCTCAATATTTACGGCGCAGTGTGCCTTGTCCTACTGTGGAGTGTAACCGGTTTGACCTTCGTGCTTCACCAAACCTACATCGGTAATTATCTCGCGGCGCATGGTGTGGCCCAAGTGAGCGCGACAACGGTCTCAAGATCCTACCTTTACAGCCGGTACCTATATATTGCACTCTGCGCTATACCTGGTCCACTCGTGGCGGCAATCTTGGTCGAAGTGAAGGGCCTGGGACGGAAACGAACGGGAGCTGGGATTGCTATTTTGACTGGGCTGTTCATGCTTCTCGCGACTGTGGCCCGGTCTCGCAATTCCGCGCTGGCTTTCGAGTGCATCGTCGGCTTCCTCCGTTCTGCTGGCATTGCTACGCTGACGCTTTATACTGTTGAGGTTGTGCCGACCACAGTGCGTGGGTATAGTCTGGGTGTCATGGGGTTCTTTTGGGGGGTATTTGGCTTGATTGCCCATGTCATTACCACTTTTAATGGCGCTGTAGTTTCAGACGGGGGCCCAGTTTGGGTATGCGGTGCGGCTTGGATTCTCATGGCTGCTGCGTGGTTGGCACTACCGGTTGAGACTCAAGCTAGAGCGGCGGCGTAGACTATCATTATATTGTACATACGGATTCGGAATGTCTTTGCGCTCTAGATGGCATAATGTCGGAAAACAAGCCCTCACTTCGTTGCCTTGTATGCAATCTTTATTGCGGCCCTTCATGGAATGTTCACGGCAGTTAAATCGTCATTCTTGGTTGATGAAATATGGCGATTGGGTAGGACATGACCAGAAGTTCATTGCTGTGAACATGAATTACCGCCTCGGAATGCTTGGTTTCATGAATCATCCCGATCTGCCGTCGGCAAATGCAGGCCTGTTGGATCAGCGCATGGCCATGAGATGGGTCAAGCAAAACATTGCCGCATTTGGCGGTGATCCAGATAACATTACTATTATAAGCCAATCTGGCGGTGGATGGGCAATTGCAGCGCAACTGGGCCTTTACGATGGCCAAACTAACGGAACCTTCCAAAGGGCTATCGCGCGTTCCATCCAACGAGAACCAATGTTCACAACCAAGGAGTTGATGCTGCGCAACACTGTTTTGTCGGAGCAGCTCAATTGCACCAGTGCAGACCAGCTGGCTTGTTTCCGCAGTGTTTCCGTACCCGACCTAGTCGACATCTTTCAGACCATGTCGATCGCAAATGGTACAGAAGGGTATATGTTATTCCAGGGCCCATTTCTATCTGGCTACTAACGTGCAACTTCTCAGTATCTTCGCAGACAAAGTCTTCGGCTACCAAGCAAGCTTGGGTCCGACTATTGACAGCTTAACCCTAACGGACTCAGTAACCCGTTTATTCAAAAATGGAAAAACAGCCAACGTACCTACGATTGCTGGATGTGTGAGTGACGAGGGGTATGATGGCTGGATCAATGCCTATCAGATGAATCCAACTCCGAAAAACACAACTCAACTGGATCCTAGCACCAACAGAATCACCAATCTTACTGACGCCGAAGTTTACGAGGTAGCCTCGTTTCATCCTGTGAGTGCTGGGTATGGCGCTGTGACACCGGACAACTTTTTCCTGGACGTTTTCAAGTCATATTGGATGGCCTTGGGTTTCTTTGGTGAGGTTGGCATCTTTGGTTCTGAGAGAATGATGGATCGCTGGCTGAGCGCAGCTCACGGGTCCAAACACATTTGGACTTTCCGATTTAATGCGCCTCATAAGTCAATATCTTACTACCAAACTTCCGCTGTGGATATTGCTAACACAGAGAACTCATAGCTGTTGGTGCTTCCTTCAATGGATCTTACCCTTTGGCTCCCGTGACACACTCTTCTGAAAACACCTATCTCAACTATCCGCTTAGCACGATGACAGACTATGAGCGAGCGGTTGCTGTCGAGTTCCGCGCCTATTTGTCATCGTTCATTCGCACTGGCAATCCGAACACGCATAAGGTTGTCACTGCTCCCCACTGGCCTCATTAAGGTGCTCTTGGTGATTTCGTCAACTCCCCTGTCCGTCTGGTACCACAGTTCGCCTTTGAGACCAACGCCAACAAAAGTTACCCGACCAGTACGCAAATTGAAGTTTGCCAAAAAGCGGGTCTTGAGCGGACCGATTTCTGGCAGTCGGACAGAATGCTGGACTCGACGAGATTTTAAATCAACCACATCTCCCACAATGGCCATAGATAAATGGCTTCACTACAGTAGTGAACTGTAAAGATTGGTCGAAAATGTCGATGATCCCTTATGCTGCATCAAGCAGTGGATTCTTGGCTTACTTGGTGCTTATTTGCTAGTTATAGCGCTTAACCTCATAAGCGTTCCTGGAATACACTCTTGTTACATTTTTTCGGTGACTATAATTTCTATAGGCCATTGGGAGAGCGTATCATCGCCACCTGCACGTAGTCGGGGTATGGTGAGAAGGTATCAACCTCCCGGAATCCATATTTTTGATACAAGGGTCTTCCAGCCGGAGACGCAGACAGATAAATCTCCACACCTTCAGCATCAGCGCGCGTGAGGCCCCATTTAAGGAGCTTCGACCCCAGTCCCTTGCCCTGGTGGGAAGAGTGAACACCCAGCATATCCAGATCTATAAATCGCGGTTAGTTGTGGCTGTTTGCTTCGTCCTTGTTCAGAGAATGCAAGAAGCGTAAAGCGAAGCCCGAAAACTTCAAGCAAGAGTTAAGAGAGAAAAAAACATACAATAATGAGGCCTCTCTCCCATCCACTTCTCATGTCGCCCCTCCATTCCATAGAAAAAAAGATCGCAAAGCTCCTTATCACTACTAGCAGGCCACACGATCTGTTCCTCGTGTCGATCGCGATCTGCAGCCGGAACGGGAAGCTTCCATTTCGCGAACGCGACAATCGGGCCACCCTCCGACCCCTCCGTCACCTTGAAGAATACCTCGGACGTCTCGCCTGCAATTGAGCGCGTAATTTCGTCCCTCAAATATTTCTCCCACCATTCCGTTACATCCGGCGTGTTTGGGAACATGGCTTTGTCGAGGTCGCTACAGAAGCTGGCGTAGAAGACTTGCGTGAGTTCGGGCGCGTCGGTGGGGGACGCGGGGTGGACCTCCAGTGACATTTTTTAGGTGGATTTTTCAAATTTGTGCGCGAAAATTTGTTGAGGCGATACGATATCCAAAGGGGCAGGTTATTGAATTGGAGTTTTGGGATGAAGTTTGAAATTGCGGGATCTTGGCTGTGGCGCCATGCCGAGTGCGGGTGGAGTCATTTTGTGTCAGAACACTTCTACAACTCTACAATATGGGAAGATCCCATTTAACCCCCTTTTCAAAGCTCGCAGTTTATTTTGTGGAATGGGGAATAACATACCACGTGGCACTTCCGGCGTAAAGGCATGGTTCGTGCTTTAGTGCATAATTTTACCGCGGCTATTAGACATAAGCTCCGTATCCCTGCAGCAATCCATGCATAGGTACATGTAGGTAAAGCCACTGGTGATCCCGTGGTTGGTAGTTGAAAATGGGTTCAAGTTTGACGCTACGTGTTTGGACGCATTAGGTACGAATGGATGCTCTACAGCATACTGTTCTTGACACAATAAAATCTGATACCGACTACGGAGTACTACACTAGCTAGTTATATATCATATCCTCCACGCAAGTATGTTGCAAGTGAATTATAAGATCGATTTACTGTACCCATATGAATTTGAGGTAGTCCGCAGGAGTTAAATTTCCCCATAATATATCCCGGGTCCGTCGAACAAGTAAGGTGGAAATGGTCCATTTAACTGGACATGAGCAACATCAGAATCATGAGCCACTGTGAAAGTAAATCACCTTGGAACGACATATCAAAATCTTCCTCTCAAAAGAATTGCCCGGTATGCTCTTGGTATGCCGCATTAAGTATCAGCGCTTTGATCCGCGGTAGAGAACCCTCGGCGACACATTTGTTGATAGTGGTAGCAATATCCCGTACTCAAGAGAGACTTGAAAGATCCAATGCTATCCCATCGTGTTTGCGGCTCGGCGGTGCAGGGCCTGTTGCTGATTTTTTGCTGTCTCAACCTTGCGGACAGTGTAAATCCCATAATATTTGCTTGCTAGATCAGAAGAGCAAATTTGGGCGACGAGCTGCCGTTGGAAATCAGTCGGTGGAAGTGTTTGCTAAGTTTGCACACAGCCGTACCAAGCCCATTGTGCTACTCAGGCATTCAGGCAGCGAGGCAATAAGGCATCAACATTCATCCTCAGGCCACCAAGTCATGCATGCGCGACATGCAAACTCAATGCTAACAATTATGACATTGCAGTACTGATTTACCGTTGATAGTGTCAGTATTTACTCTAGAAAGCTCCTTTGACTTATTATAAAACCCTCCTCCCATGTCCCGCATTTTACTAATTCAACGCGCTCTGAGACCATATCTCAGCAAAGTGTCGCCATACCACGCCATCTCGCATAAACCATCACCATCTCCCCAAAAATGGAGGCCAGTTCCAATAAGAAACCGGCATCCGACCCATTCACAAGGAAGTGTTACCCTTGGAGATGCCGGACTGCCTTTTTAAGCCACCGAGGCGGGGAACTTTGATAAGAAAACCATTGCCCGCGCCCTGCGACAGATCTCACTTAAAATCCCCAAACTTCCTTTAAGCCCAGCACACATCTTGAAAACAATTCCATCGCAATTATGGGTGACGCACCACTACCAACAGAGCATGTGCTCGTTATTTTCTATCCGACGATGCCGGCAGAGCTGAAGGAGGTGATCCGGCAGAAATTCCCCGATGCCGAGGTCACTATTTACGAGGTTCAGACAGGTGTCCCTGTGCCACCTGGTAAGTTATTATCATTCTTAAAAGATCTGAGAGCACAGAAACTAAAAGCCCGCGCAGAAGTATACCAGAGGGCCACCGTCCTTGCGACTTTCACCGATCTTCCAGATCTCAAGGACTCGAAGAAGTAGGCTCCCACCCCAATTAGTCTTACGGTGCACTAACCATTATTATAGCCTTAAAATAATTCACACCTTCTCTGCTGGCGTGGATCATCTTTTGCAAAAACCAATTTTGCAAGATACTGATATTCCTATCACTACCAGCTCGGGTATCCACGGCCCTCCGATTGCAGAATGGACTGTAATGAATTGGCTGGTATCATCCCGCAGATATGTCAAGGGCTATGAGGCACAGAAAGCCCACTCATGGGATAAGTCTGCGTATACGCCGAGTCTTCACGATCAAGTGGGCAAGAAGGTGGGTATTCTAGGATACGGAAGTATCGGGCGCCAAAGTACGTTTTCCCTGTTGTCGCTCAATCTCCACGAGCTGCAAAGTTCACAAAAATAAGAACTCCAAGTTGACAACCAATAGTTGCCCGCGTCTCGCAAGCATTGGGTATGACTGTCCACGCATACACAGCAAGCCCACGCTCAACACCTGAATCCCGCCGTGATAACGGCTACATCGTGCCCGGAACCGGAGACCCAGAAGGCTCAATCCCGGCATCGTGGCACCACGGAACGGACCGAGAATCCCTCCGCTCTTTCTTAGCCACCGGGCTCGATCATCTGGTGGTCTCACTTCCGCTGACTCCGGAAACAACCCGTCTTCTCGGCGCAGAGGAATTCGCCATTCTATCTGACAGCTCTCACCACCATACTAGCAAGCCTTACGTGACCAATATCTCGCGAGGCAAGGTTATCGATCAGAAGGCGTTGGTCGATGCGCTAAATTCCGGGGTCTTGAGTGGAGCTGCCCTTGATGTTACTGATCCCGAACCTCTTCCTAAGGATGACCCACTCTGGGAGGCCTCCAATGTTCAGATCAGCCCACATGTCAGCGCTCTTGGCGTGGAATATTTCCCGCGCTCTCTTGATATCCTGGCGCTAAACGTGGAACGCATCGCCCGGGGTGAGCCGTTGATCAACACTTATAAAAGGGGAAAAGGATATTAGTATCTTCGCATGTAAGCATTGGTTGCATTAATTGCCACAGGCCTGGAGTACCCCTAAATGTACTGTTTGACGTCAGAGAGCATTAGTCTACACAATATCATTGAAGCGCTATCTTCATCCAAACAAACATTGAAGGATATTTTTCACTTTGAGCTCAATCCAATAATTTTTCGACTACAGCAGTCATTCAGGTCTACGATATAGATTAAACCCGCAGGTTTGCTTTTAGATGGAGTTTGTCACCCGACCAAAATTCTCAGACCTCATTCATTCGGTTTTAATTTTACTTTATACTACAGTTTTTTTGTTTCATGTTCTCATTTGCAGTCACTAATAAGTGCAATCTCCTCTCTCATATCCCACAACACTTCCTTTTTTATATAATCGCGATGCTTTGCCACGTGCTCCTGCGCCTCGAGTACGATCTGCACTTTTGTTAGCGGTGCTTCTATATTCCAATATAGACACGACTTGCTAGGTATCCGTCCTCTGTGACAAACTCGCAACCTATGCAGCGACCGGCACACGCATATTCATGATATAGACATGTGTGGAGACCAGTTACTATACCCAGCCGACAAGCTCGACTCACATCTATGATACACTACCAGGCATATCTTACATCTGACCTCAAAGTGGTAAACTTGAGTGCGAGACTCCATAAAACTATATGGCCACGCTCTGAAAGATACCTGCATGATTTAGCTGCTTTTCAACTCAGAACTTCAGTAGGGGATTTTTATAGTACCTAGAAACAAGTAATGATAAATTCTGAATTTCTCTATTTGATGTATAGAATATGAGGTAACTTTAAAAGACATGAATAATATAAAACATATTTGGAGCATTCGAGAATACCTATTCCAAGTTTTCGATGGGTAAGTATAGCCAGCCTTAATCGTTTTGAGCTGTTTGCACATGCTGAGAAATAATGGTAGCGAGATCTATTTGAATACTCAAAGGCTTTGATTCATCCTTGTTCTTGTATTGCTTCTTCATAATAAGCATCAACCGTTCATTCCAGAACGGCAAGCAAGTTTCAAGATCAGATGCTGAGAACGCGGTAGGTTGGTTATCACTCTCGGTATACAGGTCTTCTGGTACATTGCACTTGAGCGAATTCGAGCCGGTCGACAAGTCAACCGAGCAGATCAACCCGAGGTCATGCAGGTTGGAGCCATCGGGTATACGTTCGAAGGGAAGTCTGTTGGTGGGTAGTCTCCGGGCCTTTCCTTCGTTCATTGAAGGTCCATCGGTAGAACGGTCCCGTTCCTGGCGGAGGAGGTATGCTCGCGGATCATTAGGAGAGAGTGTTGTCGCAGAGACTGGCTCGCCGATGGAAGTTTGCGACGAAGTTAATGCAGCTTTTGCGGAAAGATATCGACTGCGATGAGGCGAATACAACACTGGAGCAGACTGCGAACTGGGTAATTTATCGTTCGTCTTGAAACGCATGCGACTGTTGTGAATGGCTTCTTTCTTGCGCCTTTCGAAGTCGAGTGCTTTTTCCAGATCAGATGGTTCCTCGTGGCTGACGCCTTCGTGAAGTTGAGCGGCCCATCTTTCAAGAACTGGGAATCCTCGACCACTATCCATTGACTCTGGAATATAGTCGCCCTGCTCTTCGGGCAGCGAAGGCCCATCATTAGCGGTCTCTGGAGGGATGCTAGTTATAGATGGACTGCCCGAACAACCATCACTCTGCCCATCGATATGCACAACATTTGGCGAAGTGTTCGTGGGCGATTCAAATCGTTGCCGGGCAAGGAGAGAAAGCAGCGAGTCCGGTTCTTGAGTCGTTACATCCTCAATAGGGCTTTGCTGCAGCGAAACTTGCGTGGTTCTCTGGAACCAGGTGTCTAAAGCTCCATTCCCATACCGTTCTCGATCACGTTCCCTCTCAGCACGTCGGGCGCTCGAAACGCGGTTAGTATCAGGAGATGACTCGGTCGATTCTTGCGGATGGTGTCGACGGCGTCTCACTGGTGACCCTGATGCAATTCGAGAAGTAAGAGAACTTGTCAAGTCTGACTTGGGCGAATGCTGAAAGCCTCGCGATTCACTCTCCCTTCGGATTGACCCCTGCACGCTACCACTAGATAAATTGATGGGGCTTGTTTGGTTGGGAGAATTGCTCCCGCCTCGCGGTATTTGAAAAGAGGCATTGATTCTGGAGATAGACCACGGATTGACGAAGCTAGAACGTTTGTTTCTAGCGCTGGCCGATTCGTCGGGGCTTTCCGGGCCATTGATGCTAGAAGGAACCACAGGCGAAATGTCGTACTCAGACCGAAGCGGCTTCTGTGAGAGAGGTGTATGGGTTACAGCTTCATTGAAGGGGTTATCGGGGTTGCTAGGCTGTGTGGAAAGTTCTGTAGCTGGCTTCCTGGCCATCAAAAGCTCAAATCCTCCCAATCCTCCATCGGACTTATAGGCATCCTCTTTGCCTTGGTTTGGAATCCTTGTCTCCGTTCCATTTATTTCTCCGTATTGGTCGCGAAACAAATTCTCTACTAAGGCCAATACTAAATCTCGGTCTTCGAATAGCAGATCGTCTTTCGTTGGCTCGATGTTGACATCGTACGTTCCTCGGGGACAGCGAATTTGTAAACAGAGAAAAGGATCGCTAACCGATTTGGGGGATTGATTTTTGGATGCGGCGGCACGGACATACGGCTTGAAGATTTTGGCGATTTCATGCCCAATGCCCCTACTGCTAGAGAGAGGACGGCCATCAACACTTATATATTGGCCCGCATTGTTGATCTTGGAAGTATCTAATTGGTTGTTAATGACATGACCAGATACTCAGAAATAAGAACTCACCAAATTGTGTTTTCGGAAGGAAGGCGATGGCTTCATGCTCTTTCTGATCGGATGATCCTCGGTTGTTCCCGGCGGTGTTCTGAGAGGAAAGTCGCTTCATGATACAAGATGCAGACACGTCTGTGCCGGCTACCTTGAGAGCTGCATCCGAAAGTGAGGCGTCTGCGCTTGGTGCATATGTCCAATTGTTGTTTTCATTTTTTGCCTTGAGTACTTTGAGTGATAATCTCTTCGACGGCTGAGCTATAGCATATGCCTGAAGAAGTTTTTTGATCCTCGTGAGATTTTTCGTAGCACCCTTCAAGGCAGTCTGCCTGCGGACAGGGATGTGTTTGAGGAAGTCTGTGATACGAACAGTTGTCCCCACGGGATGTGACGTCCGTTGTGATCTGCGATGAACTGTTAGCATTGGCACAGTAGCCAAAAGCCTAGCGAAGCGAGCATACCCAGTAAGCTCTCCGTTTCTTCCGTATTTCAAACATAACCCGGCAACTTCGAACTGAACTCGAGTGGTGACAGCGAGAACGCCGGACATCTCTGCGACACTGGCAAGTGCTTCGCCACGAAATCCCAATGATGACCCACCGACATTTTTGAGATCATCTAAAGTCCGGATCTTACTGGTAAAAGTTCGTTTGCAGACATGTTGGTGGTCCTCTGGAGAGATACCGTGGCCATTATCCTTGAGCTGTATGATATCCACGGTGTTTTGTGAAATTTCAATCTGCAATGACGTAGCAGAAGCATCCAGGGCATTGTCTACAAGTTCCTTCACAACAGAGTAGGGATCCGAAATGACAGATGTGGAGCCAATCGCCCGGATTGTTTTCTGAGGAAGAGCCTCAATCGGCATCCTGCACGTCTGGTATTAGTTGTTCATGTCCGAAAGCACCACAAATTGTCTTATTTGGCCGATGGAGGCTGGGAAAAACATGCGACCAATTTCAATGGCTTATATTTGATGAACATCGACTCGTCAAATGTCGAAAGAGGATGAGATTGTCTTGGCATTTGTGATCACGTGGAGATGATGCCTCAAAGTAGTAAAGCTCCAGGTCGAATTAGGCTTAGTTCCTTTAAGCATTGTACAGTAAGTAACTGTTCATTAAGTTTTCCAACACCCCAGCCTTACCTACCTACACCACTTTAATTATATAATTTTCCGCCGTAATCGTTATTAAAAACATAAGAATGTAGGGTGATTTTCGTCTGCGATTTTATTCTACATGTCATTCCACGCGTAAGGCTGGACCACCTGGGCAGCACAGCCTCGTTAGTCAGCATAGCCACACCCGGGCGTCCACGGGTCCCGATAAACAACACGTCCACCTTCACGCCTCTGCAGCCTTTCAGCCTTGGTCCCTCAGACGGCTGAAGACGCTGAAATGTTGGGCGAGGACTTTTCAATAACTAAAATTGCAATTCCTGGCGTCAGTGTTCTAATTGCCTTCCTCGCCTACACATCACAGTACTTCTTTCTGCACTTCGAGGCTGTACCACTTACAAGGGACGAAACTTGGAAGATCAATATTTTCGCCCTGTGCATTTGGATCTGCTATTACCGAACCTGTTTTGTAGATCCTGGTCGACTTCCCAAGTCCGAAGAGCGACCGAAACCCAAAGAGCAAGAAGGCGAGGCACTCGCTAGTCGCCAGCGATGGTGTCGTAGATGCGAAGCTTACAAACCGCCTCGGGCTCACCACTGCAAGACATGTAAAAGGTTCGATAAGGAATGCCTGGTGTGGAGACTTTTTCTGATCTTCTCCTAGATGCATTCCCAAAATGGATCATCATTGCCCCTGGACCTCGAACTGCGTCTCACATTTTACCCTTCCGCATTTCATGCGCTTTCTATTTTATGCAACTGTTGGAATGTCCTATCTGGAGACACTTCTCTGGCAGCGTGCCTCATTTGTATGGAAGAACAGCCATCTGCCAAGCGTAAGTAACTCAAGTATTTCACCATTCATGTCGCTAATGTTGAATAGTATCTCGGCCCAACATTGGGGCAGCTCATTCACTTGTTTATACTGCTTGTGGTAAATAGTCTTACCGTTTTCGGCCTCTTTGTCCTCCTGGTTAGGAGCCTTTGGTCGATTGGATCTAACACAACCACCATTGAAACTTGGGAAATCGAGAGACATGCTACTCTTGTCCGTCGAGCTCGTGTGCTGGGCGGGTATCTTGAGGGTCCTGGAGGGATTCGAGTTCACATAAAAAAGCAGGAATACCCGTACGACATTGGGATTTGGGCCAACATCAAACAAAGTATGGGCGGGAGCGCGAATGTGAGTATGCCTATTGCCGTTAGACACGTAAACACATCAGCTAATGTCTTTCCAGTTCATAAGCTGGTTCTGGCCCCTAGCTGCGACACCCGATCGCCAAACTGGCTGGGCATTTGAGACCAATGACTTTGAGGGTGAGTTGATAGGTCAGTATTCCAGCTTTCCATAACTTATCATTTTTGTTAGACCCTGGTGTGTCATGGCCACCTCCGGATCCAGATCGCATCCCGATACCAGCTAGTGCAAGGCCATCACGTAATATCAGCATGCCTACATACGCAACTATTCAGGATGAGATTGATGCCTTCAACCGTCGCAAACAGGAAGACATGAAGCGATTCCAGAAAAGTCCAGGTCTACAACGTCGCAAACCGTTCCACGATCGCTACAAAAAGGACGACAGTGCTCAAAGTGATAGCGATGAGTCCGAAACTGACTCCGAGGGTGACTCAGAGGGCGAAGAGGCCTGGCGAAACGCCGAAGGAGAACGACTACGCGACTTCGGTGTAGATGAGGAAGCAGAATTCTATGATGAGGAAGATATCCCTCTTGGTGTTCTCATTGAGCGACGGAGGCAGCAGCAATCTGCTAATTGAACTCTTTCCAACGAAAATCATTAGATCTTCTTCGCAATACCCCTCAGTCGCACATATCCCAGCCACTGGCTCCCGTCTTCTCCACGGGTCACCACGTCCTGGAGCACACCGCAAATTTGCCGCACTGCATCATCCCGCTTTTCCTCGGGGAGCACATCTAAGAACTGGGCTCCCATCAGCCTAACCCATCCCTCCAGACCGCCCTTGGCGTCAGTGGTAAGTTTTGTTGGGCGGTACTCGAGCTCGACGTTTTCAACCTTGAACCCAATCTCTTCCAGAGCATTTCTCATCCAAGTATCAGATGGGAAGAACCAAGGGCTTGTCTCTCTTGCTTTTTCGATAGGGATACCCTGCTGTACCAGTGCGTAGATAAGGGCCGTCTTGACCTCGGCAACGTTACCATGTCCGCCCATTTCGAACACATATGTGCCGCCAGGCTTCAGACAGCCGTGAATTCCGCGGAGTGTTGACATGCGCGTCGACTCATCGCGTAGGATCCAGTGGAGGGCTGCGTTCGAGATTCTATATGGCTGTTAGAAGTCGAGTTACATACATCATATACCATGTATTATAATCAAAGACATACACTTTATCCCATGATCCATTGACAATAGAGGTTTCTTTCTCTAGGTAGCGGCAATCCACAACGCGGAAGCTGGCCTTGGCACTTCCATAGTCTTTGTTGGCAGACTCGATCATGGATGCAGACGAGTCAATGCCCAGGACAGACTCTATGGCGGGAAGGAAGTTTGCTGTGAATTTTCCATCGCCGCAACCGACATCAAGGACCTTGTCTGTTGGCTTAGGGTCCAGAGAGGTGAGGAGTTTTCCGACGATTTTCGCGGAGTGCACGAAGGATGCAGAGGCGGAATATGCCTGGACTTGTTAATGATGGCACACGTATATCATCACGACAGTTACATACTTCGGCTGACCAGTGGTCTTTGGGACCCTCGGTATTGGACGCCATTGTGTATTTGACAGATGGAAGTATGGAGAAAGTGGAGAAGTGGTATTCTTGGCGGGGAATGTCAGATAAGCACAAGTAAAATGATGAAAAATTAACACGTGAGAGTGTGTCAAGGTCCGTGTTAGTGAAGCTTTGAATAATGTTCTAGTAATTGGGAAGTTCGATAGGCTCTTTTATATGTTTTCTCCGCAGCGTGGGCAGTTTGCTGGAAGATGTATAACGAGGCCGATATCGGACCGGGCTATACTTGAAAGTCTGCGCCCTGCGAAGAATGCACAGACCGAGATATGGAAGTTCTGGAACATTTCCTTTTTCTAATAGCATTAGATACAGACGTGACATCTAAAAGTCCGCAGCTTTGTACGAGTTTCAATAGCCAAACCGGTTGAGACATAGTACCTAGGTATGCCCACGCGTGCAGAGAAGGCTCTATAATTACATTTCAGGATTAAAAGGTACCACTGCTTGTCTTCTATACAGGTAACTGCCATTCATTCCCAAAATATCCACACAATGAGATATAACATGGCAATGACGCCGGGCACCTAGTGGGTATACGGTAATGACGAAACGATTTTCCATAAGCTCCACTCTTTTCACTGGACAAAATTCCCACACATCCCTACAAAAATACATTGTCAAGTCAGATCTAGAAAGATTACTGCATATTGAGATATACAAAAGCCCACCTTCACTAGCAAATCAGAAACCATGTCTTATCAAGGACATTGCAATTGCGAGAGTATTCGCATCACTCTTCCCCAGCAACCTCCGAGCTCAACTATTTGTCATTGGTATGAAATATTCTTGAAATAAGGAATCTAACCTCTTAGTGGTTGCATACTAAAGTTATTTTTTAAATGTAGCGATTGCTGCAAACGATCAGGTGGTAGTCGTAAGTACATTCGCCTAGGGTGATGAGCAACTATGGATATACATTTCGCTTACAATATCCTAGCATGTTCTGTCAACTACTTTGTCAATGAGGATGAATTGACCATCGACGATCCAAATGCGACATTGAAGATCTACGAGGACAAGAGGTCTCTCAGTGGGAATGTTGCGAAGGTAAGATCATAGCTCCTTTGTCAATATCTATACAGCATTATCCGTCGCATGCATTCGAACTAAAGACTAACCCGAAGTCCGAAATAGCGTCATTTTTGTTCCAGCTGTGGCAGGTATGTCGAATGGTTCAAGGATAGTAATAATAATAGCTGACATTCATCATAGCCCAGTGTACACTAAATCCCCGAAGGCCCCTGGAAAGGTCTTTCTGAAAGCTGCCTTGTTTCACAGTGTCTCTCCTCCTACAGTTGAAGTATTTACCAATAAGCAGTACCGGTGGATAACTATTGAGCAGGACAGAGAAAGGCAAACGTGAGATTAATGCGAATATACCTTCGATATTACGTTTTGAGAAAATGTATATACAAAAATAGAATATATTAAGCATCGTCTTATGAGATGGTGCAATTCCTCTAAAGCCTATTATTGGCCAATTTTCTAAACGCATGCATAGAGTTACTGCAGCTAAATTGCTATAACTTGCATTGATTTTTAGATGTTTCCCCCCCTATGATATAGTTTCAATTCTGTTGCTGTACTGTTGAGAAGATAATTTGGAGGATAACAGAGTCAAGATGCGGGGGCAACGTTGGCCTGTGGAGAACCTGATTTCACCCTTCACCCCTTAGATAACGATAAAAAGCGCACCACGCCGTAGCTATGTTACCACCTCCAAGCAGATATCACTCATGAAAATATGACAGAAGCCCCTGCTCAAACCTCTCGTCCTAGACGACCGTCCGGTGCCATCTTGCGGAACACCCGACCGCGCGATAACAACAACTTGGGTTCCCACGAAGCCCTCGAGCTGCAAGAGATCCAAACACAGGAGGACAACGAGCTAAACTACTCAACACCATCTGCCTCATCCGGTGATGAATATCGCGTTGTGACGCGTCGCACTACATCACGCGCTCTCGCATCACGTGCAGCTGCGCAGCAGCGCCAGCAAGCTCGAAAGGGGATTTGGGGCAAGCTCACTCGGATTTGGACGCATAATGTTACTCTGACAGTGCCACATAAGAGTAGTCGGGATTACTTCGGTGCGTATCCTACGATAGCAATTGCGACTGCGATTGGGACTTGTCGATCTGCACAATACTGACTCTGCCCGCAGCTCTAGAGAGGACATTCCTCGCGTATATCCGAACATCTCTTGTCGTTTCCCAGCAAGGCGTGCTGATTGCGCAGCTTTTCCGCCTGCAGGCGGCGGAGGCGTTGGCGGATCGTCTTGGATTTCGCCAGGTCGGTACACCCCTCTCGGTAGCGTGTCATTGTCTGGCTATTATCGTGGCTTTGGTTGGGGCGTATCGATTCTGGAGACAGCAGAATGCTATTTCTAGGGGTAAAGTCTATGCTGGAGGCTGGGAATTGAATTCTGTGGGGATATTACTGGGTTGTGTGAGTGTGGTGCAAATGCTTTTTGGTCCTGAGAATGTGACTGACGCTGGCCAGATCACTCTAACGGTATTGATTGTGTCTATTGCTATCATTGTCGAGATTGATATAGACCCGTCTATATTTCTTCGACGAATATTGGGTGGGTGAGTGGTGGCTGTGGATCACACAGATAAAAGTTTGTATTGATCATGTCTTGGCAACTCTAGCCATTTTCAGCCTCATAACCACTCTAAGTAAAAATAATTTTAATGATTTATGGCTTTATTGTTGTTGCATAGCATAGAGCAATGATTCACTTGGTAAAAATGGGGTTTGCGACGAAGGGAGACTAGCTGCACAGCCCCGTGAGCACTGCAATATATGCAAAACCTCTTCTTTAATATAGCTAACTAGTCTTACCATATCATCCCCTTCCACATGCAAAATGATACATACGACCATAGGGTGTGGAAAACAGGGCTTCCCGTCCGCTCAGCCGTACTTAAGCCACACGCCGGTGAGTTAGTAGTTGGGTGGGTGACCACCAGCGAATCCTCACTGTTGTATGTTTTTGATTTTTGCTATTTCAGATCAGCCGCGTTTGCGGCCTTCTGTTATCTTTTTGGATGGTCTTTCTGGATGTATATGGAGGCGGGGAAAAAGTATACTTTGTGCAAGCTACTTTTCTATGTGATGAACAACTATATATTTTGATTTAAGTCATTTAAGTCATGGAGCTCGTAGGCTATTACATAGTTAAAATAATGCATAGACAGATGCAATCCTTCCACCGTTATAATACATGAGGGCTCGTTGGTATCAAAAGAGTTGTAGTGAGCGCAGTGGGGTTTGGTTGTTTAAAAGATCTCATCAGTAAGAGGGGCGAATCTCCTCTTCAAGAAGATGCCATTTTCTAGAAACCTCTGCCCGTTCATCGGTGGTCGATGCTCGCATGTCTTCGAGACCTTGCGCTATCCGAGATGCCATAATAGAAAGCTCTTGGGTCCTACCTAACGACTTTTGAAGCTTTCGGCGGATTCCAACCAAAGGATAACCAAAGAGTCCCCAGAGACCTAAATGGAGTTGAGTCAGAATGAGATACACAAGGGGAGAAAGCAATTGTGTGACGTATAGCGTTAGCATACCTGCTGGTGGCTTAAGAATAACGCCACCAATCCCTTTCCCAATTCCCTTGAACATTCCCTTCGCTCCCTCGTGCTTAGCACCATATCGGGGCTGTGTTACCAACCCTGTGATGCCGTAGTAGAAGCCATCTTGAAGTTCCTAGAGTTCGAGGATTAGTTCGGAGCTTTTTATGATCAAAGACTAGTGACATACCGTTCTAGCTGCCGCAAGTCCACTCCGGAAGCCGGTGACCTTCGGCGTTTCTTTGACCATTGGGTCGTGGTACAACATCGGCGCATTGTGGAAGCCTTTAGAGAAGCTGAGAGTCACGTCTGTTGGGAGCCATAGTATGGTTTTCAAGAACTTCTTTGACATTCGACTGCCGTGAGTGCGTATTTCGTAGACAACACCATGCCCCTCGGGTGACTCTAGATAGCTCAGAATTTGTTCGTGAAGTTGCCCCTCATTTATCGGCATGCCTTCTTTCCGGCCAGTGGCACTAATTGGTAGACCGTGGTTCATTTTGTTGTGTCTCACGTTGTCGTTCTCATCGTCGTTCGTGTCGAGGCTTATCCCATCCTGGTTATCGCCATTTGGCCGGCCAACTCCACGGCACTCGGCAGGCCCATGATACTCGGCAGACTCGTGATACTGCTCCTCTTCGCTATCTAGGTCTGAATCTTGACTTCTGCGGCTTTTCCTCCAGGAAAATCTTGATGAGGGATGACTTTGTGAACGAGTATGACCTATTGCACGACCGGCGGTGACAAAGTCTGAAACGATTTCATAAGGGACCTCGCCGATCCCGGTCACAAAGTTCGCAATTGCTCCAACTAGCACCTGAGCTCCTGCACTGACAGGGCCTGTGGGATTGCGGTATGTGTCGTATTCCGATGCTCGGTTCCTGGATAGTTAGTTAATAGCCTGAAAAGATCTTGCGGAAGTTCAACCTACAAAACGACGTTCTCTGGTTTAATAGCCCCTGTTTCAACCAGTACTGATGCAGCAAAAGCACTGAGCCCAATAGAAGTTTGCTTAATGTGCCATACCGCAGGACGATTGGGACATATTGCGCATTGCAAAGTCTTTAACTTAAGATGCCGATGAAAGCTGCGTACCCCATCCTTCACGCCGGACTCTTTCCGCATCTTATCAGCAATTTCCTGCGCCTTGGCTTGAGTTGAGGGTTCCAGTGCTGTCTGAATTGCATCGGTCAACTTCTCAACTGTGAGTTGCTTGTATGGCACGGGCATCGGCCCGGCCCCAGCCACCGCAACGATTCCTCCCCAGAACTGTTGATCTCCAAAGAAGGGAACAATAATGGTCGGACGTCCAAGAGAAAGCCCTGCGGCAGTGGTACCTGCACCGCCATGGTGAATCACGCACGATACGCGCTGGAATAACCAGTCATGTGGTACGCTGCCGACGATGAGGATATTATCTGGCACATTTATGTCGTCAACTCCGAGGTTTCCCCAGCCTTTTGAAATGATTGCACGCTGGCCCGTATTCTTTATCGCTTCGAGCACAATTTGAGTTAGCTTGACTTGATTTTCTACCACAATAGAGCCGAATCCAACGTATATTGGAGGGGGTCCTGCTTTGAGGAAATCATCGATCTCTTGGAGGGGTTTGTAGTCGGACTTTGCAGGTAGCACACTAAACCCGCAAATATCGATGTGCTCGGCCCAATCGCGTGGCTTTGGCAACAACGCCGGCGACCTGAAGCAAATTACAGTCAGTGGATGGTCCAAGTCTGCCAATTTCGGGTCAGCCCATACCACAAGTATGAGAACGGGACTCCGAGGCGCCCGGGCAAATTTGGTGCAGTGATTGAGTCTAACGGATCGAGCGCGAGGCACTTCTTCCGCCAAGAGTTGACAAGATCTCCCAATCCCTCCCAAATCATCATATCTACAACTGTATAAGACACAAGGTTTGCAACTGTTGGCTTGCAGTCCTGCTGGTGAATAACGGCTAAAGGATGCGGAAATGACTGCGTAGCCGACCAGGGCATTCTAGGAAATTCCCATTAGAGCGTCCCTCAATCTCATGCCTGAAAATGGACTCACGTGAACATCATATGAAGTGGAATCCCCAGCCTCTGTGCGCAATGGATATGACCCAAGCTGGGCGGGTTAGCGATTATTGCATCAGCAACAAACGGTCTCCGACGATAATCCACCGTATCACCCCAAAGATCTTCTTTGATTTGATGCATGTCTGTACCGTCACCTGTTTCGACACATGACCTCCAACAACCATATATAATTTCCTTCATTTCGCGCCGGCGTTTCTGGATGGCACCGCTGCGAATCGTGCTGAATGCGGGGAGTAGGGACGGATTTTGGACCATGAATGCCATCAGTTCCTCTGGGTCTCCACCGATGTTAAAGAACTCTAAGCCACCCTCAAGTACAAAGTCCCGGAAAATGAGGTGGGTTGCTAGTCGTACGCGGTGTCCATATGCCTTCAACTCTTTGCCCAACGCAAGGAACGGTTGGATATCACCCCGAGATCCGATAACTTGAATGACTATGTTCATCTTCAGTGGGAAGTCTTTGCCCTCATCTTTTGGTATTGGCTCTGGAGTCGGTTCGCCCGCTAGTTCCTCTAGGTCCGGTGGCGCAGTTGTCGTTTGGATGCGATTCAATAACCCTGCGAGCTGTGGAATATGCTCGTCGAGCTTTATATCAAGCCGTCCATCACCTACAAAAGAGTCACCGTTAGTCAGACAATTTGTGACGCTCCACTTGAATCACGAACTCAAGACTGTAACCCCGGTGTTTCGTCTTTCTCCGCTGATGTGCCTCCGCTCACGATGCGGGGAGAGCGAAATGTTGACCTCCTCAGGCCAGTCCTCCGATCGGATTGACCCTCGGAGGCTGGGTCTACGCCTCACAGTTTCTGCTGCCGACTCCATTCTTCGCGGGAGTCTTCGCGGGAGATCGGCCTAATGTGGCCAACCAGAGTGACACAGTTCAAGATGGGCAGGAGGGGTGTTAGCGTATGTTAGACTAAATTATAGCAGCAATGAGTTTGTTCATGCATTAAAATTGATCGGATCTTGTGGGGTTAAAGACTATTAAAAAAGAATATGATCACCTGGGTAGCTTTCCTCGATGATGTCATAGGGTCCCAACCTTAATACGGCAGTCTATTACCGCCAGTCCGGATTCTTCAGTATAATTTATGTGGATATTTTACCTACAAGCCCTGGAGTACCTAGGTATACATTGATATACATGAATGTAATGTTGATTAAAAATTGAACGCTAACACTCCATATTCTGTTTTATGTTTTAATGCTTAAACACTTGATGTTTAGCTGGCAGCACCCTACGCTATATTAATTCTTTACTTAATTCGTATGACTTGTTAACTCAATTTATAGTATATTATACAAAAACAGAGCAATTTAGCTCGTAAAAGTAATGAAAATCGGATCAGGCGGTCAAAATTCAGAACAAAAAGTGAAGTGGCGGCAGCAGAGTGCCGCAGTCCCGAGCTTTTAGGCTTGCTGATCTTCCGTGGGTCTCGGGATCGCTGGCTTACCTCGGGATTAGGCGGCCCCGATGGCCCCGAGGTGGATTAGTCACTGGTTTAGTAGGAGCCATGGAATCCTATAGGTGGATATTCCTCTGAAGGTATTCATCCATCTACCGAGGTAGAATAATAGTATTACCTTCAGATATTTTCTATTTTCTGGCAACCAGTGTTAGAAATTGATTTGTAGAAGATACTATGTAGTTGTATCTATTTCTTGCATTCTATCGCACAGCAACTCAAGTGCCCTGTCTGCAGTAATGCGATTAGATGGTAGGAATCGCATCAATCCTTGGGCCACCTCGGATAGAGGTTCAAGATCTGAATCGTGCACAATTTCTGCAAATTTCCGTCCAAACTCCGATATTTCGTATATTTGAGCGGAATTAGTAAAAAGATCTTCTATTATCTCATACATCGAACTGCTTACCTTCTTTTCTCTCTGGATCACGGCTAGATCTCGACTACATCTCATTCCACTGAGATTCCCATTCGGCTGGCAGTCTCTCCACAAAAATGAATCATTTGGAACATCAAATATTCGTCGTCGCCAAAATGCGAAAATGGATAGGCTTTTAATAAGAAGGCGTAAATCTAGAGTTCACTCTTCCATAAGTATGCAAATATCAAAACAGTCTGTGAAAGTTGTCTCAGGTACCCGCAAATCACTTGGCTGAGCCAGTCTTTCAGGCTGCTCCCCTTCGAGAAAACTCTCATCAAAATCAAGAAGCCTAACTTCTTCCTCGTCCTCGTCTAGCCAGTCGATCCATTCTGCTGCCTTAAGCAGTTGGTTCGGCAATTCGTTGGGTAAAGGTGCGCCATCAATACGGGCCAGCGGCTCAATTACTGGGGAGCCAAGAACATCGAAAAGCCCTTGCCCTTCTCATGTGAGGTTAGCAATTTGTTGTAAGTAAATGCCATATTCCGACCGCTGATGTCTGATACAAGGTTAGTACAATTGGGCTGGACTGCAAAAGCCGCATGGGAAAGAATAATTTTACCGCCATGACACATTGCCGGTACTATGAATAAACTTGACAGCTTTCAGTAGTTGCTCAGACATTCGGAGTATTTCTTCCGGCTCGAGCTTATTTTTGCCCTCGGAATAATCTCTAAGGACCATATCAATTGTAGGGCCAAGTAATTCAGATGCGAAGCATTGGTGGGCTCCATTAGGGCCATCGTGAGTAAAGTCACCAAGCAGCCGAACAATATATATCGAAGAAAGATTTCCGCCCGAATGCTTTTCAAGAAGTCTTAGGTATTGCAACTCGAGCGATTCTGCCGAATTCGCGGTCATGATCTTCAACGAGACCCACTGATTTTGGCTGGTGTCATGTTAGCCATGGCTTGGCAAAAATGGACCGATTAGTGAGCTGACTCTCTATCCTTCACAAGCCACACAGTTGAAAACCCCCCATATCCTAACTTATGATGGATTTCGTAGCGATCATCAGTGGAGGTGTCTCCGAGGGTACCGGGTGATATCCCCTGAGTTTGTATCTCGACAATGACTCCTAGGTATAGAGGATACTATTTTGGCAGAATAGAGATAAATCCATACAGTATTCGAATGTTGGGCGAATGAGAGTAGGGAGGCACTTGGAGTGGGGAGAGGACGTCATGGGCTACAAATAATTCTTGCCCAGCTCTGCGGGAGGTGCCGAGGTTTGATGCCTTATCGGACAAGAGAGACTGGCCCGGGAAAGTTCCCGAGATACCCCTTGCAATGTTGGCAACTTGAGTGATTGGCTATACAAAGGAGCAGAACGTTGGGATTCATGGCAATAGATATTTGATTGGTTAAGCATACGAATTCACCGCCTCGCTCTCCGCCTCTCCTTCAATTCTTTTATAATCTGATCAAGAATCCATGGTGTTAGAGACATTATTATATTGATTACCCTTTTGGAAGTCTGTTTAGTGCTCTTTTTGAAGGTCTCCTGTGGGGTTTCTTTATCCGTGCCGGATTGCAAGGTCATAGCCACCCGCGCAGATCCCGATAGACCAGTATGACATTGAGTCGTTTTACTCCACGATACTACTGAAAGGGGTGTTTTCAACCGGCTATAGAAGGAAAATGATGTCCGAGCCGGAAAATGGTGTCCGACTCGGTGACATCCCGGGGCCCCGCGAATGGGCAACCTTGAAGACGATGGCTTAGCGGGTCTTCCCCGCATTCTGCCCCGGTCGATGGCGTCAAGTGCTAACTCTAATTGTCAATTTCATAGAACTTACATTGTAAAGGGAGAAATCGGTTGCGCTAATTGCGGTAGCTCTGGTTGGTGTAGATGTTGAATGAAACAAAGTTCACATTTCACAATTCTGCTTATATTTGAAAGGTATTCTCAGTTGTTGTCTTCCGAATTGGATCATTATTACCCAGGTTGTACACCGACCCTACTTCTCGGATACCAGACTTTGACAAAGGCCATGGCGGACAAAAAAGAATCCCCAGAGACTGAACATTTTGAATCTAATATAAAATCGGATCCTTCTACTCTCATACCTCCCCCTGGATCAGCAAGACAGCCATATGGCGAACCTGGTATTACCCCCTCGCACGGTCTCTATACTCATCATATACTAATACATCATCACAAAAAATAGGCCTGAAGGGTATTCTTACGAACAAATATGTAGCAGCATGCGCTGCCTTCGCAACGCTGGGTGGGGCAATGTTCGGGTACGACCAAGGCGTCGTCTCGATAACCCTTACAATGGACCAGTTTCTCGAGCGATTTCCCGAGGTTGGCCCCAATGCACCTGGTGCGGGATTTCAGAAAGGAATCCTCACTGCCATGATCGAGCTAGGCGCCTTCATTGGAGCAATGAATCAGGGATGGATTGCCGACAAGATCTCTCGAAAATGGTCTATCATGGTTGCCGTGATAATCTTCCTCTTTGGTTCGGCTCTCCAAACTGGCGCTATGAGTTTTGAAATGCTTGTAGGCGCCCGGTTTGTCGGAGGTATTGGTGTCGGTATGCTGGCCATGGTGGCACCTCTTTATATTTCTGAGATCGCGCCCCCGGAGATTCGTGGTACTTTGCTTGTTCTGCAGGAACTTTCTATTGTTACTGCTATTGTGATTGCTTTCTATATCACATATGGTACAAGATACATTCCGAGTGAATGGTCATGGCGTCTTCCTTTCCTTATTCAGGTGTGCCTTCCCCGTTAGTCCTAATTTGCTCTTTCCTAACCACGTGGACAGATGATTCCTGCCGTATTTCTTGGCGTCGGTATTCCCTTCCTACCATATTCACCTCGTTGGCTCGCTGGTCGAGGCCGAGATGAAGAAGCACTCCAGGTTCTCTGCAAGTTGCGCGGTGTCGACGCTACTGATGAGCGCGTCATCCGAGAGTGGGTTGAGATTCGCTCCGAAGTGGCTTATTGCAAAGAAGTGAGCATCGTGAGACATCCAAAGTGCCAGGATGGAAGTTACACTAGCCGTGCTATGCTTCATGTCTGGAGCTATCTCGACTGTTTCCGTAAAGGGTGTTGGAAGCGTACGCATGTAGGTATTGGACTGATGTTCTTCCAGCGTAAGTGTCTATCTGTCGTGGTGCAACGACCACTGTCCCTTGTTTTTCTTCTGTAGACTGCTAACTCATATCTTTCTCTCAGAATTCGGCGGGGTTAACGCCCTTATCTACTACTCACCCAGTCTATTCGCAGGAATGGGTCTGAACTACGAGATGCAACTCCACATGTCCGGCGTCATCAACATCTGCCAGATGCTAGCCTGTTTCTGGTCACTATGGGGAATGGATAAGTTCGGCCGGAGGCCTCTGCTCTTTGGCGGTGCTGGTTGCATGGTGATTGCGCATCTCATCATTGCTGTCCTGATGAGCCAATACCAATCTAATTGGCCTGCTCATTCAACAGAGGGCTGGGTTTGCGTCGCTTTCCTGTGCTTCTTTATGCTCACCTACGGAGCTACTTGGGGTCCCATTCCTTGGGCTATGCCTGCCGAGATCTTCCCTTCCTCGCTACGTGCTAAGGGTATGGCATACTCCACAATGTCGAACTGGCTCAACAACTTCATCATCGGGCTTATTACTCCGCCGCTTGTGCAAAACACTGGGTATGGGACTTACGCGTTCTTCTGTGTGTTTTGTGCACTATCGTTTGTTTGGACGTGGCTTTTTGTTCCCGAGACAAATGGGAAAACCTTGGAGGAAATGGACTCTGTCTTTGGTGATAATACTTCAAGTGTGGAAACCGAACAGCGCGCGAGGATTGAGGCTACAATCTGGGCCCATGCTGCGGGACGATCTGATGGACTCGAAGGGACTCATCAAATTACTTAGATGGGGAACTTTTCTTTCGACTTGTATATTCGAGGCACGCGGTGTCTGGTCTGTATCTGATGTTTTTGTAGTGCTTATATAGGTATCTATAAGAGATTATGTGATCTTTCCGTCTGCTCCCAGGTTATACCTAGTCTCTACCTGCCCACTGTAGATGTCTCCTTTCTCTTCACGCATCTACAGATTCTCCAAAGTCCTCTATTCCTAAAAGACTTCCAAAAAGGACCAGAGATAGGCCAATTCCCGAAACGCATGCTTAACCCTTCCTCCAATACTATCTGATATAATAGCTGTCTGGAGTTGTGGTGGGAATAATGAGAGAGGAAAAGCGCTCGCTGATATCATTTCCCACAGTCGGTCGTGGAGAATGAACCATGAAAAGCAGCGTGTAACTGTTTCCTCAGTCATCCAAGCCGTACACGCTCAGATCCTGGCTCATTATAGGAAGCGCCCAAACAGCACTCTCCCTCCCTCCAAAAACCTTCAATTTCTTCTGTCCTCGAAACTCGAGCCCAATCTTCTCCAAAACCCTCGCGCTATGCGGATCATCCTTTCCACAGAATCCAAACACTGAATCGACCCCGAGTTCCCTCTTCGCATAATCTAGCAACGCAAGGGCGGCTTCGGTGGCATACCCCTTCCCAGTTTCCTTGGGCAGAAACGCATATCCGATGTCGGGCGCCAGGTAAGCATTCGGTGGCTCGCCCCTCATCAATGACACGGAGCCAATAGGTTTGCTCTCGGCCAAAGACGCGTTCTCATGCGGCTTCAGCGAGACTAGAAACATGCCATAATTGTTTCGGGCGTAGTCGGCGTGGACGCGATTGCGAAGGAACTTAGAGGCCTTCTCTGCCGTGTCGATACCGGTACGGCCGCATGTTTTCATAAATTCCTCGCTGTTCCATAATTCGACTAGGAAAAGACAGTGCTCAGGAGAGTCGGGTAAGAAGTAGGAGATTTGGAGGCGGTCACTCTCAATCGAGAATGTGGGAGATGCCTCAAATACAGAACTCATATTTGCGTGTTTCGCGTTACAGTCACGTAGTGTCCGAGTTTTCAGATCGGAGTGATTCGTAAGAGTAGGTAGGAGTTGTGACAGTTGGAAGAATCCAGTAGGGGGTGCTATCGATTGCAGCAACGCCCCGCACGTTCTTGAGGGAACAAAGAAATCGGAACCCATGTGATCCACACGGCTCTCTACCTTAAACTAGCTGACCTATCCCGCGATAGCCCTTACCTAGATCTAGCTCATCAATTGGGCAATCAGACTTCGTAATAGAAATTGCGAAATCTCGTTATCTGGGTGACCGCCGGGAACCCCGGCCATGGTAGATAGGCGATTTAGCCGCCATCTCAAAATAGAATGGCGCGACGATCTTCGAACCCTTGCATCACGAGGGGGATATCCCATCATCCACATTTATCGCCACACGTTCATCTCACATTCCAAGCTTTGTCGAGTCCACTGATCGGAGTGGACTCGATCATCCCGAGGTCGATCTGATCGTGGCTTCGGTTCGTGGCGCTAGGGTCTGTTCTACAGCAGCCATTTGTGCCAAATTTGATCTATTATTTTCACTGCTACCGTTTCCGCCCTCGTAACGTACAACATAATACATTCCACGTATTCTAAACTTACATTTTGTAAACTTATATTTCTTTCTCAATATACCACTAGCGGTTAATATTAAACCGGATAGAAATAAATTATCTCTCTCTTAGGGTAGTGCTTCTTTAAAAGCTATAGTTAGTTATATGGTCAAGGCTCTTACCTAGGCTCCCGCATAACCTATTTTGGGTTGAGACTTTCGAGTTAAAATAGGTTGTGCGGAAGCCTAATTATATATACGTTATGTTCGTTAAGTTAGAATCTAATAATCGCTCCCTTAATCTATCGCATACTTTAACACTACCTCTACTCATTTAGCATTCGTCGTCCAATAGTAATAATAAGAATCGTAAGAATAAGAAAGATATAAAGAAAGGAAGAGTGTTCGAACCATGGCATGTTCCATCTCCCTTCTTACCTTGATCATCTTCATAGCTCTCTTTGAAGTCCCGTCCTCTCAATGGCCTGATTACATTGATTCGATTGGTGGCTCACGCAGCCTCCCCATCAGAAGCACGTCACCGAGACTGTATATTTGATAGCATGGAGTTTGTCTAGTTACCACGTCGATTCTTTGACCATGAGCTTCAGAAGCTTGTTTTATCGCTCCGAGAGTGGATATGGTATTTGGATCAAGTAGGTAATGTACCTATTGACGGGAAACTTGTTCATTCGGGGTTTTATGAGAAGCTATATGCTGCATAGGAATACCACGTGTTTCACTCTATATATAAATACAGAGAAAGATCTATTAAGCTTTGCTAGATGGGAGTTTTGTAGATAGGTATATTGGTGACACACATCACACGGCGCATTGCGAGCGACAAAATACAAGTTTTTGGGATTCAAACTTGAATGATACGAGTACTACAATATACGTGAATTATGGGAATTGTCAAAGGAACTAAACGACCTTGGTCGCATGAGGCGGTACCAGATGAAAAATGGGAAGAGATTGTATGGTGACCGGTGACGTTACTCAGTGAATCTTGAAATGTATACATTGAGATATATTTGATAGTGTTTATCAAATCGCATATCCTGCTGTGCCTTCATCTGACCTCTCGATATGGCAATCAGACCACTCGACGCCATCTAGAACAGAGAGCCTGGTTGGTACAATTTCAAGTTTCTCTCGTACCATTCTCTGTTTTTCTGCTGCCAACTTGTCCACGACGGTCTTAGGTGGTCCATGTATTTTCATATACATATGCACACCGCATATCCGACAGAAATAATGCCCATTGAACCTGCGCTGAAAGAAATATTCTGTAATGTTTTCGCATCCGTGGATAGAGACACTATCTCGGTGAGTGTATATGCAGATATTGGCATTCTATCCTGGTTAGATCTGATAGTACGAAAAGCTTTCGGGGATGGATACCTACTCTCTGGCAAATACTACAGTTATCTTCCTTGATCTCCACCTCTGATAAAGCTTTGAGATTCACGGCTATGGTAACGGCACCACAGTAACAGCCTCCGGTATAGAGGTTTAGGTTTTCACCTGATACTTTCAGCAATTGTCCGTGGAATTGAGTAGAGACAGATACACTATCGTATAGGGGGTAATCTAGGCTTTTTTGTACATTAAAGAAGATCTCGTATGAAGGAACTTGAGGTTACTTACGCCTTAACTTCAAAAGTGAAGGGATTCATGCCAAATAAAGCTCTTTCTTGTAGACAGTTTAGATCCAAATCTAGACTTAGCAGTCTGAGACAAGTATCACTCACATTTATAGCAATGCCTAATTGTCCCGCTTGTATCACATGATTCTTCGCCATGATTCCTGTACCGCAAAGAGGGCAAAACTAATAGTGATAAATTAGGTGATAGATATAATTGAAGAACAATATTGAAGGCAACTCACAAAATGTTCCCCACTACGACCATTCGCAGTATATCTAGCCATAGCTTGCTGTCCGCTTGTAATACGGAACTGAGATTCCTCGAGAAATATCCAGAGGTGGCCCTTCTTGCTGCATATCAAGCAACGACAGGTGAAAACATGCCACAAGGGTTGCTGTAGATCGAGATCGAATCTGATTTGACCGCAATGGCAATTTCCGTGATAATTGTCTGGCGAAGACATCCCAACATCGTTTATTTTAACCTCTGCCTTAAATTTCATATAAGCTAGGAGCAAAGGCTGGGTAAAAATTGGAATTGAGATTGGAAATCAGGAGACAAAGAGGGAATCTATTTAATATATGACACGCACCCTGTACGGCGCTAGCTCTATGTTATTTAGCAGACAAATTATCAACACATGGGTATTTGCGCTTATCTTGCCATTTTCCACTTAGAGAATTCATCGCCTGGTGAAATATATGAGGTTGTTTAAATTGTTGAATCAAATTTTGGATTTTGTAATTTTAGGTTAGAAAATTATATATCGTGCCATTAACGAAGTACTGTTCTTCCCTGCACCCGGGTAATTTAAATCATCTTACAACCAGTACGCCATAAAATACGAAACCTGACCGCACTAGTATTTATTATTATGCAGTACAAAACACGGTCACATCCGAGGCATTGATACTGAAAGAGGCTAAAGACAAGAGATAAACGTGAGATAAACGTGAGATAAACGTGTATTGGCATAAAGTAAGTCTCCTTGGATCGCGTAAGTAATTTACGGAGCTTAGCATACTGGAAGGGTAATATATCACTCCAGATAGGAAAAAATAATGGACGTTCAAAGTATGGATCTTTTCCAACAAGGCAAATATATGCTAAGATAGTAACTTTTCAGACTCGTGTCTCTTGAAAGCCTGCCATTTCCGTAACGCGTCAAAATCAATGCATTCGTGGACTACCCCCCATCCCAGCCCTCCAGCTGTCAGCTCTGGCGCTGTTCCCGGTGGACTAGCAGGTTCCATAACTAGGAAGTCTCCACATGTGATTGAAAGACGGAGGTATTCAAAGCAGTGATCAGTATGCTCTGTCCAGCCCGCCGTAATCGCCTCTGATTCGTTGACGGGTTGGCTGATTTGAGACTCGTAGTGGCGGAAACGTCGTCGAACAACATTCTAATGAATAGTCACTAGTTAGCTTTACTGAAACACCACAAATGTGATTCTTCGGAAATCATTGTATGACTTACAACACAATGAAGTTGGTGAAGATTTGACAAGACGTAGAACCGTTCATCGGTGTTATCAATATTCAAAGGATCAGAAATACCCTTGGCTAAGCCGTAGTCTGATGGATTCTGTAGCCAGATGGAATCACCTCCTGCGGGTTGGAAGTTAGTTTTCTTTTGCCCACCGCATTTATCCCTGGTGTAATAAGAGCAAACCGGCTTACCGCTTGTGATTTCCTTCCAGGCTTTATCGACAGCGTCACCACTGCCATAGTATCTGTTGTCAGGCACAAATGGAATTTTCAGTCGCTGCTGAAAGATCTCTTTGGGTATAGGGGTTCTCAGACGTAGTCCTGGAACAAACTCAGGCCTCTTGAAGAATGAAAGACTAGTACAGCCTAGAACAATTCCCAGCCCAAAGACAATGGGTAGAAGGATAAGATATGCCCTGCAAAGTCTTTTGGATACAAAAGGTCGAATTATAGTTCCCCCTAGCGGGGTCTCAATAGAGGTTGATTGAGCATCCTCAACATGTCGGTGTTTCTCATCATATACATCCGCAAGTGTATAATCTCTGGACATGGTCGAAGACAGTATGCTTGGAAGTTTCATTTTGGCGGTGGTTGAAGATTCTTAGAGTAAATTTATTGAAAAGAAGCTTTGAGCGAAAGGACTTGTAGTTAGGAAAATCAAGTAGCAATAATTGAATGCGTCTGCAGGGTAGGAGATGGTTGTCTTCTAGGCATTTCGCCCTTGAAATATATGGAAATCCTTCTCCTAAGACCTGCATGTGAAAGTATTCTGAAAAGGCATAGCATAAGGGCCCTATTGATATACACTAGCACAGATCACTACGTATTACCGGTAGTTCCTGTCATAATTTCAGTACTGATTTCGATCTATCACTCGTGCTATTGCTCCGATATGGCAGAATCTTGGAATGTTCACAACTTGCAGAAAAAGATAAGAGATGTAACTAGGAACCCCTAGCTTGATGTATGTTATTCCACCTTTCAGTCAATGGGAGAATTACGGGTTGAAAAGAGGCAGAGTCGCAGACAGCCCATGCAACGCTGTGAGAAGAATCAAAGTAATTGGACTGAAGCACGCATCGCCCCTTACAACTATCTCCTCACTGCCTTAACACAATGATTATTATCACGATAGGAGACACGAACAGCTGACGTAGACGCATTCCGCAAAAAGAAAGTCAACACGAGAATAGCTCAGCTCACAGGCTTAATGGAAAGCAACTTTTTGGTTATGTGACCGCTTCAGGGCTGATATTATAAATACTTGGAATGTTGACCACCTAGAAATCATATTTCTATCGACATCAATATCGAACTTCAAAGCACCATCCTCCAAAGCATTTCAATCTTCCCAGTCTAAGCCTGCAAACAATTGTGAGATAAATGCTAGCAAGTTGACTTTGCATCCAGTATACAGAGATTAACTGTGTATAGTCTTCAATATGAGATTCATCGCCGCTCAGACAGTCCTGGCCGTCGCATTGGCTGCAGTTGCCAGTAGCTTGGCTATCAATACCGAGGCTGTCGTAAATCCCGAGGCCCCGGAGCCAGCTTGGGTTTGGTCTTCCAAGCGCGAAGAGCATGCAAATCCCAAGGCCCCGGAACCCGCCTGGGTTTGGTCCTCCAAGCGCGAAGAGCATGCAAACTCCGAGGCCCCGGAGCCCGCATGGGTTTGGTCTTCCAAGCGCGAAGAGCATGCAAACTCTGAGGCCCCGGAGCCGGCCTGGGTTTGGTCCTCCAAGCGCGAGGAGCATGCAAACTCCGAGGCCCCGGAGCCGGCTTGGGTTTGGTCTTCCAAGCGCGAGGAGCATGCAAATTCTGAGAGCCCGGAGCCCGCCTGGGTTTGGTCTTCCAAGCGCGAGGCTGAAGAGAATGCAGACCACGATGTTGCCAAGCCGATCTGGGTCCCGTCCACCTGCTAGTGCAAGGTTGAGGACATGGAAGAATGAGGACTATATGTTACTTCAGCCAATTAGAAAGATGGAATTTGAGGGCCATGCCACGAGCTTGATTTACTGAGGAGAATCCAATGGGAGGATGACTTGTTGATGACAACGGAAGTTGGGTGGTGTTATGTACCTACATCCCTCTATCTTAATTTCTAAATCGACTATCATATAAGTTTTGAATTTAGCAAAAGGTACCGCGGTATTGAGTTAATACCATTAACAAGCTGTTTTATGTTAACACACTCCAATATGGGACCTAGCTACTCCCAGGGAAATTATTACATTGGCATCAGAAGCACCAGAGTTTCCTAAAGAATGACACGCCTCTAACAATACAAAATCTCTCAAACAGCTTATGTAGAAACAAAACCATTGAGAGGGCATAGCTTCTAACCGAGACACCGTACATTGAGTATGATAAGTATTGAAGGCACCGCAAGAACATCGATTCATGAGCTTACTTTATTTCCCTTGAATTTCTCTTCTACAACTACATCAAGCTGTAAGCTAAGGGGAGGAAACAAGGGCCATAGCAATTTTTCCACGTTACTTGGGTAATCTATTATGCTTGGCATAGATTATGCCTGCCATATCTTCCTGAAAGCAGCATTTAAAGCAAAGACAATTGTATTATACCCTGCTTTGATAACATACTGTTCGTATATGTCGATTACCTTACCAAATGGCCATCAGCTCATCCTAGGCACTGCCACGGCCACACAAATCCCGGCCCTGGTTTTCTATCATCCATGGAAATCATGCTGCCAGGTTAGATTGTATTTTCTTTCCTGTTCAATCTGAAACTGTCGCAGTAGTTCAAAATCAATACAGTCGTGTTCAACCCCCCAGCCAGTGACAGAAGTAGCATGCCCTGTTGAAACGGAATCATTAGGCCAGTCCATCAAGAATAAAATGAAATAGGATTGAGTTTACCCTCTCCAACTTTGATTGGGCTTGATCCCTCTATAATTAGATCTCCTCCACACGAAATTGCTTGTCGGAGATATTCAAAGCAATGCAAGACATGCAAATTCCATTTGACCGCATCATGTTCGGTATCGAGATCGACACCATCCCGGGCCTGCCAGAACTGAAAGCGAACCATGTTCTGTCACTTTGAGTTAGAAAGAGTCTTTTATTGGATGACGCTAACCTCAGACGTACTAGACAGTGAAGCTGGTGAAGGATCGAGACCACATAGAAATCATGTTGTGGGGGATCGGTTTCGTGTGGATGATCAAATGGCGCGACAATGCCCTCGGGCAAACTCCATCTGTCGGGGTCTTCGATCCAGACGGCGTCATGGCCTATAAGTGGGGGGTGTGAGTAAACAATAAATTTAGACTGAGAGGGTTTGTTCTTACCAGCTACCAAGTCATCCCAATGGTGATCCACTTCTCTCGAATTTCCAATATATCTTTCATCAGGTTGAAATACCTTTCTCACCGGCTTGAAGACGTCCTCTGGAATAGGCGTGAATGTCCCGAGCTGGAACTTGCCATTAAATGTCGGAGCAATAGCAGATGATTTCCAATAGAGAATTGTGGTCGTAGTCCACCCAGTTGCAAGGATTGAAATCACAATGTACAGGAGAAGATTCCAATGTCTATGATCTTCAGACACTGGAAGCGATGTATCTTCTCCATCATTGTTGTTGATCTCTCGGTACTTCGAATCAGAATCTCGGAGCTTCAAAGACCACATTTTGTCAGTTCTGGAAAGAAATCGGAGGAAAAGGAAAAGAAAAAGAAAAAGGAGCTGTTCAATTGAGTACAGGAGCCAGAGAACCACAGCAGTTACAGCAATATGTCCATGCTCCGCTTTCCAATAAATAAGACACCAAATTATCTCTTATCTCCTCATCTAGTTCTGCGTAGTGTCTGTAGCCCAGTCAGTCTGATTAAGCCTCGCCGAAGTAAGGGCACATAGAGAAACCAGGCCATGACTGCGACCCAGATTTGCGAACACCTACGTTTGAAGTCAATGTAAAGAGCCCTGTGGAATGTACATTTACCCACTCTTTAACTAGGTTATCAGGCTAGCCTGTGCAAACAAAATGCCGCATTATCCTGTGATATGAGTGATCCAGACCTACTTATGTAGGGGGGCTCAAAACGCAGTCATTTGTGGGTGTTCGTAGATCGGACCGGAGACACGAAGTGCCAATCTACTTTAGGTAGGCTAGAATTGACCTCATAGTGGAGAATATATGGCATGCATATGCACCTATTTGCCCAGGTGGTGTGCAGGACGCAGGTGGGTTCAGCTTTTGTTCAGCCTCGGGTTCAGCAATGAACTAGAAAGTGAGTTTCCATGTGCCCCACTTTTATTGAGCGTAACATACCGGAACTAGGTTTTTACTTCTTTACTGCTTTTTTTTCAAATGCTTAAGCTTGTTATATGAAACATTCAATACAATTTATTACTAGCTTATCTACTATACAAAAATATTAGTTTCATCGAGAACAATAGGGTGGTTTTGTGATTCGAATATTACCTACATTACCCTTTGAAATTTTCAATGCACAAAAACGAATTATACATTACAGTGACTTTTTTAAAAAATTTACCATACTTCTACGCGTCACTATATAGTACATTCAGTAAGAAATGGGTGTATTCAAAATATTTTCAAGATTTGGGTATAATATTCTATCCTACCGAGTCATTTGACAATCATACCTTAACATATCATATTCTGGGTATTATGAAATACTATCATTGCCGGAAGCAAGGAACTAAAGAAAAACACACGCGAAATTGATTGTTACTGCATTTATTTGGGAAAATATTGTAGGTTTAGACCCTCTAATTTCTGAAAGTTTGACATTCTCGCATGATAGAGGTAAAACACGTAGTGAATCTTGGCCGAGTTTATGAATTTTCTCAATGACCATGTCCAGCATGTGGCCCCTTTTCAAAATCATTCAAGTCGCCAGGTGTATGCGTGAGTCTACCACCGGTGTATCCCGACCCATGCACTTTATTTGACCGATGTTCATAGGCCCAAGAAAAGATCTTATCGTAATCACGACACTGATGGATAGCCCCCATGCCATTGATTCCTACTTCACTCATGGGCTCGAAAGTAGGGTCTGCATGGCACATTAGAACTTGGCGGATATAGTCAAGGCAGTGATCGCGGTGGAATTCAACTTCTTCCTCGTCCATATCCTGCAAGGATGAGGGGTAATAGGCGAATCGTAGGAAGTTCTGTGTGGTAGGTTAGACATTTGCATGTTAGAGTTGAACGGGATCCATTATGAATTGATGGAAAGCTGAAACCCATACCAGACAGTGTAGCTGGTGAAAGACCGATACACCGTAAACCAGCATAGTCTCTGGATTATTTGGGGCGGGCAGGGACTCGGGAAGGTTCTTTGCAGCTGCGATTGGAAGTTCCACGATACCATCACCAGCTAAGAGGCGACTCAGTCAGTAGTTGTTTTATTTCTCAATTTAGTCATAAGATGATTCACTCACGGGGAGAAAGTCGTTTCCACATCTCATCTGTCTTGTTTGATGGAGGTCCACCGAAATAGGAGTGAGGTTGGAAAGTAACACGGCTTCTATATTGCACTGTAATAGGGAAAGATCTTGATCAGCTGGCTTAATTCTCTCTGCCCGCCTTTCTCGAGAGAGTGTTTTTTCTCACAGTCTTCCTCAAACTTAGTTGTCCACGATTCCGTATCGCAATGGCATTGCTCAGACTTCCTGCCAAATATGCCGGTGACCCACATGCTTACAGAGGTGAAAAACAGAAGAGCATTGAGGGCGATTAGCCAATTTCTATAACTGCAAATCTGCCCTCCCCTTAATGGCCGGGAAGATTTTCTGGAGTGGTAGTTCCAAGAGTCGGCGCGAGGAAGTAGTGTTGAGCTCGAATCACTTCGACCTGACTCGAGAGGAATGTCTTTGTCTGACTCGAAATCGTCATGAGCGGCCATTGTAAAGTTGAAGGGGAGAGAGAAAATTTGTCACCCAAGTAGAAAGAAAGGATGGATGGTGAGGGCAAAATATATAGATAGAGAATAAATTACCAACACAGCGTGATGAAATAGTGGAGCTACCTACATACACAAGCAACGGGTTGCCCTTCAAGTTATCCAATCACTTGAAATTGTATGAAATTCGTTGATAACAGTCGAGACATACAGATTTCAGGCAGCGTCTCATGGATTTCCCTTTCCGTTCAAGTGCCCACCCCTTGCGGCCTTCCTATCTCCCACCTTACCGGGGACTAAATCGATGCACTCTAGTCTCATTCCAATTCTTCTGTCCCAGTTTGCCTTCCTTAGTAGCCTTAGGCCAAAGTGACACACATTATGGGTGACAAGTCCAAAATTGCAGGTAAAGGAAGAATATGAGAAATTATGGATAGGTCCAAGGATCGGGCTATGTGATAATATTCCGGACAAGAATTGGTAATCAAATAAACTACTGAATTCGGCGGGATTCTGGCGATTTTTCTCCGCGAGGTTCCCACCTATCCGGCAAAGGCCGAGTCATAGACGCCCTCGAGTTCAGGATGAAGGATATACAAGACCGCAGTGGACGCTGCAGATCCCCGAACGCTATATCTCCAGTTTGGGAAAGCCACATGTAATTTTCTATGACAACTACTTATCATCACCCCCACACGCCATTCATGCCACCTAATTAACATGTTCCTCGTATTCTACAGCACCAGCGGCAATATCCTTTGCATTCTTTTGAACTTCTTCGTCTTCGTGATAGACGAACTGAAGCGGTCTTTTGGTCGAAATGGCATCAGCATCACCGACAACGATGAGTGGCGGGTTGGTACGATAGTATGCATCGATGTCCTCCAGCTTCCGGTTTGCTAATAAACATTAGCACATACATAATATCCACATAACCTCTTGGGATAAGCTCACCTGTTTCTGGATATATGAAATATATAATTGGCAGGAAGACCGCGTTGAGGACAGTCCACACAATCCAAAATTTCCATCCAATGCTTTGAATACCGATAGGTGTAATCTCGACTATAGCAAAATTCGTAATCCTGGATAATTTAAAGCATGAGAACCATGGTTTAGTTCAATGGGAATATGTTTCAGACAACTTACCAATTAGTCGCGGTCGAAACTGCCACTCCCTTTGTTCTCATGGGGAGTGAGTTTATCTCAGTGGGATATAACCACGGCACACCCAGCATACCCATTCCAAAAGCGATATGATATAGGAAGAAAAAGGCAACAGAAGCAGTGGCGTATACCTTATTATTCTCAGCCAAGTATAGGAGAATTGTGATAACCAAGAAGGAGATAAACTGTCCGAAACCAGATAACATCATCAAGCCTCGACGGCCGACTCGCTCAACAATTGAGGCTGCGGCGCACGAGAAAATGAAATACGAGGTCGCATTACAGGCCGTCAGCAGCCGGGCCATCTTATCTGAAAGCCCGACCGAGTTCATGAGGACTAGCGGGAGATAGTAACTCATTATGTTGATACCTTTGATGCAGAATTTTCATCAGTATGTTCAAAACTTTATGCGAAATAGGGCTTGGACAGGAAAGTACCTTGTAACTGCTGCATTGCCTGTGTGCCGGCACCAAGAAGCAACCGTCGAAGAGTTTTAGTATTATCGGCTTTGCCCCGGCGCAGAAGATCGCGCCATCGAACGGAATTGTCTTGTTCATATGTGATACTGAATTTGATCTCATCACGCTGAGTTATGATAACTGGATCGTTGATGGATGTAGCCTCGATGCACGCAAGTACTTCCATCGCCTCATCTTCGCGGGCTTGTGTCATGAGCCATCTGAATTCTTGTCAAATCCACATCTATCTTCTGTGCAAAAGGACTTGGTATCATACCTTGGGGATTCAGGGAGCCAGGGGATTGTTACGAGTAAGACAGCGACGAAAGTAAGTTGTAGAGCGATCGGCATACGCCATGCAATGGCGCCCCCGCGGAAAGAAAGTCCATAGTTTATCCAGTTGACAATACAGTACCCGCCGACATTCAGCCCAAGGTCCAGGATGACCAATTTTCCTCTCCATTTCGCCTGTGCTGTTTCCGTTTGCCAGATAGGTGCTGTTGCAGTGTTGATTCCGTTCCCGAGACTAGGTGATTTAGGATTATTGGTAGTAGATGAAGATCGTTGACCCACTCACCCTAGCACAATTCGACCAATGAAGATTTGGGGTAGGCTATAAGATGATGCCTGGAGAACGGTACCGACGGCTATAATGACGGTACCCAAAAGAATGGCTTTCTTGCGGCCCAGTCGCTCGCCTAGCGTAAAGGCGAGTATGGCTCCGAAGAAACAACCGATGTCGTAAATGGCAGCAACCGTTGAAAGGACTTTGGTTTTGGTAGGGCCAACAAGATCATGGACTTCTAAGAAGTCAGGGGTAACCACCACGCCACCTAGATAAATATACTGTTAGTATCCCGGACGACTGCATAGGAGTGAAAGGGAAAGATAACATACTGAAAACACCCTGGTCGTATCCAAATAGCATCATATCAGTAGCACATGCTACCTGAGACCTCACTTGTATTAGCATTCCTCCGGCTGAGACGAGGTATGGAAACATAGCCAACCCACCGTGAGCCAAAAGGTAAGCCATCCTCCGGTGAGTCCGAAATAGGGCTTCTTTGTTGAGGCTATCATTATCGATGAAAAGATATGACGGAATAAGTAATAACAGAAGGTTGAAATCCACCTAATCAGATAATATGAGAGTAGCTGTTGTGAGAGTAGTTGTTAGAAGCCTGCTGGCAATCAGCTGCTTTATATACCTCATTCTCTCGGATAATTGCAGCTCATACCCCAGGAAATTTACCCTTCCGGCCCCATATAGTCCCGACCCCAGATGCAGACGTGGTGGATATGGGATGTGGTGTTCAAAGTGTGGCAAAAATTATTTTCCCCGTAACTTGGCGGACACTGCCAACCCACGATATCGCTCCTTCCCTGCTCTCCTACATTAGTCTCCCAAAGGAATGCATGCCTTGAAATGTTGGGCTCAGTTGCAATGCCACCTTCATTGGAATGTACCTTTTTGCTGCATCGAGGACCAAGTCTTTTCAGATGCCAATCCTACCCATCTCTTCGGAGACGCATCTGACAAGCGAGGACTATCTTGTTGGATGTATAGAACTGGCTAACGCGAAGGAAACTAGCGCCGAACTAGAGCTGGGGCTATGGACTCTAATAGCCAATCATTCTCTCGGCTGGAACGGAGACATTACGACGGACCGAAATATGTTTCGCGGAAAGATTTACTTGAAAGGGATGCTGACGGGTAATTAATGCCGCCAGTACTCAGAGCCGCTTTTCTCCCCAAACAGGCCCATAACAGAGGAAGAATGATGGGGAAATGGGGGGAAACGAGGAAAAGGCTGCTGACAGGTTGAATTTCCAGTTCCGCTATGAGTGATTTAACACCATGGAAAACCAATGGTCGGAAGTGTTTTCACTAACTACACCATACTGTATCCTGAAATCAAATTCTAGTTAGGGAACTCGCCATCACTCCCGGTCCCCCGCCCGATCCAATCCATGAACGGTGACCGACGATTGCGACGAAATCAAGTCGCCTGCGACGCGTGCCATACCCGCCGTGTGCGATGCGATCTGGTATCCTCGTTACCATGCTCGCACTGTCTGCGCAACGACGTAGACTGCAAAATTACACGCAAGCTTCGAAAACGAGGTCGCATAGCACGGTCTAAGCTAGCCAATGCGAATAGGACTCATGGGGTAGACGCACCGCCAAGTCCTACAGAACAAAGACAGACCAGCGAAAACTGCAGTCTTGCGTCACAATCGACTGTATCATCCATGGATCCCACCATTCCGACTTCAGTCACACAATCGTCTTCGCCAGGAACCAACGAAATCGATGCTCTCTTGACCTTGTGCATGGAGGACTGTCGCTCTATGCCAGATGACTTACAGCTGCAGGCAGGATTAGGGAGGGATGTCACAGAGGAATGTCTTCCAACGGCTCATCTGCTCAATAGCTTGCCACAATTGAGCCCAGAAGACAACGAGCCTCCGCTGCCACTGCAGGAAATCTGGAAGGGGGCTGATATGGCTCCTGATACTCCGAGCCAGGGGCATCATCCACCGACACTATCTCAACCACCAACAAATTACCATCTCCCAGACAATGAACCGATTTTGCGGCTCTCGACAAAATATCCTGTGTTGAGTACAGTGATGCCTGTTCTAGAAAAAGGTCTCCCTCCACAACTTGTGTTCCATTTGCTTGAACTATATTTTACTAGCCCATTTCCAAACATCTTGCACAGGAGCTCCTTTCTGAGGGATGAATTCCGGGTCACCAGCCCTGCGCTTTTAACAAGCATGCTTTGGATGGCTGCTATTGATCATCGGGCCTCTCTATCTATCCCACCCTCACAACATCGGAAGATCTGCCAGTTCCTCGGCGACCTAACGAGAGCATTATTACAATCTTCAGACGATGCCTCGCCCAAAAATCAGGAGCCTTCACTGGCAGGGCTGCATTGCTCATCTATGGCAGTCCATCCCGTGATGGAAAATGATGTTCAGCTTGATCAGGTAATCACTTACATCCATATTGCCTCGGTTGTCTCTACCGAACAGGAAGCCGCAGGGATGAGATGGTATGTTAAGCTCTGTCTGTCTTTCATATCCTGTTTCCTGATTCCTTCTCAGGTGGAAGACGGCGTTTAGTTTAGCCCGAGAGCTCAAACTAAATCAGGAGGCGGAAATTGTGCCAGACTTTGATAAGCAGATCAATGGATTGGCCCAATCCTTTGCTGACGGGCTATCAAATTTGCCAAAGGACCCGAACTTTTCCCATTCTAATGGGACACAATCGAGCCTCAATAGCGCATTTGAGCAAATCCATGATAGCTTTGAAATCCATGATCAAAGCTATCATGTCTCAACGGAGGAACACAACGAAGAGCGAAGACGAATTTGGTGGCTTCTTTACATTATTGATCGTCATCTCGCATTGTCTCATAACCGTCCGCCCGAAATTCTTGATTCAGAGTGTGGGAATCTTTTACTGCCACTGGACGAAACCTTATGGCAGGGCGGTAGTGTTCACAGCAACAGTCTCCATTCGCAGGGGCTTCGTTGCTTTCATCCAGCAAAGCAGAATGAACTTCAGGTCTTCCCTGGTTTTCGCTGTCGCGACTCCTCCATTTTTGGGTTTTTTCTTCCGCTTATGACGATCACCGGAGAGGTGATGGGGCTCAATAATCTGCGGCTGGAAGATAACGAGGCTTGCAAAGTTACAGAGACTGAAGTGTTAAGTCATCTCGAGGTCTATCAAACCAGTTTGTCCGCTTTTATGGCATCTTCAACTGTTTCCGCCGAAGTGTCAAACCGACCCGACATGCAGCTAGTCCAGGACCATGGCTGGCAAACACAAACTGTGGTGGCTTACTCGTCATACCTAGTCCAAGTTCTCCATACATCACTAGTGGGGAAGTGGGACTGGCAATTTCTATTGGAAGACAAAGAGTTTTGGACTTCTCCAGCCTTCACATCCACAATCTCACACTCATTAGATGCGGCTTTTTGGTTGCGGCAAATTTTGCAGCTTGACCCAGACATCAGCTTCATTCCCTACCTCTTCGGAATTCAGCTAATTCAGGGAAGCTTCCCCCTATTGCTGATTGTAGAGCGGCTCCAAGATAAATCAGAAGAGGACATTCTTAATGCCTGTGAGATTATGATGCAAGCTACTGACTCATGCCTTGTCACGCGGAACACATATTATCAAAGGACATTTCGGCAATTGATACGCAGCGCAGTCTCACAGGCTTGGGGTCGTCCTGTGAGTGCCGGCGAAATTCGACGTCGTCGCAAAGCGGTCTTCGATCTTTGGCTGTGGATACGAAGGAAGACAAATTGGTCCACCGTACGATAGCAGCCGCATATCAAGACGAGCTGCGGGGTCGACTGTTGTCAATGTCGTTGGCTTTTTCTTATTATTTTGACTCCCTGTCAGTCATAAATAGTGTAATGGATAAACTAAGTGCCGGAGTTGGTTAGGTCGGAAGCCATAGTTTGTTGCAGCACTTATGTGCCTGCTTAGTTGTGCAGCATTTCCCGTCCAGCGTCTATCCTATACGCTTCTCAAAGCTATAAAGCCTCAGGAGCTGAATTTAGGTCCCTAGGAATAAGCTGAATTGTGGCTAAGAGGATCTCTGCCTTTCATCAGGGCAGGCTACAATTGTCCTTCGTTCATGAACAAACATCCGGCAATGGGGCCTCGAATAGGTCTACATTCCTGTTTGACCTTGTGCTTGCAGACACATTGGCACTGTTTCAGTAACATCCCTGGCTCGGAACTTTGAAGTTCATTAACATGAATCGAAATCCAATTCACCACCTCTGCAATTATTCGTTCTTGTACAATCTTAGTCATATTCACTGTGTCCTCATTAGGTTTAGCGTAGTGAGCAGTGTCGAATCGGATCACTGCCAAGGCCAGCGATTTGTGGTAGACTGATCAAGATAGGCATAGCGTCCTGCAGTGTGGAGTTTTAGTGGGAATGAAGGAGATCTTGCTATGTCTCGCCTTTCGTTATTCACAACTCGCTATTCGTTTTTGGGCTTGGTCAGATTACTCAACGGTGTTCCCTATGACAATAAATTTTAATCTGCCTAAAGTACTACGGAGCATGTGGCGGTGAAAGCACAAACAGTGATGTCATAGCCACGACCATACAGCGCGATCAGGTGGTAATAAAGTGGGGGTGAAAAGGGCAAAAGCGAAGACTCGCAAAACATCATGCCTTACAAGCCCCTCCTAGTTTCTTATTCCCCACACATATCTTTCAAGTCTAAGGTATTCTCAGGCCTCGCGAAACGTAAATGCCAAGGCCACTTGAACGCAATCGTAAGTCCCTGCTTGGTCGAGCAGCTTTGAGTCTCTGAAATTAATACGAGGTTTGTATCTCTAGGATGGTGAGTCAGTCGAGTCGTTCCTTGATTACTGTTCGAATTTCAAGCCAAGACCATACCGTCTCGCTTTTATCACTTTGAATTCCCTAGAAGTCTAGAAATCGATTACTAATTTATGACTGCTCAGCCAAACGTGTAGGTCACGGCGGGTCAAATGTTAGTATTGTATACGTCGACTCGTACAATGCCATCAATTACTAACCGCGGGCTCATTATGATAAAACGAAAGGCGACGGAAAACGACCCAAATGTTCAGCATGTCAACGCATTGCCCGTGACTGTCATTGGATTCAAGAAGGAGGCACAATAGCAGCGCCGGGAGGTCCAGTTTACCGATCGAGCCCTTTGAGTTCGGTAACTCGCCACGAAACCGAATATCCCTCCACGGAGCATCCTGAATACGCTTTACAGGACCAAAAAATTGCCAAGTTATTCCGTCACTATATAGGAACGTTGGCCGCATGGTATGATCTCAATGACAGCAAGCGCCATTTCAAGGATATCGTTCCTGTCAGGGCTCGATATAATCCATTACTACTCAGCGCCATTCTCGCCTTTGCTGCTGCCAACCAACATCGTACCCTTTCAGAAGACGTGTATCTGGAGATTGCTGAATTCTACCACTATGACAGTGTGCAGAGATTGATCTCCCTCACTAAGAATATTGATAGTATTCCTCTTGGCGAAACACTTGCCGCCATTTGCCTTTTGCGATCTTATGAAATTATCACACGTCAGTAATTTTTCGACACTCCTAGCTCTTGAAGCTTGCCCTGGAAGTGGCAGATGCTAACAACCTAGTCCCAAATTTAGAGAACGTCAGCTCTCAGAGTCACTTACAAGGATGCTATTCTCTTCTAGCAATTCGACATATTCATCTCTCAGCAGATTTACTTAGCGCAGGCTATTGGAACTACCTAAGAGAAGACATCACAGTGGCTCTCATAGAGCAACGTGGGTTAATGATCAATCTTTCCAATCAAAATGCACCACCAGAACCAACAGAGGATGCGGATTTCGCTAATCACGTCACACTCTTACTCGGCAAGATTATCAACCGGTGTTTGTCTGTCGATTCACCTGCATTGACCCGGCTCGAATGGGAAGTTATGAAGGCCGATCTAGATAAGAGGAAAGCATCACTCCCCTCATCGTTTGACATGATACAAACCCCTGGTCTCAGGAAACAGAGTAGCTTCCCATCTATTTGGACACTACGAAGTTGGCATGGTGAGAATACTCGACCTACGTTTCCTTCGGCCTCTAACCTCATAAGTGGCAACTCTACATTACTACCATACTGCGATGGGAATTCTCTGGCTAGCACAGCCTGCATCTCAGCCCCTGAAAGCTCTACAACGGATCAACGAGATAGAATGTTTACGGCGAAAGTTGGAATACCACGCGACTGAAATTTGTGCCCTAGCCCTTTCAAGCGAGTCGGCACCGGTCTGGGTTAATGCATTTGGCCCAATTGCATTTTGTAAGTCTTATCGAACACTTCCTTTGCCTATTTCTTCTAATTTATTTTATCTATAGGTTCCCCTTGGCTTCATGATACCCCAAAGCGCGTGGAAATGGCGGAGGAGTTGGAAAGGTGGGGGAAAGTGACCGGATGGCCGGTTTCCATTATAGCAGATGCTCTTTCTCCCCCTTCAAACACTACCCCGATGACAGCACTCTAGATGTACAGAGCGTGGTACTCTTTCCTCAAGCAAATTACTATTGGAGTCTGTGGCTGCCCAGGCCTCGCCCGTTTGGAACCTACATGGTTCTTCGCTGGATACATTCCATCTCTCTTTTCCGTAATCATGACAAAATGTAGCGAGGCGACTTGATTAATTCCATTATATGGAGGAGCTACTCCATAGAAAGAAGCTAGCTAAGAAGCTTAAAACAACAAAAAAACATACAACAGTGAGGATTCGCTGGTGGTCACCCACCCAACTACTAACTCACCGGCGTGTGGCTTAAGTACGGCTGAGCGGACGGGAAGCCCTGTTTTCCACACCCTATGGTCGTATGTATTAGATTATGTGTGGTAGAGGATCATAGAGCACAAATAATAGGGGAGAAGCCGGGTAAAAATCAAATGACTCTACTTTTCAATAACATTCCAACCCTGAGATATAATACTGGGCTTAGTACGGCTAAGCGGACGGGAAGCCCTGTTCCCCACACCCTATGGTCGTATGTATCATCGATCAGAGATCCGATCCTTTCTTCCGTGGCTTGGCCATCAATTACCAGCAGGAGCAACCTCCTTCAGATCAAGGGTGCTGGTTGAAGTCGTAGGCATTTCTAAAGCCACGATTCAGATAGCGGGAAAGTGCTTTCGGCTTGCTCACCCAGTCCACAGGAACCTCCAGCTCGGTCTGGCCTTCAATTAAAGGCTTCAGGTCATCCGCAAGTTCAAGTTTCATAGGGTTTCTATACCACGGAGCGAAGTGGACTGTCGATGTTAGAGATGCCTTCGGAGAAAACAGCCGAAAAGACCAACTTGAACTTACTCATTGCCAACATGACTCTAGGTTCCTTGCTCTGGTTACCAACTCCAGCATGCCAGAGTCGAAGGTCTCTAACGACAATGGACCCCTTAGGCACCACTGGTTGACATGGCGGGCGGTCCAAACGGCGCTTCTCTAGCTCATCGAGCTTTATTCGACCACTAGCACGCTCCCCGTGCAGTCCTTCTTGGACATGGAGACCCGCGTCAGTATGTGTTCCCAGCCATACCTCAGTGGAGCCATTATCCGGGGTCATGGTGGTGAGGGGAACATTGATGACATATGCAAAAGGATGAATTGGATGATTGAAATCTGCGTCTGAATGGACAGGTTGAGATGTCGGAGGGTTCTCTGCAGTTGGAGGCATTGCGGTATTTCCCGAGCAAAATGTCCACTTCGGGCGGGGGCCTAGTGCTGTCGAGGTGATTTGAATGGCAATCGGATCTGTGTAAGAGTTATAAACTATGCACTAAAAGTGTGGTTGGGGCTTTGCGGACTTACTCAGGAAGATACTGGGCTCGAAGTACTCCCGTACTGGAGGAGCATCTTGCTGGATATTTCCGGGGTTGTAGTTAAATGGACTGTCTCCTTTCCTAGACTGAAGAGAGTAGGCATCTTCAATCATCTTTTTGTTAAGTCGGTCGAGGCAGTCATGAGGGATGACATTTTCAATAACCACAAGTCCATCCTGATGGAGGCTGCGCACTGCAACCTCCAGGTTCTGATGGGAAAGGCGTTCGTGCTTGATCTCATCTCGTGATGGACGGATGGACGTCGGATGGCTTGTGAGCTTTTCAAACCGGGTGCAAGGAGACCGGATTTGATAGGGGCGGCTCAGCACAGTTGGAGCTTTGAAGATGATTTGACTCATGGTTCTTCAAGTGATCTCAGTGTAATTAGAGAGGAGAACAGAAAGACATTCAACCAGAGGGACCAACTCACAATTTTTACCGCTGTAAAAGATCAAGCAGAACTTGTCGACTATTTATACTTACGTCAGTTAAACTAGATCACCCTTCAACGTGACAAACATTGTGAAGACGGCATATAAAGATGTTTGCCTCCACTACTCCGTAGTCTCTTCTCGCTTTTTCTCGCCTTTCGGTGGAGCGCGTTCTTTTTCATGTACCTACGTGGAGAGTCCGATATGCCGAGGGCGAATGATTGATCGATCATTAGCTTTTAAACTTAGTAAGCGGGATTTACCTCCCTTTGAAGTGCTAGTCGTTTCTTCCTTGGCTACGCAAATCGCAAAATCAGTCAAACTGCCTCGCGAAAACGTGCTCGCTAAACCTCTCGCATTTGGTGGGATCTCATGTTCGCCTTTCGCCTTACACATTAAACAACGCAAGTTCCGCTCAACCCACGCTAGATCTATATCAGATCAAGTTATTATCGGGCACGAAATTTCAATGTCGAATGTGATTAAATAATGTAAAGAATATGAGCTTTTGACGGGTACTCATTTCCTCCCATGCGGGGGGGCTATAGTAGTCTAGCAACTCGGACATCGATAATGTTCCAATTCTTCACGGAAGTGCGACCTAGCCAAATAGAAGAACAGCTACGTCCTGTTGAAACTCCTCAAACCACAACCTTCGTCACTTCCAAATGCCGCCGCTACCACGCTCCATGCGGACGTTCACCTTTACCCGCTATGACATAGCCTGAGTAGTCGAGAATGCACAGTTCTACAGTCTAAGGAACAGAAAAAGCCTATTTTCTGCTAGTATATACGGCACTAATAGCGGTAGTTTGCGAAATAATACAAAATGAAATAATGATGTCATAGCTGAGGACTCGTGTGCCGGGGCGTCAGCCCCCCACAACCCCGGGGGTAAACTCTAATGCTGAATTTGTCTATTCTAAAAAGACACAATGGGTATGGACCGTAAGCCAAGTCTATATGGAGAGTGGAAGGTAATACAATGAGCTTATATTTAGTGGATAGTACATAGGTAATCTTTTTCCGGAAATAATAGCGAATAGGACTGAACTCCCTTGGTCGCCCGTACCACAGCGCTACGCTGCTCCTTCATACCCATTGAGACCAGGAGCGCAACCCCCGGGGCCCGCAACCCCCGGGGCAATGAACATACCTATCTACGTAGAAAACCGGCAGTCCTATTTAAAGGATATTTCGCCATCGATCGTGAGAATTTGCAATAATAAGTCCACAAAATGGGTTCGCTTTCATATATCCTCCCGCAATTGGTTTCCTCCGAGCTCTTCGTCACCGAAGGCGGAATCGAAACAACCCTCATCTACAGAAAGAATATCGATATGCCTGGCTTCTCCACTCTTCCACTTCTCGGTACAGAAGAGGGCAGAAAAACTATCCTCTCCATCTACCAAGACTATGTCAATATTGCCCTGGCCCACTCAACTGGCATCGTCCTCGAAACTCGAACTTGGCGCGGCTCTCCTGTATGGTCTTCCACAATTGGCCTTTCCGTCGCACAGATCGTCGATCTGAACCGCACGGCAGTCAAGATCCTCCGTGACCTTAGACACATGACTGAGACCCCATCCACCCCTATCGTCATTAGTGGGGCCATGGGACCTCTTCAAGATGCCTACAAGGATTCCACGGACATGTATTCATTCTCTCAGGCGCGGGAGTATTATGGTGTCCAGATTCGCGCTTTCGCTGAAGAAGGTGTAGATATGTTATGTATCATGACTGTAACAAATCTGGATGAGGCCACCGCGGCAGTGAGGGTGGCGCGTGAGTATAATCTTCCCATTCACGTCTCGTTCAGCATCGAGACAGACGGACAGTTGCGTGGAGGAAGAACCCTTGAAGATGCGATTAGAGAAGTCGATCGTCTTACAGAGAATTATACAACATATTTTGGGGTGAATTGTGCCCATCCGCGTCATATTATGATAGCATTGCAGGGTATGTCTGACGATGTGAGGTCGAGGATCGGGTCAATCCGAGGCAATTCGAGTCTTAAGTGTCACGACGAACTTGATAACTCGGTGGTGCTAGATCGAGGCGATATTTCGGTGTGGGTTCAGGAGTTCAATGGGCTTTTGAATATTTTGCCGGGACTGAAAGTGGTAGGGGGTTGCTGTGGCACGGATGAAGAGCATGTTGATGCTATCGCGAGAAGGATTCATTCTTTTAACTAGTTAAACAAGCCCCCCTGTGGACTTTATCGTTGTGCTTTTGTGCTTACATATTCTGTCAAATCTCGGGACCTTGATTGCGCATAATTCCTGTTGGTGGATATATCCAGGCATGCACCCAAGCAGCAAGGCAGTGAGACTTTGTTTTCTTGCCTCCAGTTGGTCAGACCTCTCTTTTTGTCCCCATGAAGCTGTGTATATGCTTCATAGCGGTATGTAGATTCATCATCTTCATTTATCTCGGTTTATCTTCGTCTTGCTCCCTTCCACTGTAGTGTATTAGCAGTGTACGTCCATCATGGCTTCCCCAAATTAAAAATATGTTCCTAGTTAATGACGCCTCAGTAGCAATACCTTCGATAGTCATTGCCGATTTACCTTACACACTCCTATCAATAGTGGACTCTCATCCGACAAATAAGAATGGTGTTATTATGTCTTACCGTCTAGCATAAACCAGCTTAATAGTTTATATTTATCTCGCAAAAGCCTCCGAACACCAATCTCTGCGCGATCGTAATAATTGGTGAGGGGCGCTTTGTGGATCTGTACTCCGTAGGGCGTGCCAACACGCCTTAGTATCGTACACGCCCTACGCCTTACGCCTAGTATATCTGAATTTCGACTTCCACGACCTTATAAGCTATTTATATTGACAGGAACGCATCTTTTCTATTGATCCGTACTCTACACGATTTCAAACATGACTTCATTTACCCCCCAGCCCCTGGACGCCTCAAAGCTAACCTACGCATACACCACCGATCCACGCGATGTACCCGATGAAGCTACCGCCCTTAAAAGCTACGAGACCATCTGCACCGACCACATGATCATCGTACGCTGGAAGAAAGACATCGGATGGTCTACCCCAGAGCTCAAACCATATGGCCCATTAAGCCTCTTCCCAACGGCGTCCTGTCTCCACTACGCACACGAATGCTTCGAGGGCCTTAAGGCCTACCGCGGCGATGACGGGAACCTTCGACTCTTCCGCCCAGACTGTAACGGCGTCCGTCTGCAGATGTCCGCAAAGCGCATCTCCCTGCCCCCGGCTCCGTCGGAGGAATTGAAGAACCTAATCATTGCTCTCCTTCACGTCGATGCGGCGAAATGGCTCCCGAAACATCGCGCTGGAGACTTCCTCTACATCCGCCCGACAATCATCGGCTCGAATTCTCAGCTCGGCATGCAGGCTCCCACGGAAGCTTTGCTGTATATCATTGCTTGCTATATGCCGCGCATGGATATGGTAGCGGGTGGGAAGCGCTTGCTCACCTCGCCGCAAGATACGGTGCGCTCCTGGGTGGGTGGGTTTGGGTATGCGAAGGTCGGGGCGAACTATGGCCCTTCTGTAATTGCTACTGAAGATGCGACGAGTCGGGGCTTCCATCAGGTTCTTTGGTTATATGGTGCAGAGGGGGAGTGCACGGAGGCTGGTGGTAGTAATTTCTTTTTGATATGGCGGCGTCGGGATGGGAGGAAAGAGATGATCACTGCGCCGTTGGATGACCATCTCATTCTGGATGGTATCACTCGCCGGAGTTGCATTGAGTTAGCAAAAGAGAGACTCGGGGATCGACTTGAGATTACGGAGCGCAAGTTTACGATTGGGGAAGTTTTGGAGGCTTCCACCGAGAACCGAATTTTGGAGTCATTTGCTGCTGGAACAGCGGTAAGTTGCTGTCCACTGTTGACTTTTCGCTAAGATTCCAGATGCTCATTCATTTCTAGTGGTTTATCACTCCTATTTCACACATTCGCCACAGAGACCATGATATCAATATCCCCATGGGGCAAGGGAATGAACCTGGCGAGGTTACCGGAAAGATGAAGGGTTGGCTCGGCGACATCATGTACGGTCGCACTGAGCACGAATGGGCAACTATAGTTTCTGAGAAAGAGTAGATCTTAAGGAAGTAGCCATCTTTGAATAACAACAAATTTCAGTGCTTTTCAGTCAAGCAATGTTTGTAGATCACTATCATGTTCCACGCTAGTAGAATGCGTACATGCTCAAAGTGACCTTCTTTAAGAAATCGATAGGTCAATATACCGTTTGACTCGCCCGAAATATAGCCAACCATTGCGGGTGATCTGCGATAGTCTGGTTCCAAGGGTCATCGGAAGCGAAAAGAAGACGGCGTGCCTCAAGTTGAAACATCTCATCTGACAGAACAATACCGAGAACCATTTGCTGCTGGGCAAAGTAGCTCAGTTGTAGTGTCAGGACCTACGTGTATGAATCCAAGGAGAAATTATCCGACTTGAATTGGCTTTGTAACGATGTAATACCCGGCTGTTCTTCACGACACCGATCATGATTTTCATAGTCACCTATTTCATTATTAAATGTAGCCCGCGAGAGCATCTGGGAAAGATAATCTTGGACTTATCCGTTAGTAGCAGAGAAAGGCACCAGCGTGTCCGATTCAAGCCCAATTAGGTAAGGAGGCACGCTGTATATTACCCGTTCTGCGATCCAAGGGGGAAAGCCATAATCGCCTTCCCAGTCAGCCATAGTTAAGCCATTGCGGAAATACAGAGCCAAGTAATCAGCTCGCTCCTCCCAGCTAGTATTTTAAACATCACAAAAGCCACAGCGGGACGTAAAATCAGTGAGGCTAATCTTCCAGTCGTCGACTAGCGGGACATCATCAACACCGTAGAAACGACGAAGGTACTAGATAAGATGGTCTTTGCGCCGAAAAGTACGTGATTAACTCTTCATGCAAGTTCCATGCTTATGTTCATCAAGATACTCAATAGAAGGATCCAGTTTGTTACAATAAATGTAATGCATACAGCCCGTTAATGGCGATATCACGGATCCCCCGAATGGTGCGCAGACACAGTTTTCGAAATTTAGATAAAGCGACTTCTCGTGTCGCGTCCAATCATATTTGCTCTTGAATCGATCGCAGCAGAAATTGCAGCAGAATAAACGCGACTTGCTTGCGGCTGTCTGTCTTCTAGTTCTTCCTTTGCCTTGCGATTTCCGGACTCCACTTGAAACTCGGCCGTTTGTCTCCTTATACGTTAAGTTGTGGCTTCCATTTGATATGCCCGACGTGACTGATTGGCGAGACGAAGCACTAGCAGTGCTTCCACCACTGGTCGTCGAAGCTGGACGAGAGCTAGTCCGACGATGCACTTGGAAAAGGTCGGCAATGTGGTGGGCATAGATTCCAGATCCAGGATCAAGGCATGTCTGATCTCCGTTCTCTGAGTTGTCTGTATATGAGCTCTGAACTGCATCCTTGATAGCAGACAAAGAAGCAGGTTCGTCTTCAGGAGGGGACTGCTGCCACCGCATAAGAGGTTCCGAGGGGCTTGCATTTGTCGGAATAAACACAGGGGTAGTTTTTCCACCAAGCTTTTCTATATTATATCGGCTTCTACGTCTTGGAAGCCCTCGTCTGGAATTTTTTGCCCGCTCCGGTGGGACTCCATTCAAATGTAGCTGTTGGTTTTCCGACAGGCTGTAGCTATTGTCTATTGCTAGAGATAACATTCCATAGGGTCCGTGGGCCCGGTCTGACGCAGGATAATGCAAAAGTGGGCCATCAAACCTATTGGGCTGCTCATTCTCGCCGCTGTAGGTCTTGGCCATTATAGATGAATCATTCTCATGATTCGGTTGTGTTGTCCAGGTTACACAGGTCTCGTCGAGCATTGGATTGACACTGGGCGCCGATATAGGAGAACCGCCATAGTCCACGAAGTCCTCATTGAGAGAAGGTAATTGAACATCACTGTCTGCGAAAGAAGAATGATTGGATGCGACATTAATGTTTTCAAGGGCGTCAGGAAACAATGTCAGCAGTTCAAGTTCGTCCGGAAAATCTAAAAGAGGGAGTGAACTAGTCACTACTTAGAATAAGTCAAGTGGTTAAGTAAAAGAATGAGATCAGACATACACTCGCAAGAGTCGTCATAGATGGACATCTTCAATGCGGATCTGATTCAGATTCTCGGATACGAGGGATGAGTCAAGCACGCGAGATGTCTACTGTGCGATGGTTCAACCGAATCGAATGAGATCTTGATATATGGTTGACACTCTATCCGGCCAAGGATGGTAACTTGTCTTGAATTTCTGCTCAATCGGTTTGAATGCAAGGAGGTTTCCTACATTGCCTAGCCAGTGCAGGTGGTGACCTCGGGCAAAGCCGACTTCGCCGACCTCCCGTCAAGATGCTGGCTGACTAAGGGTTGCCCCGATGGATGGCCCTGGGGATCATATGCAATATCCCTGGAGCCCATATGATCCTAGTGGCTCCTCGATCAAATCTTTATGTATAGCTTCATGAATACCTCTGTGCCAAATCGATGCCATCTTCGCATAGCCCACATCGTTAGGGTGTGTGCCATCTGCCAGATCACTGATATGAGGCCCATCGGGACCATGCATGTCCACGACAATGATTTTTCTTCCTTCAGCTGCTTTCACTTTTGCCATTTCCTGGAATTGCTTGTTGATGCGTAGGACTCTTGATTCAATCTTTCCGTCCAAGTTTCGAAGGAGAGTAGAAAGGACAACTCTTGAGCCAGAAGACGTCATCCAGAGGTATTCGAGCATGTCACTCATTCGCTTGCCAGCAGTTTCGATTTCAAAGTCCTGCACGCAATCATTTGAGCCAACGTTGACAGTGAAGAGGTTTGGCAGAAACCTAAGAACTGATTTTTTGGCCTTGTTGGTAACTTGTTCGATTCTAAATCCCCGCCAACCTTCATTCTCGTTGTTCGTCATCGAACCAGATTTGCGAGACCCGACCATGTCCACAATGTAGCCATCCGACGTAAGAATATCTTGGAGAATTTTCCTATAGCCATTGCCGTCCGTTGACTCGGAGCCATATGTGACAGAGCCGCCTAGTGGCATAATTCGCAAGCTCGGCTTGGCTCTGTCTATCTGCGAAGCTGCTATATGATGTATGAGCATAATACCAGAGACCACATGCGTAAATGATTGCATACTATGGTGACCTGCCAACTTCGTCTTGTCTTGGCCTATCCATGGAAGAAGCCTAATCTGACGGGAGATAATCGGCTCGTTCCCATTGATACCGTGCGTGAGACTGTAACTTATTAGTTTGCTATATACTTTGCGATTGTGAAAATATGTCATATTGCACGGTGAATGGTAAATGACGTGGTCGTAGGGTAGCAAGACAAAGCTCGCAGGGTAAATGGTACTAGTATTTGGTTATCATTTTGGTGAACATTCGGGAATAGTGGAGCTGCTCGGCGAAATCGTCATGATGCCGAGTTTCAACAGCAGGTAATAATTACTTTCCCTATTTTGACCGAAGATATAGCTGAGATGGTCTCGCAAACTGTTAGATAAAAGAGACAGAAAGGTCCCACCTCTTCCGATCTTATTCGCCTTATACTCTCTGTCCACTCAGAATGATTCGTTTGCACTTCAGACAACTAAAGACTTTCCAGAGTCTCTTGTTCCTAGGTTTTTACACATATTCACCCTTAAATTTTCAGATAGAAAAATAATATAAAAAAAAATCATATTGAAGCTCGTAGCATAAGACCGTAGATATCACAATAATAATAATAAAAGATCATTCAGCACGTAGAACCATCGAGTTGAAACAAAGACCACGCTCAAGGTATAACAAGTATTTATAGAAAAACAAACAAGAACAGAAAAAGAAAATCGTTAAACATCCCACAATATCAAGATCAAGCCTCAGCCTTAGCCTCAACACTCTCAAGGTGGGTAGCAGCCTCAGCCTTCTTCTCACCAGCATCATACTCAAGCTGCTCAGTGTAGTTCACGGAAGGAACCCAGCCAACGGAGTTCCAAGCACGGGGAACCTTAGCATAAAGCTCATCAACCTGCTCAAGGGAAAGACCCTTGGTCTCGTAAATGCAAGTGTAAACAAAGATACCACAGATAAAGCAGAATCCACCCCAGATGAAGAACACCTTAGAGCCTAGATTGGCATTTCCAGGGCCGCTGTTGACCATGTAGGGGGTGGCGTAGGCAATAGCCCAGTTAAGGAGCCAGTTGGTGGCGGTGGTGATGGAGAGACACTTGGCACGAGCCTTGAGGGGGAAGAGTTCACCGGTGACGACCCAGGCAACAGGACCCCAGGAACTGGCGAAGAAGAAGATGTAGATGCAAACGAAGGCGATGAGGACCTTGTTTGAGACATCGGAGTCGATGGCAGTACCAACGATAGCGACGATGAATTGCGAGACGCACATGCCAACAGCACCGAACATGAGCAAAGGACGACGACCCCACTTCTCGACCATGTAGAGACCGGGGAAGGTGGAGACGACGTTGATGATGCTTGTGATTAGGGTGATGACGAAGGAGTTCGAGATGCCAGAGTTCTGGAAGAAGGTTGTGCCGTAGTAGAAGATGAAGTTGACACCGGCGAGCTGCTGCAGACCCTGGACTGCGCAGCCGGTAGCGAGACGCTTGCCGAGGGATCCGCGGACGATCTCAAGGTAGGAAGCCTTTCCAAGACGCATTTCGAACTCGTGGTTTGCCTGGATCTCGGCGAGTTCGGCAAGGACGGCGGGGTCATCGACGTCCATGCGACGGAGACGAGCGAGGGCCTTGGTGGCTTCCTCGTAGCGGTCTTGCTTGATCAGGAAACGGGGAGTTTCGGGGAGGACAAGCATGCCGCCAACGAGGATGATGGCCCAGGCGAACTGGATGGCGATGGGGATTCGGTAGCAGCCGGTATCATCACGGTCCTTGGTGGAGTTGTTGACGATGGCAGCGAGGAGGAGACCAATTGTGATGGCGAGTTGGTAGGCGCCGACGATTGTGCCACGGATCCATTTAGGGGCAGTCTCGGATTGGTAGAGGGGGATTGTGGCAGAGAGGAGACCGACGCCGAATCCGGCGAAGAAACGGCCGGCTACGAAGAGGGGGATGGAGGTGGAGGCGGTTTGGAGGATGACTCCGAAGACGAAGACGAAGCTCTCCATGATCATTCCCAGTCGTCGACCGAACTTATCAGCAATAGGGGCGGCACCGAGGGCACCGAAGAAAGTTCCGGCTGAGAGGAGAGAGACAATCATTGATGATTGGGAGGATGTGACATCAGGCAGGTGATCTTTCTCGTTGATGAAGCCGGTTGAGAACATCTCGCGCCATTTTGTCATGGCGAGAATACCACTGATGGTACCTGTGTCATATCTAGATGGATGTTAGACTTGTCTTTGGAAATAGGAGTATAGAACTTGAGAGTGGCACATACCCAAAGAGAACACCACCGAAAGCAACGAACAATCCAATCATGATGGCCGGGGCAGCAGAGCCCACGGCATCATCTGGCCTCTTCAAAGCGAAGCCCATTGTGAATGTGATCAGAGAGAAGCAAGTTCAATCCAAGTAGGTGTATGTGTTGAGTGAGTAGAGAGGATAGAGGAGATATAGTAAAGAAGAGTGATGTGGTAAAGAAGAGTTGAAGAGAGTAGAGGAAGTGAATTATACAAACAAATAAAGAAAAGAAAAACCTGGAGGTCAATCGTCCCTATTTGTACTTCCCCAGTCCCCAAAATCTGAACCACATGGCCCTCCAGGCCGGGGGAAATTTGCAATCAACAAACCCCGAAAACAGCGGGGTGGAACCATCTGGACAGCCCATGAAAAATCTGCATCTTGTCCAATCCCTGAATAGCATTTTCCCCATTCCCACGGATTTCAGGATGTTTTGGGCCTGGGGATAGAGTTCGACCGAAAGTGGAGAGACCAATGGCAGCTGAGTGGACTCAGCCCCCGGAGTCGTACCGGGCCATTTATTGGCCCAACACAAATTGACTCGACGCCGAACCGAGTCTGTTTTTTTATCCCAAGGTTTTTGTGCCCTGAACCTTGCGTTTCACTTACTTTGCACTTGCCTTACACAGTAGGATCGGCGAAAATACACATTGAGAATATGAAATGTACGTTGAACTCAGTAATTGCATTGGATTGTATTTCGGCTATTCCGTTGTAAAAGATATGTCTTAGGAATATGGGGACGGAAATAGTCTCTACATACCACATGACAGGCCGAAAACAGGGGGAGACCGGGTTGGGCTAATGCCGATCGGTATCGGCGTCCCGCATCGGGAGAAAGGAAACGGCCCTGGATTTTTTCTTACATAATTCTCGGGATTTTTACGGCTTCGATTTGGGTTGGTCCTCTGTATAGTGGTAATATGTATGTATTTTGTTGAATTGCACACTTAATTGGAATAGTAGGAAGACTATGAGAGATTTCAAATCTACAAATAACTTTTCCCCCGTCTTTTCCCCTCACCCCAGACCCAAATTTTCCCCAGACCTGTACGGAGTAAGGGCCCGAGATTTCCACGGCCAATAACCGAAGATGTCGATGATCTGTTCACTGTTCACTGTTCACCGGAGCCAGATTGGGAAGGAAAAAAATTATGAAAAAATTATTAATTTCCCCGTTCCGAAGTTTCGCTTTCCCAGGGCCGGCAGGTGCCAAAATTTGCTAAAATTACCGGGGAAAAACTAAACGAAATGGCTTGTCCCGTGCATTGCGCTATTTTTCCCGAGTCGCGGATTGGACCGACTACCCGACGCTATCCCGACGTTGGTCACATACGGTGAATTATCGGAGATATCCGTGGATACACATGGCCAGATCGGTGCCAGACTCGGCGAATAAACACGTGCCGGTCGATGCCGGTTGTCTTGGCCAAGCAAGAACCTTGGAAGTGGCGTAGGTCGAGAGCTTAGCTCCAGCTCATTCTACTTTTTTTTCACTCTATTTTTATGTATCACGAGGGTGAGGTTAGTGCTAGGAACAGATCACACGATCACTTGAGAAACTAGGACTACGCCAATTCGGCATGTATTCCGGCGGAATGCTTGTCTATTATTTTGATGCTCGCTAAAGAAAAGAAGGAGAAAAAACTGGCCGGACCAGCTACCAGCGCCAGATCACGATGACATACACAGTCAGCACCACTTGCGCCACAAACTTGACGGAATGGTACAGGTCCCGGACGATGAGTGACACCGTCGATCGGGAGCGGGTAGCCGAGGCGGGGCGCCATGCAGCCTTATCCTTTGAGGCAACGGCTCCAAACTCATCGTCTGTACCCCGATAACCTTCTTGTGGGGATTTAGTTCCGGGGTAGCGGGTCGAGGCTGCCATGCCATTGCGGCTAGCTAGCCCACCCGCCGGTGAGAGAGTAGAGCTAGACGCGCCGGAGGTGTGGTACTGGTGGTGTGGGGGAAAGCGGCGCTCAGAGAGGGGAAGAATGGCGCCGGATGGGGATGATTCTGGGATGTAGAGGATGCGGTATATAGAACGGAGGAGGAGGATGGAGAGGCTGAGGGCTAGGATGGTGAGGTAGTAGAAAAATATTCCCAGCTGGTCTGGGAGGATGCAGAGGTGGTTTTGGATAGTGGGTGGTGAACCATCCTGGATGGCTTTGCCTGTCTTGGGGTCGATTGGATTCCACAGACTGGTGAGGACGAAGCCCGGGTGACGGACTCCCATCGCCCAGGAAACGCTTTTGACTGTGATTTCGTTGGGCGAGCCATTGAATTCCCGATGGGATACTTCACAGTAGTCATGGTCGTCGCCGGAATAGACCTGGACGACGTTTGGTCCTGCCTTGGAAACCAATTCGGTGGAAATAGTTTGCGTTAAGACATTCTGGTACTGATAGCCACCGGCAATTCTCAGAGAGTTGGGCTCGTCCTCCGCCAGTTCCTCGTCCAATGAAGCGGGCGGGTAGCGTTCGCGAAGAGGACCACAGGGGGTAGCTGGCTTCCGATAGAGAGGGACGTGTGTGAGAATGATAGTAGGAAAGCCAACGCCTGTTGGCTCAGGCTTTTGATGAATGACGGGCTCGACGGCGTCGACAATACGATAATCGAATATATGATGCCCCTCAGTCTGGTTTTGGAGCATTCGCAGCTCGTCCGTCTCTGCCTTCGCCTTGTGGATAGCCATCTTATCCAGGAAGTCATCTGCGTCTTTCCAGATCGGGCGCATAGAGCGGTTTTCATCGCTGGCTGTCGGAGAGCTGCCTGTCAATGGATCGGGCTGGTCCATCGCACTCAGCGAGGGAGTGTCCACTGAAACGAAAGTATGGTTCCCAATAACATCGACACGGTTGGGGTTTCCAAAAAATGACTCGAAGCGATTACGGACGGGTTCCTGGATACCATTACCGAATCCAAGATCGTGATTGCCAGGTAAACTAGCAATCATTCTGCGCCCTCTTCCATCAACAGGAGGCTTCACTAATTTCTCCCACGGGTCCAAGAAGATTTTAATGAATCGCCCGAATTCCTTCTTCCAAAAGGAGTCTTTATACTTCTTCCACCGCGGTTCGGGGCTGCTACTTGTAGCCGTGGCCCATTCTCTGCCGCCGTCGAAAAGGTCGCCGAGAAACAGCACTGAGTCCGGCTCTAGGTGATCTTGTATCAAGGAAAATGACCGTCGCATATATTGGTCGGTGTATTTAACCGTCAAAGTCGACACAGGCCATGGTCGACCGGGGTAAGTGTGGGGATCAACAAGTTGGGGGTCGGCGATAAAGGCAATGTGATGTGGCGTGGCGCCTTGAGGCTAGAGACATTCAAGTGTTAGCATCAGCTAAGGCAAATAAACTGAACTGCGACAGGTCTGCCACTGTCAACTTACCCATTCCTCCCAGCTATCCCAAAGGCATTGGTTGATGCTGTCTTGAAATACCGTCCGTTCACCCCACCGAATTGAGAAAATCCACAGCAAAATGATGGCATTGGGTATAGTAAAGGTAGCTTTAACAATCTTGACTGCCGTTGTCTTAATCCCCTCACTCTCCCGATTTGTGTCCAATCCCCGGCTAACACTCCCGGGAAGCCATTGTTTTGCTGCTGGGGGTATGGACTCCCACACACGGCTGAGGATATTTTGTGATCTCGATGGCTGATGTTGGTTGAAGGAGGGAAGCGAAGAAGCGCCCGTGCTGCGTGGGTAGGCGAATGTCATGTTTGGCTTAGCTTGACAGCAAGACTAAATTACGGTGGCTCGACCCCAGATAAGACGGGGCTGATGTTCAAAGTAAGGAATGACTGGTCATGCTCTGGGCATACGAATGAAAAGGACCAAAAAGAATGAATGGTGAAGAATCAAAAAAAGGAAAAAGTTCATAACATGGTGTTCTATTTGGAGACAGGGGGATTTGCAGAACAGGCAATTGTTTTAAGCTTCGGGTCGAGATGTGTCGATCGCCAAACATGGGGCGGTCACGTGCGGACCCTTAACAAGCATATTATCTACCTAGGTACATCACAATTACTTACTATTGTACATACATTTCCAAGGCTGATTCGCAAATCTTGAATTAGAGATAAAGTAGAAGTACATAAAAAATGCGGTCCAAAGAATACAGCGGGTCAGCGGGTCTATGTCTGCAGATAGGATGATATTGCATGGCATGCATTGCCATGCATTCCCGTGCAATTCCCAAAAACTGGTCGGCCCAAAGGAGACTACCACTTCCAAGAAAACCAGACAATTAATATGATAATGAGTAGGGCAATTCTCTGTGAATTTACCCGAACAAAAAGGTGAAGATAAAAGATAGGGTATCTGAATAGAAAAACCGTAGGGGTGAGATGTTTGGGGCTCATGGTGCCAAATGGGAAACGAGAGTGTGTGGGAAGTCACCACATGAGGGAATTAATTTCACTTTTTGGGGCAACACTGGCCTCCTCGGGCACAGTTCGTGTCACACTCCAGGAGGCATGCTTGCGGGTCACCCTCGCGAACGCTGCCAGCACGACTGGGAACGTGATCATCGGTGTCCCGAGAGGATGATGCTTGTCCATTGTCTTCGGTATCACTTTCCGGTGCAAACTCAGGTTGAATAGTCGAAGAGTGGATACCGTAGGCATGGAGACAGCGTCTCACCTGTCTAGCCAGACGCATGTACCTCTCCGAGCCTTCGCCCTTGATCTCGGTGTCCACTTGGAGATGAATCGATGCCACAATCTTGGTGTCGCTGAGTTGCCAAACGTGCAGGTGGTGCGAACCAATGACACCGGGGAGACGCTCAATGTCCTCCTTTATATGATCAATGCTCATACCGGGGGGCACGGCCTGGAGAAGGATACGCGAGGCGGCTTTGCACAACGGAATGGCGGATGCAAGAATGATCAGGGTAATAACGAGGGAAATACCCGGGTCGACGTAATAGCGCCATTCGTAGTCCGTCAACCAGATAATGAGCGCAGAAACGATCACACCAATGTTTCCGAGAGCGTCTCCCATGACGTGGAGGAAGACACCGCGCATGTTGAGGTCGTGGTTGTGACCCTTCTTCTGGTCCTTCGGCTTGGGCTGAGCATGGTTGTGAGATTTGTGGACATCTTCATCGCGGTGGTCGTGGACCTTGACCGGAGCTCCTTCCTCATCGGTGTAGTTAGTAGTGCGATCGCGGTGACTCAGGAGACCTGAACGCTCAGATGGGATCTCATCCTCGTCGTGGCCATTCTCCGAATCCGAGGAATGTTCATTGCGGTATTGACTGGCTGCGATAATCCCTTGTCTCAATCTCTCTGGAAGCACGGGAATATCGTCGGGGCTTACGAATCCGCGTCCAGTCGAAGTGCTGTATCTCCTGGGGCCGCGGGTCTGGGTGTCGCGTCGCTTTCGGGATGGTTCGGTGGTAGAGTGTGTGAGGGAGTTTGGTCCGCCAAAACCAGCAGTAGCCCCCGGGGTGCTCTCGCTCTCGTCGGCGATATGTGTATGGTCGTGATCGTGATCGTGATCACCAGCCTCGATATCATGATCATGGTCATGTTCCTCATGGTCGTGACCGTGGTCGTGGCCACCCCCGGGTCCGTGTGAGTGGTCATGGAATAGCGCCAATCCGATGATATTAGAGGCCAGGCCGAAGCAGCCAACAATGCAAACAAATCGGGGGTTTTGCACTTCCTGGGGTTCGAACAATCGCTGAGTTGCCTCCAAGAAAATCGACATGCACAGGGCGACTAGGAATACGCCATTCACTAAGGCGCCAAGTGTCTCCGCTCGTTGCCACTGCATAAAAGAGAACCAATTGTCAGAACGTCCTTCGGGGGTGGTATTGACCATCAACTTACGCCATAGGTGTAGGTGTTGGAGGTGGTCTCCCGGTTTGCAACCTTCACCGCCCATAATCCAACACACAAGGATAAGACATCATTCAACTATTCACGTTAGTTATCAGCCGGAGAGCAGGATCGTAGATGGCAGCGTACCATATGGAAGGAATCGGCGACAAGGGCGAGAGAATGGACGGCATAACCTAAGAAACACTGTCAGAACCCGGTCGCATGCGGTCAAGCTGTCAAAATACGAACCAGTGATTAATTCAAGCAAGAAAAATGCTGTATCAATGACCAGCAGGATCAAGATCCTGTTCGTTTTGGAAAGCCCCATGGTGGCTTGAGGTTTGCGGCGCGCTCAGTCAGAGCTCCACGGAATAAAAAGGATAAGCTTCTAGAAATCAGTAGGTTACAGAAAACCTGGAGTGGAAATGTAGGGAAAAGGGAATGACAGTGAGTTAGACAGAGGAGGGGTTGAGAAGACAAAAAAATAAGACCGGGGATAATCAGCAGTGGAGCTCGAAATGGTCGGGGCGGAATCGCCTCCGGTCTGGTCCGTGGTGGCGACACTTCTTTCAACTACACAGAGTACTTTGGTACTTTTTGTGGTCCCTTGTTATTTAAACAAGCAATTTCGCATCAAAATTTCTCATAGGAACCAGGGGTTTGCTTCGATTTAGAGTGAATTTTGTCTTATTTCTTGTCTTTGCAGCTTAATCCTAGACCACTGGCCCACTCAAGATCGGCCTAGCCTTATGGGAAATCTCCCATTGGATCGGAGCTTCATTATTTTCATTGTTACGGACCAATCCATTAGTCAATTTCTTCCTATCCTCTCATCCCGGTATACACTGTGATTCTAACCATTTGTGGTTCTATCTCCTTCGAGAATCCCTGCGAAAGCACACCGATTGGAATAGCTGCATGGGATATCTATTCTACGGCATCCGAAAATATTATGAAACCAACTGGCTCCTGCGGGACTAATCACTGCGGATGTTATATTTTAGGTATACTTTGATTGCTCTACTCTGTACGGAGTATTCTCTCAGTAATTACGCGCTTATATGTCTAACTCCGAAGGTACTCACTTCGCTAAGGTCTTAACGAACCCCGATCTAGGGATACCACACAACGTGAAAGCCCTAACTCGAGGTTTTCTCTATGGTCTAGTACATTTAGCGCCGTTCTACCGCCACAGAAGTGGTTTACTCCGTACTTTGGACGGCTTTTTTTGCAGTATGAAACCTAGAACAGTGGGGGCCAAATGAAGTACTTAGTGCCTGCATTAAAGGCAACCTTGGAGGTAATCGCCAAAACAACGTCGGGCTACTGTGTACATTACAGCGCAAACTATGTTTAGATTTGGTCCCCAGCCGTTTATCTATGAAATTTCTCATGATTACTATGTAGTATCGCAGGGACAATCAAATATATGCTTGCATGTGATGAAGCTTGTCTTCCATGCCTCCACGGCTCTGTCGCTAACTTAGTCACTCAAGCCATTTAACGCTATTGGCAAACCATGTGGGCCACAAGAGTCATTACATAAATGAGAACCCTATTCCCCACTGTAGCAGCGTTCCATGTATAATGTACTGTATAGAAAGGCTATCCTGCATATTCCAACTCCCTAGTTCATGTACATCCACTTTCTATACGACGCTATTTCATCTGCGTGACTTGACTAGAATATATCTTGATATCAGTTGGCCCTTTAACGGTGCTGATATATATCTATGGGGTTAGGAGCAACATTGAATATGGTCGTGAACGGTTTATATGTTGGAGTAGCTTGTAGTAGGCATCTTATCCAGAGGCTGGATGGCAATATATATAATGCTCCTCGACGTGGGAGTTTATGTGTCAAGTGTCGGGATTGATATCGAACAAGGTAAATAAGGTAATCGGCATTACTCTAAGAGTACTCTTATACATTTCAAAGTAAATATAGATCAATTGTCACGACGATAGATGTCCCCAATGAGACTGAAGAGATATCAAGTGAGTCCACATTTTGTTTCCGCTCATAATGCACTTTTTAGCCAAGATTCACAATAACAGCGGCCGGCTGGCCCAATGGCAAGGCGCTTGACTACGAATCAAGAGATTGCAGGTTCGATCCCTGCGTCGGTCACTTTTTTTTATCCTTTCAGGATAATTTTTTGATCTAAGAATGGTGCTGTCTGCGCTGTTTTTTTATTTATTAAACGGCATATGCTGCCTGAAATTATCTTCTATATTAGATAATTAGGAGATTTGAAACGTTAGAATAAATAAATGGCCTATAAAGCATGTTCGACACTGACTCAACTTTCGTCCAACCTTTCTTTACGTAGAATGGATTGATCGCGTCAAGGAAATTTGTACAGTAGGGATCCCTAGCATGTATGTTCGTCTATGTTGATCTAGGACTACTTAAGTTTTCGCTCATGTAGCCATATTTCGATAGACCCTTCATCAATTGGTAAGATGGCCGAGTTGGTCTAAGGCGCCAGGTTAAGGTATACCTTGACTCCCCAACTAGCAATAGTTTCCTGGTCTCGCAAGAGGCGTGGGTTCAAATCCCACTCTTATCATTAACTTTTTGCTTTTTGTTCACACGACTTGCTTTTTAGTGTAGTTAGTAGAAGTTTTGTAGTCATGGTGTGTGGCGGTTCTAAGAAAATTAAATTCTTCCATTCTGGTGTTTTTGTGCGGCCAGCATATACGTCGGCAAAGGCGTGCCTCACTTTAACTTGGCACATTATAACTGGATAGTATAATTACAACAAGAAAATTCTTTTATATTTCAATTGAAATTGACGACGGGCGATTATCATGTGTGAGCCCCCAGCCTATAGTGGACCAACAAGGCTGGGATAGTGCAGCGATTTTTCTGTTGGTCATGAAATAGGTCAGATAAGTTGGGCAGACAAGTATGAATTTACATGTGCCATATTACTACAGCTAGCAATATAATGTGTAGGTAGCATTGTCATTATTTGGTGAGATAAGGTTATAGGTCTCTAACATGGACCCGGGGACAGGTCCCGCAGAGGTATACATCAATGAGCATTCAAAGCCTCATGCATAGCCTGGACACCGTCAAGATTGGCCCACCGTTTCCGAAGTTACTTCGAGTCTTCGCTGAGACATGCGATCTGAAATATATGACTGAATTTCTTTGTTCAAATTTCATGCAACTCAGCTTCGGTCCTTCTAAAACACACACACACACACACACACACGGTCGTCTATCTAAACAAGCCTCTTCCGAACCTCTAGTATTCTTTGTGTCGCGGTGGAAAATGCATCCTTGTCCAACGACCCATCCTCCAGCGCAGTAAGTAGAGCATTATATATATCCTCTCCCTGAGTGACATCTCTCTTAGCCGCAAGCAATATATCAACACCAGCCTGTGCAGCCAACAACCCACGAGCAGCCTGATCGCCGAACGCCTGCAGCGCTCCCGCCTCAATAGCATCAGTGATAGTAACACCCTTGAAGCGAAGCCTACCCCGCAACTCGTCTTGGATAATAGTCTTGCTTAGCCCAGAGGGATAGATCGGGTCCAAAGCAGGATAGATAGCCCACGAAGTCATAACCATGTCCACACCCGCCGTGATGGCCTTGGTATACGGAGCCATATCCACCTTGCGCAGCTCTTCGAGGGTCAAGTCAATGGTAACGGGCTGCAAATCCGTATTCTCGCCTGCGGCGGCTGCACCAAGGCCAGGGAAGTGCTTGGCGGATGCGATGACACCGGCTGACTGCTGAGCGCTGATAAAAGCAGACCCGCATGTTGCAACGACGCGGGATGAGTTACTGAAGGAGCGCTGGGAGGCATCAGCGAAGTCTCCGGCCTCGCGATACACATCCAACACAGGTGCCAGATTGACGTTGTTTTTGAATGTCTCGAGCGTGCTCGCGGCATCTTTGCCCATCTGTGTCGCTGCCGCTTCCGGATCAGCGGCTTGGCCGATTTGCTTAGCACTTTCTACTGGTCCGCCGGCCAATCGACGAACTTTTCCGCCTTCTTGGTCTGTCATGATGAATAAAGGACTGCCTGAATAGTATGGACTCTGCTTATAAGTCTCCTGGAAGTTGTCGATTGTGGTTGTGAGGTTGTCACCGACATTTTCGCCGAAGAGGATGATGCCACCAACTTTGCCTTCAGAGATTAGATCAAGGAGATGGGTTGGTGGCTCGAGGCCAGGGTAAGAGAAGATGACATGGTGTCCAATTTGCGCTTGAAGATCGCTCGGGGAAGTAGCCGACGCTGAAGGCGCAAGAGCGAGGAAGAAAGGAAGAAGAATTTGTGCAGAGAACTTCATTTAGACTGTAGGGTATTTAGACTGTCCATCTTGTGGCTATCAGTGCCTATATAGCATCTCTCGGGGTTTATGAACACATTGGGAACTCCTATTTCGTCTTTTGATTGTTTTAGATTGTCCAATTGTTCCTGAATCTGTGGGGAAATTGTTGAGATCGCGAGGGATGTTACATTGATTAGATTGATCGTCGTTGAAGATTCCTTAAAGTGGAACGAACCCCCGCATGTGAGGTTACTATCTGACAGCCGAGATGTGTTTTGGCATGATTGCAACGGTCCTCGGCATGGCCTTTAAATTGATTGCTTCTTGTCACCTTCTTCATCCAGGATGGCAATTTGAAAGATGGGCTTGGTGAAGTTCCCTAGTCTACGTTTTTGTGTAGAACAATTACCTACACTGTACATACATCGTAGGTAGCTATACATATATTGAGCTATGCAGTAAGCGAAATATCATCTCTCGGCCGAAATAGAGAAAAACTAGGAAGGGGAAAAAAGTAATGACTGGTGTGTTGGAGTGTCTAGTAGGATTCGAGATCTGAGTACATGGCATTCCATGTCAACGCCCAAAACCTAAGGTGCGGTTCTTTACGGTTTCGAACAAGCGTCCACCTGGCAAGGTTACAAGGGTCCAACCTGCAGCTGGGAAATCTCATTGCCGTTGGTAATCACTTAATCTGGCCCTAGGGCCTTGAAAATGACTTGGATGGAGACAATCAGCCGCCAGGTAGTTCAAAATCAGGCATCTTTTGTATGGCATACCGATACAAATATATTTCGCACCTACAGCGACGAACTGGTTGACACAGTCACTACCAAACTTTGGATAAGAGAAGAGCAGAAATAATGTTTGGGATACTACAATGGCAAACGCCTTGAGCTCCCAAATGTTAGATATTGCACCGTCACTATAAGGAAGAAGCTATGCTTGAAATCAGCACAACAGCAGTATATTTACTTTTTGGCTATATACTCAAAATAAAAGAACAAAATCAAACAAACCAATTAATGACTGTGGTGACCCTCGATCAAATCCTTCGCAGCGACCTTTCTGCACTCTTCCATCACCCTTAACTGCTCGGCGACCTCGCCCAGTCTGCCAATAACTTCCTTGTTCCCGCGCGTAAAGGTAAATATTACATAGGGCATTCCGACGTCATCGCAGAACTCTTTGACATACTTCTGCGCCCTGCGCAGGTTATGTCTTGGGAGACGAGGGAACAAATGATGCACGACTTGGAAATTGAGACCGCCATGTATGAAGTCCAACCAAGGCGGGCAATCGACGTCCATCGTCGTCCGCACCATCTTCTGAGCAAAAGACTCGTGGACACCCCCATCAGCGCTCGACATAGCAAAGTGACTAAGAGTGAGTTGAACGTGCAAAGGGGCTGTGACCATATGCGAGATGAACAGGAATGCGATGCGAGACGACCACATCGGGATCGAGAGGTATAGCGTTCGGTAGCCGTACCAATACCAGAAAAACACCTGGCCAGTTATTTCAAGGTAGCGATGCCACCATGCTGAGCCTTTCCGAGGCGATTGCTTCGGATCTAATAGGTATGACCATGCTAGGCGGTATAGGTTGAAACGACCCAGTAAAAGTATGGGATAGTATAGGTAATGCTGGCGCTTGATGAACCACTGTGCTGCAGCATCGAAAGGCATAACGCGGTCGTAGTAGGTCGAGCTTAGGGAGCCAAAGAATCGAGGAGAGATGGCGAAAAATGGCATATGCTGGATATCCGGATCGTGCTCGGGCGAGTTGGTTGCTATATGATGCACGTTGTGATTTCGTTTCCACCAACCAACCGAGAGTCCACCAATGAAATCTGCAACAAAAATTCCAATGCAGCTGTCCGTGTGGAACCCATGTGTTATGCTTAGATGTCCGGCGTCGTGGACGAGGAATGAAAGAAGGTGCCAGAGTAACCCAAGGAAAAGGCTCGAAAGAGCGTAATAGGAATAGTGAAGGCATGTCAAGAAGAGAAAGAAAAGAGTCGAGTATCGGATAAATTCGACAGCATAGGAGCTGTATGGGCACTGGTAGAGTCCTTCGGATCGCAATTTTTCATCGAGTTGGCGGTACTTTGAGATGACCTCGTGTTGCGACATCTGATCAAGACGAGGATATTTTGAAAGGTTTGATGATATTGCGTGAGCTGTTGATGCTTCTGTATATTTGAATTGCTCCGGCTCCGGCTTTGGCTCTGGCTCTGATAATGAAGCTTGAGAGATTGGTGTATCATTGCCCATCCGCCTCAGACGAAGTTCGTCTGTTGTCTCTTCAGTATCGAATACAAGTGATGGTGGTGTTGATTGTCCAGATGAGCTGAAATACTCGGGTTTGTCGTCATCCTTGGTTACTAGCGTTCTGAATATTCCTCCTTGTATCGGAGGCAAGAAGTTTTCCCATTTTCCATGTACTCTTCCTATAGCATACTTCTGCATATATGCCTGTGCTTCCTCTGAGTGTAATGCTGTGATTTCATCCGTCCCATCCCGACCGACCATGTGCAATATGGATTTATCACCGCCTGGGTGGTATGGTATCCACGCGTCGGCCTTGAGTACCTGGTCACCAAATATGATTATTTTTCGCCCATCTGCTATCAATCCCTCAATTTCTCTCCGAGACCACACTCGATTTGTTCGTGATATGACTGGTGCCATATCAATGGTGGGTGCAGTAGAGCAGCTGGAGATTGACTTCAGATCCCGGATGGATGATGATGAATGTTCGATCAGACGACAATGGAATTGAGGGCGTATGCTGTTGTTTATTGATTCCTTGGCATCAGAGGTATCGACCTCGGGATAGATCAGGCAACTACATATGCTAGTCACGTGCAGGACATAGTATGATACTATAGGTCACCCCGACGACGAGACAAAGAATATTAAGACCGAAGTTTTGGCTGACTTGCTTTAGAAAGATCACCCTGCTTGTGAAGATGCCGTCCAGTCTTGTAACCTATGTCAATACGTTGTGATGCTCCTTGCTATAGGTACCGAGCCAAATATTAGGATCTTCCTTGGGAAGCAAGAACGCCCCTTCAAGCAATTGGGAGCGGTGTATTTGATTTAGAGTTGCAAACCCACGCCTTTCCAAGTAAGGTTTAGATTGCCTGAGCTCAGACAACGTGCATAGAAAACTTCTGCTTCTTCATCACGACCTAGATAATTGAGAAAATTCGCAATCTCTACTCCGAATATCAGGCAGCAGATTAAGCACTGAATTGAATATAAAATGGATAATGACTGTTTATATAAACCGCAGGAGCAGTGGATAATGACGCTACTCCAATCTTTGTCGTATCAATGATTGACTCACCGCAAGTTGTTGTCCCAAGTATGGCCTCATTTTTCCCTCAACTAAAATTATAACTCCATGGTTACAAAGTTCTAGTTGAATAAAATGCGTACGATTCTGTCATTTCTGGTCAGAGGTAGTATGCTCCAATCGCGGCCACTTTGATTGAATTCGAGTGTAACTCTACCACTTGCCAGTCACCTTAACCTTGTTAGAATATTTCTAAACAAATAGCACTATAGTTAGTGACTAGACACTACAAAGTTTCGTCGAGGAAACATTGAAAATGGTATCATGGCAGTCAAACCTACTGACTGAGCGATGCTACACGTCGGAAAGAACACCCATGATGCGAAATCGAAGAATTCAGTCGATCTGTGGAAAATCTTCTGTATGTAGGTAAGGGGATTGGGGATTGCGGCATGGGAGATACGTCGCAAAAGGCGCGATGAGATAAAAGACGTCCTTAGTGCAGCAGCAAAAGTAAAATATCTTGTGTCAAGTAAATCTCAAGCAAAATTGGATATTTTCACCTTTAGGTGGAACATTCAATAAACTTGTGTCTATCTGTGTGATCGTTGTTTCAGTAAGGTATCCTTTCTAACATAGAATCTGCATATTCCGTAGGGTAGAGGTGCATGCGTGCATATAATATATCATTTTCGGAACTATATAGTGCAGAAGCAACTCCTCTATAATATAAGACAAATATGCGTTATAACTCGCAGTAAGTCATATGGCAGCTGCCAGGTAAATTCGCCACTCCTACTTTATGATTGAGTAATCTGCTCTCTACTTCTCTCCTCATATTGTGCGCGGAGCCAATCAATTTCGATATTCACGTTACATTCCACTCCTTCAGAGACAGGGATCTTATGAATAAAACATTCGCAAGACGGATAACCACCCTGGAATTTCAATCGAGAGTTAATTTTAGGAAACATTCCATCCGTCATGTGTTCATTCCAGGTTATGCGGCGAAACTCTGGGATCAAGGATTCGATGTATGTTTCGAGTGCATGTACATCTGGATGTCGCGTTGCTTCTTGCATCTTCTGCGGATTGAACTTCGGATTTGCGAAGAGATCAGAATAAAAGTTTAACAGTCGCCAGCGCTCATACGTATTGATTGAATGAAACCCGTAGTCGACCTCGGATTGTTTGCAGAGTAAAGGCTCATCTTTTGAGTGGAATTTGCATCTGGCGTTCTTGCATGAGCAACTTGGACACCCACTGAGACCGTGCGAGACCTCTGACATGAAGCGGTAAATGCCGATTGTTTCCGGCGAAGGTTGACGGGGATAGATTCCTTCAGAAACGAGAGCTGATATCCCAATGCCTTTAGCTTTCATAATATCAAGTAAAGTATTTGACTTCCATGCTGTTGCTATTTCACTGAGTGATGCATGGGCGGTAAGCTGGATATAAGCCTTTGCAAGGAGTTCCATCTGGGTCCTGCTTGTGCAATAGCAGAAGCCGAATCTGACCCACTCCGGGTCACCAATATTGGGAATATTGTTGAAGTCTCGGAGAAGAGTTCTATACAAAAATCTAACATCATGTTCTGATCTGGAGAGGACACTGTCATACTCAATGGAAAAAACGTTCTCCAGCTCTTGTATGGCCCAACCCTGGTAAAGGTACTGTCCGTCATGATTGGGGATATCGAAGGAGCCCGATTGATACAGACTAAGAAACCATGGAAAGCAACCACACTCTTCGAGGTTAGTCTGTGCCATTTGATGCTGGATCCAATGACCAATAAATCCACCTAGAGCATGGTGCTCGACAAATTGTTGAAGCCTCTTTGAGGAAAATTGGCAGGTCAAACTGTTGTATATGCAGAAAAGATTGGTGACTTCCATTTCTTGCACGCAAATATTGAAACCAAAAGTCTTGCAGAGGTGATCGTCTCGAAAAAGAGTTGTTAGGAAATGAGCTCGGGAGACTAAATCGTTTATCTCGACTAGCCATTGCCTGACCAGGACTTTTAGGTAGTCCACATCATTTGGTCGATTCTTGACACAGCATATAAAAACATGTCTAAATCAGTCTTTTGATTGACATCTCCTTGAGCAGTAATTCATCCGACAGGCCGAGCAACGAGATTCACATGATTGACCACATAACTTGCATTTGTGTGAATGGTAAACGCGCCTGAGAGGCATTTCGTTTGGACATTCAAGTTTGAACATAGAACGAATGTCCTGATCTTTCAGACGCTCGGCTTCTGTGAATGTCATCTCTATCGATTGATGATCAAAGCGGGCCCCCGAGACCCATGCATACCCCGGCTTATCATGAATCGGTGCAATAAGCAAGCCATTATCGAAGGCCGTGGGCATCATCATCAAGTGCCTATGAGATGATGAGAAATTTATTTGTTATGTATAATTTGTGACCGATCAACATACTGGAAACCTCGGTAAGATGTATTGTGATATTCGGGCTCCCGCTGCCATATAGCCCCGGTCGAGGAAAGTGCATGCGAGGACTGTGCCTTGAGATCAACATTCTTCCTTCCCGGGCTATTGAACAAAGTCTGGAGAGAGACTTTTAGTTCCATGAGTAAACGTTCCATGGCCAAGTCGAGTTGGGTCGGTAAGCTGCCTGACCCAGTCGTGGAGGGTATGGGCACGTTCCATCTATATAGCAATGTCTCATGTGTTCCTCGCACCCCAAAATACTCGTGAGCACGAAGGAGTGCATAACATAGCCAACAGCAGCGTCTACTACACCCGATGTATTTGTGTGACTGGTTTCTATCGTCTGGCGACATCGAGTACTCAAAATAAGCTAGAAGTTGAGTTTCTGCATGGTGAAATTCTTTATCTCCTTTTGATTTGCGCAACCCAGGGAACCGCGCCGCATTCTTGGCAAGATAAAATTTCCAGCTAGGATTAAAAGTGAGACCTAGAGCTTTGATGACAGCTAGGATATTTGCGTATTCATCTCCAGCTGTATGTCGCTGTGTTTTCTTATGTCGGCGTTGGGTTCTGCCCCGACCTTGACTTTCGGTATGCGAAACAGACACGATCTCGATAGACTGAAAGGATCGAGAAACCTTCGCAATCTCGACGTAGATATATGCAGCGTAGCAGACTCTACCTAGAAACAGCAAAGCCTCTCTCTCCTTTTGCTGAATAAACTCTCTTCTTAAGGCTGTCTTCAGCATGAATCGAGCCCGGGGCTCTCTCCAGAGATCAAACATGTGACTCATGACTTCCTTCAGTAGACTTGTCTCATCTTCTGATGTAGTATTAGGTTGGCAGAGACGGCGAATTTTCTCGAAAAGCTCGGAAACGCTACCTTGGATATTGGATAGTGTCTCACCAGTGCAAGTAGTGTTTGATTTTGCGTTGGTTAACTCATCCGCCGGCGCGGACCGGTTTGCTGGTGCGGAATAGTGTAGCGGTATGGCGAATAAAAAACCATTGTCCTCCTCCCACTCTCGACTCCGTAAAGATGGCATTATCGAGACTTGCTGTGCTAACAGAGAGAGCTTTGGCATACTCTTGACTGAGGCAGAATTTATGTTAGATTGAAAAACCCGCTTCAGGGACTTGAGATAGGTTGTGATCCGTGGCCACTGATGGTCTGCGACGAGGTTGAACATGGCAAATGTATCCTCATCTGAGGCATACCCTGACTAGACTTCAGCAACAAACACAAGCAAATAAGATCTCATAGTATCCAGAGCGAACCTTTCCTCGCGATACTTTCCATACATAACTTCCAGCTAGCCAGAAAGTCATCATCTTCCTTCTCAAGCCCCTCATTCTTAGCGCAAAATATCTTGACGCGCTCTTCGTATTCATAGCAGACCATCATAGCCGCAGAAACATGTTTTGCATCATTCGATGTTTTGGACTTGGGATCAGTTTTGAAGCGAGCTAGTGTTTCGGCAAGTCGGTCGAGGAATTGGTTCTTAAGTTCGACGCGGTATTGTTCATGTCCTGGATCGGTACCAAGCATAGTTGGATCTTCTAGGTCGTCAAATTTCTCGTCGTTTGCATATGATTGTAACTCTTTATCATCCTCTCTGGCTTCTGTCTCTTGTGTTGATTCTTCACGGCCCGTTGGACAGTCTGAGATTAATGCCAAAAGACATATTGCATCGTCGAGGTTCTGGTACGTAGACATTGGATATGATATTACAAGAAGACTAGGTTCAAATTTCAAAACTCAAGCTTTTTTCTGGCCGAGTTCCTAAAAAGGTAATACTGTGGACAATTGATTTTGGTTGTCGGGTTCAAAAGCGAAGCCAGAGAGATAAGCAAATCTACAATCCATCAAAGCGGGGTCAAACATGTGTGGCTGGGTAGCGACATTTCGAGCCCAAGATATTTGGAGAATATTCGCCGACAACAAGACATTGCATAAGATGGTTTTAAACGAACCCCAAAGATCTCCAATCTGAGAAGCCCCTGAATGAAGCCGATGCTCGACGTCGCCTCCAATTTCGTCAGCCCCACTCCTCACAACTTCCTAAAAAGGAAGTTCGAAGTAGAAGTCTTGGCGTGGAGATTTAGCACCCCAGAATTCATTCTAACCCACAAATCATCTTGCTTTCCTCGTGCTGAAAAGTCTAGTAGTCTTCTAGAAACGGACAATATTAATCAGATAGCACTATTTACTGGGTGTTAATCTGTAGTTGTTGGGGCGTCATCGCTTAGAAATGATCATTCACCATGGCTATAAAAAATCTTTGCAACACCACACGTGCAATGATGCACTTCTCACTGCAGTCTCAAGAAAAGACACACGCTTTTGATAAAGTACCATGGGAGCGCCGGATACTCCTGGCCCGAGCGATGAGGCGATACAACATGACCTGGACCAGGCCAGGGTAAATCAAGAGACTGTCGATTTGGAAAGATTGGGAAGAGAACGCCCAAAGTGCTTCACTGGCGCTTGGTCAGAAATTTCATTTTGCCTCTCGATTTTCATGTCCCAAATCCTCGCAGTAAGTCATCCACGAGGGTCATACAGCAGGAGAAAAAATTCTGACATTTGACTAGGAATACTACATCTCAGGCTCAAATGTCCTCCTTCCAACGCTGGTCAAAGAGCTTGACCTTCCTGAAGCCTCGACCATATGGCCATCTACCGCATTATCCCTGGTCGTGACCTCGACGCTGCTTATCTTCGGCAGATTAACCGACATGTTCGGCGGGTATCTCATTTACAGCGGTGGGGCTATTTGGCTCACGATATCGTCAATCTTATGCGGTGTTTCCCAAACATGGCTGATGTTGATTATCTGCCGAGCATTGCAGGGCTTTGCTCTGGCCGCTTTTCTTCCATCGGGAATCATGGTTCTTGGCAGCACATACAGACCTGGGCCTAGAAAGAATATCGTATTCAGTATCTATGGCGCATGTGCTGCATTGGGATTCTTCGTGGGAATTTTCTTCTCCGGACTCTCTGGTGAATATCTCACCTGGAGATGGTACTTCTTCTTCGGAGCAATTCTCTCCGCAATTACAGCTGCTCTGTCACTCTTCTCCATTCCCCGCGATTATTCTGAGAAGAGGAAATTGGGCATCCAGATGGATTGGCCCGGTGCTTGTCTTTTCATCCCGGCAGCTGTGCTTATTGTTTTTGCTATTGCAGACAGTTCATATGCACCGCAAGGATGGAGAACTCCATATATTCCTCTATTCTTCGTGCTTGGGCTCATCCTCCTTGGAGTCATGATTTATGTGGAAGGATGGGTCGTGAAGAACCCTCTGCTGCCTGGTGACGTTTTCCGAGTGAAGTATATGCTGCCTTTGGTCATCGCTTTGCTATTTCTTTATGGCACATTAGGCATATTTTTACTTTATGCCGTTCTTTAGTGAGTTATATCCGGGTTGTCATGTTTAGACTGGATATTTTACTGACAACATCTATAGCATGTCTGATATAATGGGTGCTTCGCCAATGCAAATCGTGGCATGGGCCGTGCCTATGGCAGTTGGTGGTCTTATTCTCTCAGTCGGAGGAGGAATGATCTTCCACAAAGTCCCAGGAACAATATTGATGCTGATATCGTGTCTGGGCTACGTGGGTTCTGGATTATTTTTCGCCGTCATCCCTATTGGGGGAAATTACTGGGCTTTCGTATTCCCAGCGATGATATGCGGCACAGTCGGCATTGACATTAGCTTCAACCTCGCCAACGTCTTCATCACGACAAATCTTCCGAAATCAAGGCAGGGCTTAGCCGGTGCATTGATCAACTGTACTCTGCACATGGGAATCGCAGTCATGCTTGGTTTCGCGGATATTGTTCAGACCCAGACTTCGGAGTTGGGTACTCGGGACAGCTACAAGGCTGTCTTTTGGTATCAAACCGGACTGGCCATACTGGGAATGCTTATTGTTCTGTTTTTCGTGCGAATAAGAGAGGCTAAAAGTGAGTTCACGCTTGATGAAAGGGAAGCAATGGCAGCAGAGGGAAATGAAAGAGCTATCGAGGTCTGACGCGTTTGATACCCTTACGTTTGTATTTATTTGGAGAAAATACTGGCTTTGTATATAATTTAATATAAGACCATCCTCATTTGTGAATTTGCAGAAACTTGCATAGATACAGCATGGATCCTATGTCGCACACAGTCGACATCGCTATTCTATTTATAGCGCAGTGCAAATGGGGGTCTTCGATTGGCCAGCCGAATCCACAGTCACATGTCTGCCCCTGGACGATCACGTGACACAACTCAGTCCCCGGCCTTGGCATGCATGCCCCCGGGAGTAATTCGCAGTGATACTTGATGACGTTTTAGAACTCTTGTACTCCGTGATCTACTCACCATTCCCGGAATCTAGAGGCAGAGCTCATAATGTCCCCTTTGGATTCCGGATGACGAGTGAAATTTATGACAATGTCGGTCACAACAATTCCGCTCGAACCCCTCATATCGACCGCACGTGCGGAGACAAGTCACGCCGGCGCAGCCATACGAGACATTCAATCCGACCCAATACAACCCGAGAAGGAGGGGAACGTGAGGATGGTGGTCAGCGATAGCAAGACTGCTTCAGCCATGGAATTTGCTGGGACATCATCGTTTAGAGAAAAACAACCTTTGTCCGGCCTTCATTTCCTGACTGCAGAACATCCGCTTTTTCCACCGATGCCATCGTATGGCCCCCCATCTGCATTGCGCACAGTCCAGTACTACATCTTCATCTTCGCTTCGTTTTTTCTGTCCTTATGCTTTTTGGCGGTTATATTTGTCGGGGCCCTGATCCACACAGCCGGAACCGCAATCTCGGAGACTCGTCTGCGATGGAGTGGGCACAACCCAGACACAAGGAGGTCTTTCTATACAGAGGAACAGGCGCGCAGGAAGGCAAGAGCTAGCGCCGATCGGAGATGGGCTCTGCGCCAGCAGAAGAGGGATGTGGACGAGGAACAGGGACCCGAAGAATGCCAAGAATGCCCGTCATTGGAAGGCGGAAAGGATCCTGTGGTTGGCGACGTCGCATACTATGCCCGCCGAGTGGGTCTCGATGTGGAAACATTCCGTGTCCAGACCGAGGACGGTTTCATTATCACTTTGTGGCATGTGTACAATCCCCGGGAGTATGAGGCATTATCACCGGAAGAGCGGCGTGAGCGCGGACCTGAAGTTTTCACTAAGCCGAGAATGCCGAATGCATCTCGTCCACATTCTAATCGTCGATATCCTGTTCTCCTGGTCCATGGATTGCTACAAAGCGCTGGTGCATTTTGTACAAACGACGAGGACAGTCTGGCATTTTACCTTTGCAAGTCCGGCTATGATGTTTGGTTAGGAAATAACCGCTGTGGGTCACATCCGGAGCACACCACTTTGTCGACCGACGACCCGCGTATGTGGTCTTGGGACATTCGACATCTCGGGACCCTGGACCTTGCAGCACTCACTTCGCGTGTGCTCTACGAGACTGGATTCGAGAAGCTAGGTCTTGTGTGCCACTCCCAAGGAACCACGCAGACCTTCGTTGCTCTAGCGAAGGAACATCGTCCTGAGCTGGGTGAATATATCTCAGTTTTCTGCGCGCTTGCACCGGCTGCATATGCCGGCCCCCTTGTGAGCAGACCGTATTTCCGATTCATGAGCCTTCTCTCCCCGGCGATGTTCCGAGTCGTCTTTGGAATTCACTCTTTCATTCCTTCCATGATGACCGCTCGGCGTCTACTCCCACCTAGAATATATGGAACCCTAGCATATTGGGTGTTCTCCTTTTTATTCGACTGGTCTGACACGCGCTGGGAGCGTGATCTGCGCCATCGAATGTTTCAATTCGCTCCTGTATATGTCAGTGCTGAGTCGATGCGCTGGTGGCTGGGAAGCGACGGTTTTGCGAAACATAAATGCATTTTGTCCACAGACGACGAGCTCTTCCAGGAGACAAACGCGAGCCCGCATATGCGAGATCCCGTTTCTAACCACGGTGACAATCCCGGAGACGCATGTTTGGGAACTCCAGCCCCAAGCCCCTGGTATGGCCCGAGAACACCACCGTTTGCATTCTGGATCGGAGGTTCCGATGCTCTTGTTGATGGTCGCCGGCTTCTGAATCGCTTCCAAAGTGGCCGTGAACCCCATGTGAGTCTCGTTCATTCGAAAATCATTGAAGAATATGAGCATCTCGATGTCCTTTGGGCGATGGACGCGATCGACCAAGTTGGCAGGGAGGTCAGCCAGGTTATTTGGACAACTGTCCCTGATGACGCACGTCAGATATGTCGCACCCCGCGCGGTTTGAATATAGACATGGTAGACAGGGGCTAGGTTATATTTGGCTAGGTATTCTTGTATATTCTACTTTGTAAACAACACTTCATGTTCCTTCCTATAGGGGCAGTGGGGGCGAACCCACCGAACTGCATTCAGATATCTTATGAACATACCATGGCACTCGATTGCTTTATTTATTTGTATCTTTCCTTTTAGATACTTCTCCGTGGTCCTGTGAACTTTTTCCTTGACCGTCTTCTGTCGACAGGTTTCAGGTGTGACTGCATGAAACCCTGAAACATTTATCATACTCTGTCTGCACGACCCTGCTACATCCTGCTCCTCTGAGACAACACCCTACTCTCAGTTTTAAATTCCCTCCAGTCTCAAATGAGCCACAGCGAACTAACAAAAGATATGTCCATAGGTATAAATACCACGCGCAAGTCGAGTTGTCGAGATTAAATCTATGGTAGGAGATATGGGTGTGACTCTATAGTATAAGCAAATTAGGGCCAAAGGCTAACGCATGTAGAACCTTTACCTTTTTAACGCCAGACTACCGCAATGACCTATGAGATCGAGTAGACCGAGACGACGACGTGGAAACTGTCTTATTCCGACAGATTGTGGGTGAGACTGCAAGAAACACGCAAACCGCAAACCGCATACGCAAAAGGACATACAGACCCCTCAATAATGCCAGCATCACCCAAATACCCTTGGTTTGATATGCGCTTCTACGCAGTCTCTGAAGGTGGCACAAGACCCAGCCAGAGAATACATGGTTTCTTATACAGGCTGGTGATTGGTGGGGGTCTGTATGACCTTTGGCTTTTGTGCTTTATAAGGTTCTTCCAGTCTCACCTTAAAGTCGTCGGTATAGGACAGACTGGTTTTATCTTACCCACTCTTCAGGATACTGCGTCTTGTCTGGCGCTCTGAGTTATGATTGATAGATATTTCGCAAGAATTGATAATAAATATGTATACCTACATATATGAAGTTGAGCGAGCTTTGTGACTGTCATGCCCTTGCCCTAATACTACTTTTGGTCAGGTACAGGTACCTGTCAGGTGACACTGTGTATTTGCCTCAGACGTTTCTGTCGCCAAGAATGGATTGGGTGGGGAAGTATTCCCCTTTCAATTGCTATCTTCACTAATGGCAACAGAGTTTACCAATCTGTGCTGCTGACATTTAGAGCTATGAAATTAGTCGAGAGCAACTGTTGCGTCCAGCCTTCAATGGCTTTAGATCAAGTCAATCTAAGCTCAGCCAGGCCCACTAACCCCGCAATGCCCCGGATTTGGGTGGGACCGGGCCAAACCCTCCGGACTCCACAACATTCCACATTTATCGAATTATCATGTGAAATATATGTGTGCACGGAGTATATATAAAGTCATGAATACTATATCCCCAGTTAGCCTCGCCTCTGAATCATATTTCAGGAGAACCCACTTATAGTAGGGTTATCATCTCACTCGGACAGCCCCCTATTTGTCTGTGTCACAATGTACACGGTTGCGAGTAGCTGAGGGCACACAGGTACTTACACTACGACAATATACATGTATCCATCGTACTTCTGGTTTACCTGTGACGGGAAACTTGGCCAATCGCATAGTCAAGGCCAACTAAGACCGCTTCGACACGACCAAAGAGAATGTGGGGAGAGGGCTAATGCGGTCCCATTATGATCGTTTGGCACTTCCAACTATCAAATTGAAGGGCGTTTATAATTGCTTTTAATAGCACCACCATTGAGTCTCTTCAATGTTTACATTTTTTGTAAGCAGGACAGTGTGTACCTACCTCCAAGCAGACATCGCAATCCATGGAACAGACTAACAGACTTGAATCATCACCACGACATCGAGGCGAGATCACCTAGGCCATCAAGGGACATATGGATCACAAAACTCAGTCGGTGACTCCAAGGTTATGTGACGCATCGCGACCATTGGATTGCCACCGTACAGGGATGCCCTAGATGTCACCTTTCCCTCAGTCCCAAGTCCTAACTGACTCCCAACCCCGCATGCAGTCAGATGATGCCAGTGTATATAAGTCCTTCTTTCATGTCCTTCCCGCTACATGTGTGATTACTTGCTTTTCAAGAAACTCTCCGCTCCATCAACTTCCATCAGACTTGTAGACCCAACTTGACTTTTCCATCAACACCCTATCTGACACACTACATCCAAGATGTCCGCAGCCATGGGTCCTCTCCTACAACAACTGCAGGCTCTCCCTGCTCGTTCAAGGCAGGGTCTCAACAACCTGCGCCAGCGTATCTTCCAGCAGGGTATGTTGTCCCCTCTTGTCTTCCAACCGTCTCATCAACCCTCCACCTGACATTCGGATATACTAACACCACAAACAGGAGAGAGACAACCTAAGGAAGCCAACCTCCTGCGCACTTCCCTGGGCGTTCACCGTCCGGTTTGGATCACTGCTGGTGGTGGTCTGTACACCAGTATCGCGGCTGTCTACCTCACGATGCGATATCTGAAGCGTGCTGCTCGGTAGAAATCCCAGTAGTCACTGCTGGCTACCCGACTTGACTTGACTCGACTCTACTACACGGCTGCAGCTCTCACGCATGTTTTCTACTACTCTTCACATAAATACCCCTTTTCTCCCGCGTCGCCATGTATCTATCGACAACAGCTGTATCTGATAGGTAGTTGTGTGCGACTAGAGGATTTCTTCAAGTCCCAGGTTGGGATTTTCTTTCTTTTGTTCGGTCGGTCGTTGGTATCTTCGCCATAGGGTGGCAAGATAGGTCTGGTGTTTTTGTTTAAAGGGCTACTTTACCCTAAATCGATACTATCAGAATGAATATCTTACGAATACTCTCGCTCTGGAATATATTGCAAGTATTTTGCACGATTCATCAACTTACCGCATCCTACGAGTTATCCCATGTCATGGTAATAATGACATCGCTTAACCGAAGGTGCCGGAGATGACCATCAAGGTTCGAAGAGCGTGTGGTAATAATGACTGAATAGTAGAGTGCTTAGAGAAACACGACCAAGGACAGGCCTAACCCCAGCCATAGAGTGACTTTCAAATCGGGGGTATGTAAAGCCAAAGCCGGATGTTTTTCCAACGGGGTACACACACATCGAAACTCAACTGTACGAATACCCAAAGTACTTTTTCTCCTAGAATTTGGGTTATGTACTAGTATAAGTAAACAAGTCATTCAAAGTAGAAAATGAGAAGTGACGGCTCCACTCGGCTGAAGAATAAGATGCTCCACTTCGCCAATGCAGAAAGGAATCTGGAGTGCGCTCAGTCCCTTGCTTCCACCGTACACGATACATGATACCTCAGGTAGACACTTTGTGAACAGTCCTGCTACCTTGTCATATCTCTTCTATTACCCAAGGTATCGTCACTGCACTGGGGTTAGCCCGCAGGATGATCTCGTTGGTGATGAGTGCATGCGTTAGTTTCTGTGTATGGGCTTGGTGGCCCCGCGTTTGTGTTTCGTGCGGAACTTCCTTATTGGGTAGTTTGACAGGAGCAATTATGAATGGGTGTCTGCTCCTATTTGCAGGTAAAATTTAAGTAATTCCTCATAGACATAGGCATAATTTGGGAAGGTTATGTGATAAAGGCTCTACGAAAGGAGTGTCTAGAGCATTTTGACTGTGGTGTACTTGAACTGCGTGATAGTTCTGTTCCGTTGGCAAAACAGCGAGACATGACAGACTCAGTTATAGTCTCCCTAAATTTTGGAATAATATATGTAGTATTCCTAGAACGCCTGGCCTTATCAAAAGGCGTGTACATAGTCAACGCAGATGACTGGACTCGCCTGATATGAACAGGTCTTTTAGTACCTTTAACATTGCTTTACTGAGAAGGAACCATTGCTTCACCCCAACTATGTTTCTTTTCTCCTTCATTTATGGCTCAATGACCAACCTGCTAATATGGTATGTGGAAAATTGTTGCTCCCCTCCGGAGTCACGTTCTTTCCTCAAGCTTTCTTTTAAACTCCGACGGGGCCAACCTTAAATGACAGGCTAATGTGTTGGTGTACCATTCCAAGGTTTCCTCGACGAATGAATCAGCATTGCTGAATTTGAAGCATCAATAAAGCGCCAGATTAAAAGGAAGCAAAATCCCATAAGAAGAGAATGGGGCTAGGTGACTACCTTGCAAATTTCGGTCGATCTCATTCGTGAAATTCATTGGAAATGCAACGTTGTATTGCCTATGTATAGTTGATCCGTTGATGGATTAAGCTGGATGGGCTTGACTCAGTTGCTTTATCTGGTGCACACTGGGAATAGACCCCCTCAAACCCTTTGCGCCGCCACTTCTGCATGGATTAAGGTGCCATAGGTAGCGACGTCGGGCAACACATCGGCGTTATCCGACAGTCGAATGACTTTCACCTTGAACTCAATGTTAAAGCGCCAACGGGGCAACGTCCATTTGCGATATTCACGCCAGGGCCGGTAACTAAAGGACAAGAAGCATCGCACGAGGAACAAAGCCAAGTGAATCAGTCTAGATGTCCAGTGAGTGTTAATATGTATCAGAGAAGGAGAGAGATGATATTATCGGAATGACTGACGCGAACACTACAGCCAACCAGGATAAGACCTGGGCGGTACGGATGAACCATAGGGGTACATCTGAGTCCCATCCGGAGCCGTCGAGGCCCAACTGTGATACACCACTGCCGATTGAGAATACGGCGATGGCGAGGTCCAAGATCAGGTTCAACCAGAGCCAGATAGGTCGGTTCCAGAGATACAGACGAGCCAGATTAAGGAACGAGATCAATCCAGCGGCCAGGAGCTGTTGTCACTGTGGTCAGCGGCTTATTTCCTGTTGAGATTTAAAAATGTGCGTGACATTACTACATACCGTCAAAAAGAGGGCAATTAGAGTACCCTCTGGTGCCCAGGGCCTGATATACCCGAATAGGGTAAGAGATATGAATATGATGATTAGGTTTAGAACAAGCATGAAGACCGCGAGAAGTGCCGAGCTCCACGTTAAAATGAAGATGGTTTTGGCGCATCGTTGTTGATGTCTTTCCACAATGGGATTGTGTTGTTCATCATTCGGGGATCCTAATTCATCGGCTGTGGATTCCAACAGCAGGGGGGTATCTTCAGTGGTTCGCGACATTATGTCAATAATGGGATGAAGAGGGCAACGTGGTAATATAAATGGGAAGGGGGTTATCATGACTAACCTACCTAGGTAAAGGTCGCGAAATGACTCCCAGGCACCAACCGAGGCGCTAAGGTAAGCACTAGCTCCTCCCAAGGTTCCAACACCGTTCTAAAAACCCGAAGATTCTTGGGGCCACAATCATGGATAAGTCAGCTTGTGCATTAGTCATGCATGCACATATAAATCGCTAACTACCTAGTGTCGCTACAAAATTACATATAACTACAAAATCCACTGTTTGATAGATATCGATGACTAATCTCAATATGTGCTTTTGTATGGTATCCACCAGAATAGCGGCCTTTACATTTCCCGAGGGTTTTAATACCCAGTTTTCAACTATATATTATAATATAATATTTGATATACCCCCTAGTTTTAAGGCTATTTATAGGCTTTAAAAACTACTGATTTTCTTACTTTTCTCGAAATTTGAGATCAAATTCGGGACTTTTTAAGTGCCCAAAGTCCTTTTGCAAAAGTACCCTAATGTTGGAAATTGTTGTAAAGGTGCTCTGCGCCAGCTTGTGACACTGAAGGGTACATTAAACCTGCTTATAGGTAAGGAGGTGATACCATCTATAGGTGGGTGAGTGACCTAGCTAGTTGGCATGTTGTGGAGAGAGGCGAATAGAGAATAAAGATAGCTTCGACGGACAAGCGCGGCAAGAGGTTGGATATGGAGCCTCCGGGCTTATAGCCTATTAGGAAAGGCCTGCGGGGAGACCAAGGTACATGGCGCAATCGATATAAGATAAGATTGAAGGGCTAAATTCTAGACCATGTAATTGACAGTATCCTGTTTCTGTATGGCTGGCCAGTGAGATATATATAACGCACACCATTTCCAGAACAGGAAATTCTTTTCCAACTTTTGCATAGTGGATCCCAACAACCGCCCAGCACGACCATCACCCCTGGTATACAGGAACCAAGTATACGGCGCTTCCACCACTCAAGCATTTCTATTTATAGTTAATCTATATGTATAGCAGTGCTCTCTAACCTGTGAGTTAATTTGGTTAAGCAACCTAACCTTCGAGTCATTCGATTATAGTTCATTGTTGTGTGATCCACTGCTTGAGTGAGGTATGCCTCACCAAGTGCAAGGTCCTCGCCAGATGAACATCACTGAAAATAGTGAAGTGACAATCAAGTCTTTTGAGAAACGCAGGCAGCACAGGATTAATGTGATTTATCAACTGCATCGGAGGATAGTTCAGGGCCCACCTGATGCGGGGAAACCGTGTATCCACTCCACGCGTCACCGACGCAGCCCCGGGGACATAACGGGGATTTCCTGTCTTTTAGCGTTTCTCGGCATCCTTAGGTGAGAAGCTTAGCACACGCCCAATATACCATGGTCTAATTTGTCTATTGGTGATAGCTATCATTCTCGCTTGTGCAACATGTTTAAATTTCGTGACGTGTTCACACACCTTGCTGACAAACCGACGTAGCCTTGATCCTACATGTACTGTTAAAGAACCTTGCTCTTCCCGGCTGTGTCCTTACTCATACAGAGCGGGTCTAGTTTCGTTTTTATAACGTTCGGATTGGCTCGAGGGAAGCCTGCGACGCCCCGGGGTCGGGTGGACTTTGTACTAGCCAGCCCACCCTGGTTTGAAGCCATCTGCAACCGCCCGCAGTTATCACTTCTATACATAGTAAATCCCGATTCCGGCTTCGGTTCGTATTGCGAGGACATGCAGCAACCGAGGATCCCGGACCTTTTACCCTTCCTGGCTATTTTTAATCAATCCTCGAAGCGAGTGTTGGATTACCTCGAAAACTTGTATTGGTTGCTGCAAGTGAGGGGTGATCTGGCACCTAAGCCTCCCTTCAGGCGTCCATATTCCCGATCCATAGCGCTGTCCGTATACCGTCTCCCTGCTTGTGACTCTATCCCCTGACAGATAATAATAACTCATACCAGGTGCCTCGAAGCCGATGTTCCGCTACCTTGCATCGTTTGGCCTCGGCATGAGGGGAACCCCAGCTCAATTCTGCGAATATTTGGAGAAACCGCCACATGATTAGGGCGAAGTGATCATGCAATACGAGAGTAAATGCATGAGTCTCTAATGGTTACTGTTGAACTTTTGTTCACCAAAATCAAGCTATAAAAGGCGTCTGGTACGTGATAGTAGAGCGATCTTCATTCTAGTTCAACCTACATTCCTCCTATTCCTTCCCGAGCCATTGGAGAATATCGATATGAAGCTCCAACTCCTTCTTACCCTACTTCCTGCCGTGTTACCCTTAGTGCATGGTGCCCCTGCTCGCAGGGACACCCCCAACCCTGGCCTGCGAGGAAGCGAATCGCTAGTTGGATATTCGCCAGACAATAAGGGCGGCAGCGACTCGCAATCTGACATCAAGTATACTCTTCTTCCAGGGCAGAAGGAAGATCCAAAAATTGGTTCATACCTCGATTTTGAGAAAGACGACAATCCCCAGCCGATTCGTGGTCCCACGGGTTCTGATGATCCCGGCCCAAGTACAAGCGCCACCAATATTATCTCAGGATTTCACTAGATACTGAGTTGACTGACAATTATTGTAGGAAACTATTACTATGACAGAATTAATAGTGATAAGCTCGCACCCCCCGGAACTGATCATGGACAGACTATCAATGCGCAGTGGCCGATGGGTAAGTTTGTGGGTTTCCCCAGAGAAATGCATAATTTGCTTACTATATACTAGGATTGAGCCACAACAGGTAATCTTTCATTCCCGATTAAGAACATGGCAAATACTTATATTTTCCCAAAAAGACTTGGAATCGATGGGGCGGGTTGGGCTCGCCAAGAGAACAAAAATGTGATGCCAGATGCGACGCTCATGGCCGGTGTCGACATGCGCCTGGCACCCGCCGGTTACCGTGAACTCCACTGGCATGTAGCTGCCGAATGGTCCTTGGTGTTGAATGGATCGTGTCGAATCCAGGTACTTGCATATCTTGAACCGACTAAAATAGGTACTGACCAGGCCACCAGGCTGTAAACGAGAACGGGGAGACATTTGTTGACGACCTCACTGCCGGTGATGTGTGGTTCTTCCCACCGTGAGTATTGTCATATGCATAAATAATGCGTTGCGCTGATCACTTGACTGTTAGTGGCGTCCCTCATTCCATTCAAGCCCTCGATGATGGAGTCGAGTTTCTTCTAGTGTTCGACAATGGAGACTTTAGCGAAGATAACACATTCCTCGCAACAGAGGTCTTTCTCCACACCCCGGTAAAGCAAAGTGAATCTTGAACCGAAAAAGAAATCAAATTTGCTAACCCTCTACACAGAGAGAGGTTCTCTCAAAGAACTTTGGAGTTGATATAGCAGCCTTTGACAAGATCCCCGACGATGAACTATACATTTTCAAGGGCACACCCGCCCCAAAAGATATCCAGAAACAGAATGTGACGACAAGTGCTGGCCTTGTACCTCGCACTGAGAGCTATTCATACCACCTCTCTGAGCAGCCAGCCCACGAAGTCGCCGGCGGCTCAGTCAAAATTGTCGACCCACTTACATTCCCCATCGCCAGCAACTTCTCCGCCGCTGTTGTTACCGTTCATCCAGGGGGCATGCGTGAAATCCACTGGCATCCAACTAGTGACGAATGGACTTTCTTTATTTCAGGTCAGGGTCGAGCGACGCTTTTCACTGCCCCGAATGCTGCGACTACATTTGATTTTACTGGCGGTGATGTTGGTTACTTCCCAAAGTCCAATAGCCATTATATTGAGAATACTGGCGACGAAGACTTAGTCTTTGTGGAGGTGCTCCAGGCGCCTGAGTTTTCAGGTATGTCTTTTTTCCGTGTCATATGTTTCCGTTTCCATATACTGACGGTGAGTAGATATGGCTCTTGGTCAATGGATCGCATCCACACCAAAACAAATCGTTGCGGATACACTGAACCTCAGTGAGGACATGCTTAACAACCTCAAGACTGAGAAGCAATATGTTGTCGCTGGTACTAGCAGTTAAATTGCCTCACAAGCGGACCATCCCAATGTTTATATTCCACAGGTCTCGAGTGTTGATGATGTTCTTAATAATTTAATAAAGTTTTGCTAGAAAATGTGCCGCAGAAGGTAAACAGTTCTCCAGAGCCGTATCCCTAAACAAAGAGCCCATTTTCCTCTTTAGTCTCAGCATATTTTGCCGTTCGCGTGGCAAGAAGGGAAGATATGCCATCTGAAGGTTCGCATGTACCAATGGTAACTCGAGGGCCCCGTTGGGAGACCTAGCCGGGTGTTGCCTAGAGCCTCAAATGTCTCAAAGAGATACTAGGTGATTATATATCTATGGAAGATCACTCAATTGGCTAGCTACTGCTCAACGTGAAATATAATGCCCATCTAGGTAATACTCGGGCTTCATTGGTGGAATCAAGTATCCTACACTACGGCCACGGGCCGAGCCCATCGGGCCCACGCACTCGTGTTGCTTATCAATCCCCTTCCTGATTCGACTCCTTTGGGCACATGGAATTTCAAAAAGCTTCCCAATACCAGCTCTTTATTGGACGCTCATGTCGAATCCTGATTAGTGTGATTTAGTGGGCTTACGTCGCAACGCAATTCTGGCTGAGAGAAATGAGGCCCCTCTCTGACAAGGCTGGATGGACCATTGACCAAGAAACTTTTAGCAGCCTAGTTAAGAGGTTCTGCCCCCACTCGGCTCTCATTTTAACCGGCGGGGCTCTCCTTTTCCTTCAATGTGAGGTCAAGTTTTCGGAATTCGAGGGACAATGGATGTCAATGCCCAGTTCATGAACGATACAGTCGAGCGGCGACGTCTTCAAAATCGCCTAGCTCAGCGCAAATTCCGCGGTAGTGGCCATTATCCGATAGCCTGTGTCGATCTTCCTGCTGATTGAAATGGCGATAATAGAGAAGAGGAAGCGGAGGGTGGTGGACAATGAGGTTCTAGAGACGTCTCAAGACCCATCACAATCGACATCAACCGCAAACAACACAGGGGATTTTCCAATCAACTCCTTACCTCCGTTCACAAATGCGCTCTCCACACTGCCAGGAGCTTTGTCTCCAATCGAAATTCCGATCGCTAGCACAGAGACAGGACTGGCAGACAACTTCAATCTCGATGCGATTGACCAGTTCTTGTACGAAACCAGTCACGATTTCTCCTACTCTTTTTCCGATCCATCGCCTGTCCAGTCAAATTTGGTAGGGACGAATTTCACCCAAAGCAAATCCTCCGACCCCGCTTCACGCAATATACCCCCCAACAGTACAAGAATCGATCATTCCAGGTCGCTGTCTCGATCCGGAGATAATAATAGCCTGCCACTACATCGCAGGACATCTGATTCTAATATTCGCCCGGGGAGTCCGGGCCCCCAACCACCGCAATCACACAATGAAGATAGGCTCATTACCTCGGCCAGAGATGATGAGGGATGGCTTAGCACCCTCCACATCGCCGCGCAGAAGGGCCACGAGAGGATTGTTCGAGTTCTTCTGCTCCGCGGTAACATGGATGCAAACAATCAAGATAGCGACGGTCGCACACCCTTGACACACGCGACTATTGAGAATCACGAGTCTGTAGTCCGCCTACTACTCTCCAACGGCGCTCGAATAGCCGTGTATGATTGTGACGGCCGTTCTGCGCTGCACTGGGCTGTTTTACATCGGCGACTCGAGATACTCCAGCAATTGCTCGAGCATCGCGCCAAATACGAGCGTAATTTGGATATTGATGTGTACGACAATTCTGGCTGGACCCCATTGCATATGTCCGTGGATAGAGCTTTCGAGGCTGGGATCTTGATGCTCCTCCAGGAAGGTGCGGATATTAACGCCAAAGCACACAAATGTCCGTATACAGGCAAGATCCTGCCCCTGATGGATCGGCCGCGATAAAGCGGTGGTTTCCGTGGAATCGACTTTCCTTCGAAATCACTGTCAACCTTTTTACAGTGCTTCACTGCCTGACAGCTTAGAGTCTGCCATCTTAGCGAAATTCGATCTATTTTTCCAAGAGCTGGAGGAAGTGGAACTCCCCTATACCTACGAACCAAACGACAAGCCGAGTTACCAGGACTACTTCGCCTGCCACACACCAAACTATGCGACAAAGCCAGCAAGCGCCTTATTGCCCGAGGTACTGTAGGAAAGAATCTGCCTAGTTTGATTGCTGTCTACCGTATCAACGGTATTACTACCAATACCACACATGCGCGAGTTGGACACACCGCAAAGTCAAATGCCATTGTTCCCCCTTGACGCAATGCTTTATACCCTTTCAATATAGACGTCTACCTGGACTACATTGTTTCACTCATTATCATATGTGAACATCTAGCACATATGAACCACCGTCAGAATCTCCTGATATCCATCACACCAAATGGTGTGCTTAGCTCAATTAAACAACCAACGTGTGTCACCAATTGAGAAACCACGAGCATTTCAGACCGGATTCTTGAATAGATCATTATATTGTAGTTGCGCTATAGAATCCAATGAGAGTGATTGGAATGGTTGACCAGTATTTACCAAGGCTCCTCATTGCCATCATACTTGAACAGCTTCCCACTGTGAGTTTGCAGCGTAGATGCGTCAATGACTTTGACCACGCCGACAACACTTTCCTCCACGGTGATGGCAGCTTTTTCGATCCCGAAAGAATCGGCCCCTCGGTTACCGAGCTCTGTCTGAACCCAGCTATTTTTCGGTGTCATGGTTAGTCCGCCACACAGGAACATTGGGGAAATCCAAAACTTACCCGGGGTCCAAAGGGAACGCGTTCAACCAAGGATCTTCAACGGAGATTGCCTTGGTGTACCAGTGCAAAGCAACTTTACTCGAAGCATATGCACCATTTTGCAGTGGGAGAAAGTTCCTACAAATGGTTAGCACACTCGCTCACGTATGGGCTAGGTGTCATCTGCCAACGGCAAGTGGACTAGCATTGACAGGGCACTCACTATGGATAATATTAGCATCTACTCTAGGCCAAAGAAAACAGACGAACGGGACTTACCGTTAGGAAAGCGGAGCTAGACCCAATCGTTACCAACTTGGGGGTATGTGCCTCCTTAAGGACAGGTCGGAAAGCCTGATAGAGATGGATGAAGCCATACACATTGACGTCGATGTGCTTCTGGATTTCCTCCACCTTGACCTCCGACACCTTTGGCCAAGATAGAGCGATACCGGCGTTGGCGATCAGGATGTCGATGTGGGTGATTCCCTTGGCAGCTAATGCTTTCACTGCCGTAGCGGGGTCGGTGGGAGAGAGAGCATCGAGTTTGATAACCTCTAAAGTAGTGCCTTCAGCCTTTGGCAGATCAGCCAAGGCAGTAGAGGTTGGGTGGCTTGGGTCGCGGTTCGCCGCAATCACCGTGTGGTTGGGCTTCTGCAGGTACAGTTCTAGGATACCTTTGCCGATACCACGATTGGCTCCGGTAATGAGGACAATAGTTGGGGCCATGGTGGGATACAAAAGCTTGTCGATAAAAGAAATCGATCTGATTGTTAGAGGTGAAATGGAGTTATGGTAGAAATAGAATTTACCACGAAGAGGGGAACGAAATACAGATATATAAGATCATAACTAGCTTGAAAAATTGGTACTACAATTGATTATCAACATGCTCGCTTGGTAATAGGCGCAAGGTAATCATTTAGAGACCGAGAGTCGGGCAGCGGATGGATTTCATTGTGTAGTGAAAGCATCCTATCCGATAGCACGCAATCAAGAATGAACGTAGAGTACTGGTACCTACGGCTATAGATCTCTTGACTATGAAATGACGTTCAGTAATGTTCCCAAAATGGCGTCATGCAAGGTCAGCTTACTGTGGGGCCTTAGGATAAGCATCAGAACTCGGACGTTCGGCTGTTCGACTGTAAAATACTTACATTATTGACTTGACGGCCCTCTTGATTTTGCTAGCACTTTGAGATTGTCTATAGAGAGATAGTAGGGCTTGGATTGAGTGGGACTTCAGTTGCTTGGCCAGAGCCCTACCTCGGATCTTTGGGAATAGCTTAAGAGACAGCAGATCGGGCAGAAGTTCTTCTAAGGACTTTAAACGAGATTGAGCAAATCTTTCAAATTCCCCAGGAAGAAGGAAGTGTACGATGGCCGATGCTCCCCTATAAAATACTAGAAACATTTGGATATCACCAAGGGAAACTGCCATCCTTATGAATCAACCTCCCAACCTCAGCATCCCTCCGCCCTTCCAGGATACCCAGTATGGTATTTCCCGAGATCGACGGATCACTTGCATTTCCCCATCCACTGCGCTCCTCCTCACTTGTTCTACGCAGATTCGACCGAACAAACCCCGGACACACCGCAAAGACCTTAAGCGGTGTATCGCGACTCTCGACCCAGTCCTGAATCATGATCATATTCAGAGCGGACTTACTAGCACGATAGGCCTCCCCATTCGACGGACCCCGGAACACCTTAGACGTGGGATCCGACGCTAGGGCCAGGGACCCGACCCCGCTGCTCACGTAGATAGAGTAGGGGTTCGGTGACTTCAATAACAGGGATCGGAAGGCAGCCGACACAACTGCCGGTCCAATCACATTGGTATCCATGCAGAGTTGGAGCCGGGTCTTGATGTCCGGGTGTCGACTCGCCACTCCTGCGTTGTTCACTAGCACATCGAGCTGTCCGAATCGCTCCTGCACGGTATTTGCTGCTGCTCGTACTGATGTCTCATCCGTCACGTCCAAATGCACAGTTGATACATTTCCCGTCGCGATTCCCTCTTGCTTCAGTTCGTCTAGGGCTTGCGTGCCTTTTTCGAGGGACCGGCAGGCGAGAATTACGTGGAATCCTTGAGGGGCCTGGGCGAGCACCTTGGCTGTTGCGAGGCCAATGCCGGAATTGGCTCCTTTTTCACGTTCTTACTTTTATCTTGTAAACGGCGGACCTGTGCATTACTGTATCGGGTTAGTTTTGCCTTTTTGAGTTTAGCGCCCCAATACGCTGTCACGTAACCTACCTTCAATGCCGCGGGCTTGGCGGACGTGCGGATGGATAGGGCTTTAGCGTCATTTACTTCAACATCAACCGACATATGTGTCAGAGTGCTCCGTATAGAGGTTGATAATAATGGGCATATAGCTCGGGGATACCTTGGGACTTCCTAAATACGGAGGCCAACTTAAGCTGATAGAGCCCGTGGGCTTTCCCGACAGAAGCAACAATGCCACATCCGAGATCCAAAATACACACGCTAATATAGATGCTGTATTCCATTCAAGCGGAGATAATAGTTCTATTAGAGAGCCAGCTCTGAACTGGCTTGGGTGTACTGATGTGTACCTATGGATGCGCCAATGTAGACTTGGAGGTTACATAGTAAGGTAAGGAGTAATATTTTGAGTCTCTGTCTTTTTTCATTGCTATCTATGCTTGGGACTTTCTAGATGTGGGAGAAATGATCGTATCCCATCTGTTCCAAGGTTGAGAGAGAAATACAGTAGAAATTGAACATTCAGGGTATAGTAACAGTGTGTAGGATGCAACATTTAAACGGCCAAACTTGGAAGCGACGAGGAAGGAAGTGGTAATTAGGAAACCTTGACTGGAAATTTCTCACGTAGCCACTCTCCCTTCCAGTAAAACAAAAACGGGATTGGGATGAAGCTGATCGTAATGAACGCGAGCACACTGTTTCCCCAACCCATATGTAAATGAGCGTAGAGCGATGGAGCGGCAAGAGGCAGGAATGCTCCTGTCAAGTTACGAAGGATTGTGAGGGCACCCATGGCCGATGCGGCCGTTTGTGGCCCAAAGATATCAATAATATATGTTTGCGCAGAAGAGCTGATGACCACGGCGCCAGGTCCACAGATAGCTGTTCCAATGATAGGAACAACCCAGTGCACTCGGTACTGCACTGTCCACCCATAGATAAACAAGCCGATGGGGAAAAGAGGAGAGACCCACATCATTAAGATCAGACGTCGCTCGGCCCGAAAGTTTCCATTTTCAGCATGCAGCAAGCGGTCACTAAGATTGGCAAAGACCAAAACACCAATGGCACAGCCAATCCCGACACCGATATATGCCAAGCCGGAGACACCGACACTCCAACCATAGTAGGTTTCAAAGACGGTTGGGAAGGTCGCAAACAATAGCATGGTCACACCAAAATTGAACGCAATGTAAAGAGAGATCAGAAACAGAACAGGTGAGAGGACAAGGAAAGTAGCCGGACGAGTGATAGCGTGAGCAATAAGACGACTGATTGGGGTCTGCTTGTCACCTTTTGCACGCAGATTTGGATTCCCTGTCTCTTTGCGCAAGCGGGTAGCTTTATCCTTGAGAATTATGACAGCGCTTGTCTCACGCATGAATATGAAAGAGGCAGCCGTGACGGCGCCGGCCTAGCAGCCCATGGTTAATGTTCGTACAGAAAGGCTGGATAAGGCGGCGCATGACTTACAAGCATCAGAATGAGATAAAATGTCCATCTCCAGCTCAGATTCTCGGTCACAAATCCTCCAACAATAGGGCCAAGAACCTAATAATCATAATCATGTCAGTCTCATGGTTCCAAGGTCCTTTCTTAAAAATATTGGATGAATAACATACCGGTCCAAGAAGTGGCCCCGCGGTAAATAGAGCCATTGCTACTCCTCTCTCCTCCTTTGGAAGCAAGTCTGCGACGGTACCACCTCCTGTTGACATATAAGACGCAGCAGAAAGGCCAGTGCACAGGCGGAAGACAAGAAACTCTGCGACATTGGTACTTCGTGCACAGCCAGCAGTAAATCCAAGATAGAATACTGAGCTCACGCGATAAACAGGCACACGCCCAAAAACCTCAGAGAGAGGTGGAACAAAGAATTGACCCACCGCAAAGCCAAGTGAGGCGATGGTGATTGTCAAAATCTCAACAGTGTCGCTTTTGAAACCGAACTCGCTCTTCATGAGTTTGGCACCCGGGGAGAACATTGTAGTTGCAAGATTGCAATATAGCACTGACAAACTGACCAGTAGTACGTTGGCCATTTTGAAAGTCTTGGACCAATTCCGTGGATTAGCAGGGTCATCCGGTCCATCCCAGTCGACGAGGTTTGGAACCGCAACGGAAGCATCATTACCTGCTGGATTCGCTTTCTCCATATCCGTCGCAGGATCTGAGGATTGAAGTTTTTCAGAGCTACTGCTGGCAGTAGTCGGGGCTTTTTCATTGAGATGCCCTTCAATAGCACCAGGTTCGGTGGCCACCATATTCCTAGTTTCGTGATCGTAGACCGTTCGATCAGTCTCGGCCGAGCTTGGAGGCATTCTTGGCCGGTGGTGTTTCCGGGATTCTGGCCTCGTATGATCTGGAGATCTCAATGTGGTCTAGTCGTCGTGGTAGAGGAGCGGGCGGGATCAGCTGCAGTGGTGTATTTTGGCTATTCTATTCTATTTTATTTTTGTGTTGCTTAGCCCGTAATAAATAGAAAGATTGAAACGACATAGCATTCCTTTCGATCCTTTAGGTCAACAAAGCCGTATCTTGCCCCGGGTTTGCTCCGTTTCGGCTTCTGATTTGCGGTCTCCGGGTATTGCAAATACATACTCTGTACTAGAATCTCACCTACAGACGTACGTACCAGGGTCCCCCCACTTAAGAGTGGGGGTAATCGCCCCTCTCTATGTACATTGCTCCGTCGATTGCTCCGTTTATTTCCTTAGGGTTTTCCGCTCCGTTAGACATTGCCCCATCGTTTTCCCTTTACATGGTGATTTACTATTTTTCTTTTCTTTCTAACCTCAGCTAATGTACTCTAAGTTCATCAAAATCGAAAAATAAACGCCCTCGATCTTGGCGTCGATGGCTTTTCCTCCCCCCGACAGGCCATCTGAATTGGTCGAGATACGTCCTTCAATACCGCCACAACCTGATGGGGTCTCTATACTAGAACCTGTGCCGCAATTACGAGATCGGCGTCGCGAGAAGCCGCTACTATCATGCACCTTCTGCCGGAGTCGCAAGTACATTTTCCAATTTCTTTTTATCTTTTTATGTTTTTGATTTTTATCCACGCCTCGTCGCCTAATTATGCCACATTTCAAAGTTGTCACCGAGAAAATCGATACTGACCAAAGTCCCCTACTCATCTGTTCGTCTTACAGAGTTCGGTGTGATCGTCAACTACCCTGCAAGACCTGTCTTGACCGAGGGATAGGTTCAACATGCTCTTACCAGTCCAGGGTGCCTCGCAATAAAAGCCAAGTAAGCGTCGGTGACCGCATTCAGCAGCTCGAGTCATTGGTGCGCTCTCTAGTCCACCAGCAACAGCAGAGTCCACAACAGCAGCATAGTCCGCAGGCACAGACTACCTATTCAGATGGTCCAGCAATTGACCTAGCGAATTCCTTTCAAGGTACGCCTGGGGCATCGCCACAAGGTATACCCACAAAAACACCACTGGCCTCGGTTGACGAAGATCATATCGTGCCAGGTATACGGCATGCTTCTTTGTCGCATAATAGAGACTATGCTTTATCCCCTGCACCCTCGGAGCATGGTAGCATGCGCCTCCATTCACATGGTACGAACTATGTTGGAAGCTTTCACTGGGCTGCCGTTCTTGACAGCATCTCAGAGCTGAGAGATCATTACGAAGAGGAGGAGGAAGCCAGGTTGTTGGCCGCGAATGATCATGTGCTACATGAGAGCCCTGGCCCCCGGCTTCTTTATGAGCCTGTTCAGACAACAAAGGCCGATCTACTGGCTGCAATTCCCGCTCGGTCTGCGGTGGATCGTATGGTTGCTCGATACTTTAACGCCCAGGGTGTCGTTCCAGAAATCCTTCATAGCGGGCATTTTCTCCGAGAGGTACGGATCATCCATCCTTGGTCCTTTTGATACAGATGTCAAGAACCATTTCCTACCCACAATAATCTACCTGATTTCATTGCTTCGTGCGCAACGTGATGGTTAATTTGCCCTTGGTCTCCAGTATGAAAAGTTCTGGCAGGAGCCAAACGCAGCGTCAATAGCTTGGATTGGTCTTTTGTTCAGTGTCATGTCCCTCTCAACACGGTATCAACAATCAATTGAGGGCTCTGAAGATCCGGAAACACCAGTGCGCGTGCATATGTTTCAAGAGAATGTCATTCATTGCCTTGTGCTCTCTCAGTGGACTAGGGGTGGAGACTACGTGCTAGAAACCTTGATCAACTATCTTACCAGCGAGCTGTTTCTTTCTAAGGACTCAGAGATTGGTCTATGGTTGGTACAAGGGATGATTGTACAGCTTGCCCTGAGTCTAGGGTATCATCGAGATCCACAAAACTTCTCCAGCATCTCTACGTTCGCTGGAGAGATGCGACGAAGGGTATGGGCTGTGATAGTGCAGATAGACTTGCGATTATCTAGCCAGATGGCACTTCCACGTCTCCTTAAGCTGCAGCAATATGATACTGCCGAGCCTCGAAATCTTTTCGATACTGATTTTGACGAGGATAGTACTGAGCTGCCTGAATCGCGCCCTGAAACCGAGGTCACGCCTGTCTTATACAGTCTAGCAAGAACTAGGATAGACCAGATGAATGGGCTTGTCAGTGATCTTGTTAACGACATACGGGAGCACCCTTACATGGAGATCATAGACCTCGACCAAAAATTGCAGGAGGCCGAAACTTCGCTATCACCCATTTTCCGCTGGCAGCCTCTTAGTCAATCAATTATGGTTTTGCCACAGATCATCATGCATCGAGTGCTACTTCAGCTTGCAATCCAGCGTGTGACCATTTGGCTTCATCGGAAGTACCTCACACCTTCTTACAACCCAGCACAATTCGAATATTCCCGGAAGGCCTGCATAAAATCTGCAATGAGAATCATCGAATTCCAGCAGATAGTTGATGAGGAAACTCAGAGAGACGGACTTTTATACCCAGTGCGATGGATGTTTACGTCATCACGCCTAAAGGCTGTCTTTCTATTGGGCATCAGTATTCTCTGCTATTATGTTCAGTTGACAAAGACGCATTCTGACGTCTCCTTGGGTGAGGAGACAGATAACAGCATAAATGATCTGCTGCAGAACGTTTATCCTCTCTGGCTACGCTTGAGTGCTTTGTCTCCTGAGGCACGGCGAGTAGTTCAGCTCTTGCATCCGCTTCTGGAGATGGATGGAGAAGAAAACGATCAGACCCCGCTCGCTACTCCTAACTTGGTCTCTCCATTTATTCCTGTATCTGGGGATATGATGTCCCTGGATCAGCCCGCGTGGGGACTGTACGAAGGTAAACATAAACCATTATGCCAAGAGGAATCCCCAACTTTCCTTCTCTCTTCCATATTGACTAACATCGAATCTGTCAATTTGTTTCCTCTAGATTTCATGAAAAACTTCTCATCTATGCCCACATTTCCCAATAGCTCGGACTTTCGGTACTCTGACGGTCTCATGTCGTCTTCAAGTACGGCGGTTGTCTCTATGGCAGATTTGTTGCTCACAAACACGACGGAGTTTGATCAGTGGATGAATGTTAGTTTTCATTGAGTCATTGATTTACCTTTATTCCCAATTATCACTTATTTAGTTATTGCTAGGATAGAGGCCTTAGGCCATCAAAGTTGGTGCCTCAGACATCGACCCCTCATGGTAAATAGGTGGCAGATCGAGGTTCTATAGCAATCAACTCTCTCCCTCCTCACTTTCTGGCATATGCCTAGTAGATGCCACATCAGTTATTCACCCACTGCGTTGACTGGGGAGGATTGAAAAAGAAAGAGAAAAGAGAAAAGAGAAAAAGACAAGAGAAAAAAAAGGAAGAAAGAAACATAACACGAATTATTCTAACTATATTCTACCTACAGGCATAAGGGCGAATTCATCAACCCGAATGAACTTGGATATTGTCAGGTGGAGGCCAAAAGCAAACATGAATATAATAAACTATTAACCTGTCAATTAATTTGATCAATTACTCTGAGTGCAGGGTCAAATTTAGCCTTGTAACACCTACGAAACCCTTTCTATTTTGCTTTGGATAGCACTGATCAGTTGCTTACATGCGCATATGACTAGCTATGAGAGAGATATCTTCAACTTGGAATACCTTATGACCGCCTTCACGGAGGTGGCGGGAGTATCTTTATAGATTGGTGCCGGATTCGTATATCGGTATTATTCTTAGATTCTACTAGGCTACTAAGCACTCGCAAAAAACCGGTGTTTATCGGTTCTCCGAATCGGGGGCCATGTGGGAATCTGTCTAGTGGATTTGTCTCCCCGCAGATGAAACGCCTGAGCTGGCAGAGCTTGACGTGATCTTGCACATCGCTGCTGACCGCAACTTCTGGGATGGATATGGTGCTCTCAAGCTTGTTAATGTTACCAGCTCCAAAGCACTTGCGAATATGGCTCTTCGCACGGGTGCCACTAGTTGTAATGGGTGGGTGTTTGGCACAATCCTACCGGTTATGTGGCGACATTAATTTGAATTTTAAGAAAACTAAGAACAACAGTGATGTTAATAGTAATAGGGTTAAGATATTATATACAGAATATGGGGGGAACTAAGAGTGACATCCTCTGCGATACCACGGTCGCTCCTCCACCAGAGAATACGGCATTAAAGAACAAAACGCCGAATCTAATATCCGAGCCAATAATTCATTGTCAACTGAATCGATTGAAGTCAAATTTATTATCTAGTTCGATTGATTCCTAAGCACTTTAGAAAGAAATCGTCCAGTGACGGGGTTGCTGTGATGCAAAACCCGACAAAAGCCGACCATCCCTGCACCATTTGACTACGATAGATGAATCTCAATGAGAGAGGAAGGGAGGAGAAGGAGTTAAACTCTTATTGCCGGTCAAGAACTTTGTAAAGGATTGGTCATCTCATCATGGGTTGGTCCATGATCAAGTCAATAAGTCAATAAAGACGATAAATACCAGCCCGTTAGCTCAGGGCGTTTGAATCAAACCTCAGACATAATTTTACATTACCCTGCGAATCTAATAAGTCGATAAATCAAGCCCAAACAAGATAATGCCTCCTCCGCCCCCTCCTCCTAAGAGCGTCCTGGGTCGCCACCGTCTCCTAGCCCCCTCGGCGTCGGTGCGTGTGAGCCCTCTGTCACTAGGCGGCATGAGTAATAAATGCCTTTCCAACTCACCAAAACAGTGCTAACAGAGAACTTTAGGTTTAGGCGACAACTGGAAGGGCATGATGGGTGAATGCACAAAAGAGCAGGCATTTGAGCTTCTGGACACCTACTATGACCTAGGAGGGAATTTCATCGACACAGCCAATATGTACCACTTCGGACAGAGCGAGGAGTGGATCGGCGAGTGGCTGCAGAATACCGGTCGACGGTCTGAGATCGTGCTAGCGACCAAGTACACGCTGAGCCCGATCTTTGGGAAGGTCGTGCAGCAGAGTAACTATGGAGGTACGGGCACTAAGAGCATGCGTGTGGCCGTTGACGATAGTCTGAAGCGCCTCAAGACAGAATACATTGACCTGTACTATGTACATGCGTGGGACTTTGCTACGTCTATCCCTGAACTGATGCAATCGCTCAATACTCTCGTACAGCAGGGCAAGGTCCTCTATCTGGGGATCAGTGACACGCCCGCGTGGGTCGTTACCAAGGCTAATGCCTACGCGCGTGAGCATGGTTTACGTCCGTTTTCGGTTTATCAGGGTCGTTATTCGGCTATCATGCGCGATCTCGAGCGCGATATTATCCCGATGGCGAGGGATGAGGGCATGGCTATTCACCCGTGGGGTGTGCTGGGGAGCGGTATGTTTCTTTTCCCATTTACTTTCCCAGAAGCACGAATAAGCTCATTCCCTTTCATCTTCCGAGGACAAATATTAACGGTTGCAGGATACATCCGCTCACCGGACGCCGTCCCCAAGGAAGGTGGTCGACAAACGCCTCATGTCAAGACAGGCCGCGAAGAACAGGTGTCGGCGGCTTTAGACACCGTGGCTAAGCGCTACGAGGTACCTATTACGTCCGTTGCGCTAGCTTATGTACTGCAGAAGGTAAGGCCATCCAATCTGGTTGATTTAAAATTGGAATTTAACTGTTGAAGGCCCCGTACATCTTCCCCATAGTCGGTGGGAACAAAGTCTCCCATCTCAAGTCCAATATCGAGGCTCTGAGCCTAGAGCTCTCTACCGAGGACGTGGCCGAGATCGACAAGGGCTACGACTTCGATCTCGGCTTCCCGCACAACTTCCTCAACCTGGCGGGCTTTATGACACAGGGTCCGCAGCATGTGTCCTTCCTGTCGGGCTTGGGTCATTTCGACTATGTCGAGGCTCAAACTGCAATTAAGCCTCGGAAGTAGTACCATTTGTCACCGGTGTGCAATACCTTGATAAATATACAGACTAGCATATATATTGAATTTCAGGATAATTTGGCCTTTGACCGTGCAATATGTACACAATCAGTACTACCATTCCATCAGAAATACGTGAAAGCCCATATAGCAAAATTCGAGAAAGTATGACATAATGAGGCGCAAAGAGCCGAGTAGCTTAATCCTAGGCGAGTGTCGGGTTTAGCCGGTTGCTACAAACGCCGTGCTAAGCACGAACTTTAATATAGTGGGCCCCGATGATTCAGGGATGGGCTATTTGGCTTGGCCTATATCTGGCTAGCGCATGTAAGTGTACCTAAGAAGTCATGTTATTTATGGGAGCTCCAATAGGCCACCGGCAGTAAATCTGACATTCGCGCTGTTATATATAGAGTCCGATTGCCCCATATTTATTTCTCCCAACTTCATCCCTTTCCTGCGTCTTTCGTTTTCCATTTCCAGCCAATACAATTATGTCTGGATTACGCCCGTTTCCTCGGAAGACTGCCGTCGCCATCGCTGTGGTTGGTGTGGTTGGGCTGTGCGCTGCTCGAAGAGCCTCGCTGCGCAATGAAGCATTTGCGGAGTCCCCAAAGGCATGTGGTGGCCCTGAAGGTCATCGAGGTCGTGGTGGCCCTGGTGGCCCTGGTGGCCCTGGATTCGGTCCTGGTGGAAGAATGGGCTTTCACACCTTGCGCCTGGAAAGTTTCGAACAAGTGAACGACAACACTAAACGCCTGCGATTCCAACTACCAGACCCAGCATCGAACGCCGGTCTCTCCTTGGCCTGTAAGCTGCCACATACTTTTACCAATAAATGGAAAAATAACAAGAAAAGAAAACTACTAATATCGGTCTAGCATTCATTCTCACATTTCATAAGCCGAAGGACGCGTGGTTCCCTGTAATTAGACCTTATACCCCGATTAACAACTTCGGTAAGTCTTTGGAACTTAGTTCTAGCGATATAAGTCCTCACTTTTGTTCTGACATAAATATGCAGATGAGCCGGGGTACATTGAGCTCCTGGTCAAAAAATACCCCAATGGCAGGGCAAGCGGATACTTGCACTCTCTTCAGCCTGGTGATACGCTGAACATCCGAGGACCTATGCCGGGTTACAGATTGAAGACCAATGAGTTTGAACATGTCAATCTCATTGCCGGTGGTGCTGGCATCACTCCTATGTACCAGCTGATCCAAGGGATGCTGAACAACCCTGACGACAAAAGCAAGATCAAATTAATTTTCGGAGTCAACACGGACAAAGATCTCGTTATGAAGAGAGAACTTGATGCATTTGAGAATAAGTTCTCCGATCGTCTCAAGGTTGTTTATAGAGTCTCAAATCCGGTTGAAGATTCCCCGTTCACTAAGGGCAGGGTCGACAAAGAGTTGCTGGAGACGGAATTGCTAGGCCCGAAAGATAGCAAGACTACCAAGGTCTTCCTGTGTGGGCCTCCTGCTATGGAGGCGTCGATTTTTGGGAGTAAAGGGTGGACTTACAGCCAGAAGGGAGTCCTAGAAGAACTCGGTTACTCCAAGGACCGGATTCACAAGTTCTAGCGTGTTTTTGTTTGCTCGGTTTTCCTCCACTCCTTTGAGAAGCACAGAGATTTATAAGTATCTTGTTTGAATGAACTACTTTGAGACTAAATTAATAGAATAAGCTTCAGCTGTAGAGAAAAACGATAGTGAGGATATAGTTAGTCTTGGTCTGACTGACATGGAGCAAAGAGAGGAGAGAAGAAATAATTGAATTCTCTACACATAAACAGTGAGCCCACTTATGTAACTAGATAGCTGGATGAAGCACGGCAAACATGGAATATATCTGAAGAAGTCTTCGTAGACAACAGTAGCTTAAAGAGGATGCAGATTCTTTGACGAAAGCAGAAGAGGAACAAACCATAGGAATATCAAAGTTCGTAACGTCGCAATCAGGCTTAGAATCATGCCGAATACGCAGAAAGTCTCAGATGCCACGATTTTCTGATTCGGAATGAATCTAGAGTGATGAAGAAGTTCGATTGAAGACGAGGTTTTAGCATCTAAGTGGTGCAGTAGGATGTTTGATTTCTTTATCCACCACTATTCTGCACCCGCCAAGCGCCCTTAGTCATACCCCTGAGCTGATGTTGGTGCTGGGCCTCAGCAAGTTGTTCTGCTCATTTCCACTCACAACCAAAACTGCGCCGAAAATGGCTCCCCTTTGCAGCAACCAGACCCCCCTTCGCCTGGCCCGGGAAGCCGCTACGCTTTCTAAGTTACAAGGAGAGCAATGGGAGGAAAAGAAAGCATTTGTGCTAAATGAGGGGTAGATATGTAAAGCAGTGCCATGAATACATGAATTCTCTATCAGATTCTAATATTCTAGTGTAACAGCAAAATCGAGATCAAAACATTTTCCGAGCAAGTGCGTGTAAACAACACACCCCGTGTTGACACACAGCTTTCGGACGACGGGTCGGTACAGAGGACACTAATGTTGTGTGTCCCGCCTGTCAGCTCGGCGATGGGTCATAATTCTACGAAGATCTAGATCTTAGGTTCGAATATGTTTGCTTCATATTTTCTTGGCTTATATGGAGTATTGAACTTTATATTATTGTCTCATACACGTAAATTTGCTGCGAACTGGTCTACGCTAAAGAAATATAGGCCAGTCGGATGTAAAAACGACTAATAAGTATGCTCAGAGAGAAAAAGGTAATTATTAGGATGCTTCTTTAATAATCCAAATGTTGGTCGTTAATCGCCCGGACGGCCGAAGCCTGCCAAGGGCGTTCCCAACCTGGTGCTGCGGGGCGCTGGCCGGTTGCTCAGTTAGTGTGCCATACTGCTCCAGGAGATTCCCCCCAAAGATATTTGTAGAAAGTGTACTTTTTCACGAGTATTGTGTGGGTTGCTGTTAATGATTTCCACTCTTCTAGCATGATACTATATGTTATTGTACGAGGAAAAAAGACATCCAGAATGAGAGCAAAAAGGACATCCCAGCATGATATTCGAGTATAACGCCTTCTAATATCGTCTCAGACCATACATCTAGATATTCAGATCTTCAAAGTTAAAAGAGGAAATAAATTAATCAAAATTCTAATCCATACAAAACCAAAATAAACGGCTAGGGCTTTGGAAGCTCTGTATTTGTCACGATGCATCACTTTCTGTCCCAATATCGTCGCTAGATTCGTCGCTAGAGCTTCGCTCGAAGCCGTTCATAGCTACTTTTAGTTTAAAGTCTTGGCGGGACACTACACTCTTGAAGAATGTTAATGCTATATTTGTAGAAAGGATACTGAGAAACGATAAATACCTCTTCAACAGTGCCTTTCATGATATAACGGGTAATAACAACTGGGCTTTGTTGTCCGAGACGAACAACGCGACCAATTGCTTGCTGCTCGACCATTGGATTCCACGATGGTTCCAGAATATGCACTTGCGTGGCGATGGAAAGATTGAGTCTTTAAAGAAGTTAAAATCGTGTCACGTAGGTCTAATCAAACATAAAACTTACCCAACAGCACCAGTCCCAATAGTCATAAGAAGTATATTCACATCCTTACTGGTCTTGAAGCTTTTGAACGCCTGTTGGCGTTGAGGAGCCGACATTGAGCCGTCTACACGAGCAAAGCCAATGTTGTGCTGACGTAGCATTACTGCGGCAATATCCAAGCTCTTTGTCCATGCCGAAAACACAAGTCTGCATTTAATTTAGCCTCAGTTGAAAAACAAATAGAGAATCATAACCATACCCCTTCTCTTGGGGAATATGACCAAGGATAGCCCTCAAGAAAGCGCGAAACTTTGTTGAGAACATTTCTTCTGAAGTTTGGTGAGCAGCGTGATCGATTGAGGATAAAGACTCCGACGACAACACTTTTGGGGGAGAACCAGGAAGTTGAGAACAGTTCCATATAGGACATTCCAATTTTTTCGATGTCGATGTAGCGTAGCTTCGTGTGGACTTCGCACAGGGCCCACAGATCAGATGAAGACATTCAGCAAAACGCCCAGTGTCTGAGAGCTCTGATTCCCCGAGGAAGAGAACTTCGTTATTGCAACGAACACACCGGGCTTTGTCATTTTGTCGTAAAAAAGTGAAGTATTCTTCAAGGTTAAAGTGATTGGTATGTGTGACTCTGGAATCTCTTCCCTTGTAGAGTCCGTTGTTGCAAAATATTCGCAATTCAAGAAGAGCTTGGAAAGTGCTGCAGTTGATGCTTGCCGGACTTTTCCCACTGACGGAAATATCAATAGCTCGATTATGAAATTCCAATATGTTGTTGTAGGCTTCCCTTTCTTCGGGAACCAGATGCAATTTCAATATGTTGATCGTGGGTTCCACAAGCATGCCGAGGCTTGTAGTTCGACGGAGGCAGATACAGCTAAGTAACAAGCGAAGGTTTTCAAACCGAGTAGTGCTTGTATCGTAGGCTTGTTTGATGATATAGCCTCGAAAAACTTTCGATTCTTCAAGCAATGGAACGCGAAGAAAAGAGACAAGCGCACCGAGATCGTCGAGATTATTTTGTATCGGAGTTCCGGTGAGACACCAGCGCCTGTTTGCTGAAATGTTGCATGTCGCATCGTGTATCTTTATGGATCTTGTTTTGATACAATGGGCTACAGATGAAATTTATTAGTAAGGTTGTTTATGGGTGTGGATATCTATACTCTTACCTTCATCTAAAACAATGCGAAAGAATTCTGTTCGGAATATCAAGTTTTTCTTTTCGGAGAAATCCACCTTGATAGTCCCATACGTTGTCAAGACAATATCGTAATCCATAAAAGTTGAGATCTGGATTTTGCGTGATGCACCGTGGTATCTGCAAGCTGCAAATGTTCCTGGAACGAATTTACTGTATGGAAATTAGCATAAGCGAAAGAAATTTGGCATATCTGGAAGACGTACTTGCGGATCTCGTTGAGCCATTGATCCATCAACACTTTAAATTAAGTGTCAAAATGAGCTTGAGAATTGTAACATGGTTCTTGACTTTACCTTCGTTAGGGAGGACAATCAATGTGGCCTTTGCTCGTCTCTTTTCGGACCCATCATTGGTCTGCTTCTCGGTCCATTCCTTCGCATGATTAAGGGTGCTGACAATTGTTGACAAGGTGGTGACTGTTTTCCCAAGACCCATCGTGTCGGCAAGGATACCGCCAAAAGGGCCAACTGGGGGCTCAAGAACGGAGTCGCCCGTAATAGCGTGCCGATAGCTGAAGAAAATCACGTCAGTAAAATAGAGAATTCTCAAGTAAGTGCCTACTTACTACTTTTCTCCATTGTTGTCGGTCTGGGTTTTACAAAGAGATATGGAAGAAGTTGATTGACCTGTTTCTCGACGTATCATGAAATCAATCGCTTCTTTCTGGTGTCTGCGCAATAATTTAATAGGTAGTCTCAATAGTGATCTGGATACATACGGGAAAAGGGAAATAGCCAAATGCTCATCAGGCTCAACTGGATGAAGATACTCGTGCTGATGCAAGTTATCCAGAACGTATTGCAGGCTGCTTTTTGAAAGCTTGCCGGAAGCTTGGTGGATCGGAAGAGTTTCAGAGTCGTCAGCTTCGGATATATCGCTGTCGGAATCTCCATCTGAGAAATCCGTGAATGGGAACTTATGGGGGTTTTTATATAGAGTATCATAAGCAAATCCTGGATCTTGAAGAAACAAATTGTGGGATGATAAGCAATCGCCAACGAGAAAAGCATCTTCAAGTACTCCAAAAATTGCGATCTCTACATTCTTGTTTGGTGTTTTGAGAGAGTCTGGCTGCATCATAGCCTTCCACTCTGAACCAGTGAGGGAAATTTCCAGTCGGGTCCCTCTGAATTCGAATAGTTTTCTTAAAGAGCGGGAGACTTGCAAATTTATGAAACCTACCAGTTCATCTATCAGCGGGGAACATATGGCACAGTTTTCAGTTCCCAAGAGAACTTCGAGAAAATAAATCTGTTTCTCGCCGTTTTCGATCCCATGAAACTTGGAGGGAGAATCGCAAGTTGCAGGAGGGCCCCTAAGAAACTGTACATTGATTTTACAAATCTGATTCTGATAAGCATTGTAATTGAACGAAGGAAGAAGGAAAACAAACATACAGAACCGAAGCAGGCCTCTTGGATTTCTGCATTCACTGCTGTTTCGGCGTCCTTGCTAACCGACTGTGCACATTGCAATCCAGTATGGGAGTTGTCATCGCAGAGATCCACAGTTGTATGGGAACCTGACTCATGCTGTATTCTGCGGGCTGTGGGCGAGCAGACTTCATTGTAAAGCCCATCAGCCTCATTCGTGAAGCGTTTCCTCTTGACGCCGCGAGCAATTTGATCCCCTGCCATCCCTCGCCCTTGTTTTGAGTATACACTGCAAACAATTGAATAAACAATAAAATTAAGAAATCGGTTGACTGGAAACTATTTATTTGCATACAAGGGGACGGTTCAGTGAGGCGCAGTCTTTCTCAGTCACAGTTGTCAGATCCCTGCAGCCATGACTGACCGCTACTCTGCAAGGCGCAGCAGCACAGCCACGCTGCCCAACAGACCAAATCATTTACTAAGCATACACCTTCATCGTGATGAAAGATGGCATATACCAACTAAGCTGCCCCACACAGAATGTCGAAAACCATGGCGACAGGAGGATTGTTCTCTTTTCAGCGCGTCTTGGAGTCATTCAAGAGCCAGTTAGGGCCTAGCCTTGCGGCAGAATTTGAGATGACATCTCTCGCAGATCTTAAGCGCTCCATCGCCAAGATTGAAAGGAAGCAAGCTACAGAAAGACGACTGCAGAATATGGGACGGCTGTCCAACTTCGTTGAAATTATGGATAATTACGGCAAAGTCATAGAGATCTTCTTGAATGTAACTGATGTTCTAGCATTTGTTTGGGTATATTCTCAGTTCATACCGATTTTCTTTTTCGAGAAGATGCTTACATGGCATAACAGGGACCGATGAAGTTTCTGCTACAGGTATTGTCTATTCATAGGTACCCATAACTATAGCTGACTGGGAGTCTTTAGGTTGCTAGCTCTGTGTCCGAAGCATTCAACGAGCTCCTAACTACTTACAAAATCATTGGAGAAAGCCTACCCCTTCTAGAAAAGTGTGAAGGACTCCTAGATGGGAACCCCTGCGTACAACAGGCGCTAGAATCGATGTTCCACGATATCCTAGAGTTTCATCGAACAGCACTCACCTATTTCAGAAAGCCTAGTGAGTTAATACCCTCCATGAACCCGCAACTACAGATCATTGATGTTGTAAAGTGTGGAAACAGCTATTTCAGGCCACCTGGTCTACTTACAAGATGAAATTCGGTCCGATTGTGGATAGTTTGAAGCGCCACAAACAACTTTTTGGAGACAGAGTGACCTTCACACAGCTTGAGGAAATTCGTTCGATTGGGCTAAAAACTTCAGAAGATTTGGAGAAACAGAGAAAAAGCGAAGAAATGAGTCAGCTTAGGGAGGTTCAATGTTGGCTGAACGGTGCAGACGTTGTGACCGATCAAGATACGTTGACCCGCGCTCGATCTGGTAATCCGCAAGCCGGAACATGGCTTTTACGCCATGAACTCTTTCGCTCATGGAAGGAAAGGAATAAAAATCCTATCCTTTGGGTGAATGGTATCCCAGGAGCTGGTATAGTTCCAATCGCTGATATTGAATTGACTTTGACTAATCAATTATATGTTATAGGGAAAACTGTTCTAGCTTCAATCATGATTGACGACTGTCTCAAAATCCAATCGAAATGTACGATTTGGTTTTACTTCAAGAATGGCGACATGCAAAAAGATTCCTTCCTTTCCTTTGCATGCAGTGTTATATCACAGCTTCTGGAGAAGAATACAGATTTACTGCCTTACGTTCACGGAGAAATGTGTCGCAAAGGCAAGAGAGCACTTTCCTCAGAGTCGTTGGCGAAAGAGCTGCTTGAGTTGATGATAAGAAATTCCGGAGAAGTTTGCATCGTCGTTGATGGCCTTGACGAGTGCAGCAAAGTAGAAAGAAGGAAAGTTATTGAATGGATGCGCTTGGTTATTGAACCTTCTCAGCATTCCACCTCTGATTATATTCAATGTGTCTTTATTTCGCAGAGGGATGGGATCACCGCGAAGGCTTTGCGTGATGTTCCAAGTTTGCAAATCAACACTAAAAATACGCACAATGACATATTTGCTTTTGTGTCGTCCCGAGGTTTAGACATCAAAAACAAATTTCATCTTTCTGATGAAACTATGCAAAGCATAGTTCAACTTGTGATGGAAAAAGCTGGAGGTAAGTTGAGACCAGACTATAAGAGCAATATAAGCCTCTTTCCTAACTAATCAATGATTAGGAATGTTTCTCCTTGCGAAACTTGTCATGAATAATCTCTTTTCTCAAATCTCCCCGGTTGCGCTTTTCAAGGAGTTAGAAGCAAAAGAAATACCGACCCAGATCGAGGAGGCGTGAGTCCAACCCTAATATCTCCAGTGAAAGATATCTAGGCTGACCTTGTGATGTTTGACTTAGATACGAGCGAATCCTGAACAACATTCTTGTTGAACATTCTCTCCGTGCCCATGCTCTACAACTACTAGCATGGCTAGTATGCGCAAAACGTCAACTCTGGTGGCGAGAAGTGCAGGGTGCGGTGTCAATTGACCTCGAAACTGAAGACGTAGACCCTGAAAGCCGTCAATGGATTCTGGACTTTAGAGATATATGCGATTCACTCGTTGAAGTCAGAACTGACGGCTCACTTGAACTTGTTCATTCAACTGCGAAGTTGCAAGTACCTTCCAAGTTTCTTCCTTTTCCCTACATTCCGTGTCTAACGACACCTCTTTATTAGATTTCTTGTTCAATCAAAACTCGTGAACGTCAGACGAGAGGAGTTGAATATGGCACGCCTCTGTGTGGGCTACCTAGCTCTTCCAGGGTTTGAAACATCGCAGCCGGATGAGTCGATTTTAGTCCTTATCAATCATGGGTATTATTCGTTTCTAGACTACGCAGCATGCTTCTGGTCCTTGCATCTCCAGGAAGGCCTAAAGTGCAGCATAGATCGGGAAACTGCTGTTTCACTGGTTGAAGTTCTTTCAAAATTTCTGGAATCGCACTACCGGTCTTCTGAGAAGGAAATCAACATTCCCTCTTCTGCACATGAATTAGAGAGGCGACTTCAAGAACATGATGCCTGGTCTGCTTCCGGGCAATTCTTGGATGCCTTTGTCTCCACACAGAAACAACTATGCTGTTTCAGCGAAGATGCAACATCAAATGATTCTCTCGATATACCTTGTGTTATTGCCCGCATCAGGAAGCTCCTGGAAACAACGGCCTCAGGGAATCAAGACGACACAAAGGTCGACCCCAAGGTACTGGATTCCTTCTATGGGAATCATCTCTATAAATGCCCTAGGATGAGCTGTGAGTTTTTTCACCAGGGATTTGAGACTCCCGAGCACAGGGATTCTCATATGAGCAAACACAATAGACCTTACGGATGCTCTTTCCCTGGATGTTACAGGGCTACTATTCGGTTCAGCTCGAAGAAACTTCTTGGGAAACATATTGCAGATGCCCATGAAAGACAAACACGGGAAAGCTACAGTTTTCCTTCCAAGCGAATGAAGACTGCTTTGTTGTGCAGATTTTGCAAAGAGAATTTCCAAGACTCAAGAACATACCGTATGCATAAATGCATTCGCCCGTCTCCATTCCAGCGTGAATCATCTGAATCCATGAAATTCAACGTGATGCCTCCCGAGATGGCTACCCAGTCCTTCCCTGGATCCAACATGCGACCCCCCAGCTCTAACCCGGCCTTCCCTGGAGCTCCTGATGTATGTCATACCCCATGCAATTTGCCTATATTTACATTTACTGACTTTCTCCAGACTTCCCCGTTCGACCTCGACTTCAGCGCACTAGAAAACCCAGACGTCCTAGACAACTTCGACTTTGACACGTTCCTCAACACGGACGCCGACGCCACAGGCTTCGGGTTCGACCCCTTTTTATCCTACTCGGCCGACGGTGTTGAGACAGGAGCCAGAGAACTGTGAACGTGTAAAAGTCTTAACGGTCCTTCAGGTGCTTCACCTCCGATATACCCTTGTTTGTACATAATCTTGCAAAATACTTTGAGCTACATATGATATATCACTGGATATTCTCAATCATGAACCTACTGTTGGTCGAGGTTACTTGATGTAGCCGAGTTCAGAATTGCTATGTATAGGTATCTGTCTGACCCATATGTGGGGAAACTGGTCAATTACAAACGCCCTGTTCATATGTACTAAATCTCCCTCTAGCGCATGGCCGATGGTGATTTTCATCTACATCACGGTGCTGGCTCTATACACTACTTGATGCGATGTGATTAGAGTATGGCACGCCAAAAACTTGGACCGCCGGCTTCAAATTTTACCGACGAGCAGATCCGCGAGATACTGTACCGAAACCGCCAAAAGCAATGGACGCACGCTGCATAGAACCGCGCACTATTTGAAGGGAACGCGCAGCCTGCGCAGCTAAGTCAACCGGCGATCAGTCCATTCCGGCCAACGCCGGCCAGCGTCTGCCTAGTAGATAATGGCTGCCAGGACAACCGCAGATGGCTCCGCAGCTGGCTCCGCAGCATTTGACTGCTAACCCGCCCCAAGCGGGAACCCCGCAGGAGCGAAGCGCGATGCCTCCGCCCTCGGCGCCACCTGTCATAGGACCCGCTGGTCGCGGCCAGCCAACATCCCCCCAGACCGCTAGCAACGCGCTACCAACGGCCAACCAGACTAACAAGCCTGCGCGCAAGGTCAAGAAGGGTCCCAAGAATACTCGCAAGGTTTGTATACTCTCGATGTTTTTGCACTATTTAACTTTTGCTATCTTCGTATGAAGCGACCCAACAAGAAGCAAGTCGCTGCCGCCGCCGCTGCAGTTATTACTCCGTCCACTAAGGCCGTAGAGCCCCCAACACCATCGAGCCTATCATATTCCACCCTCCCCCTAACTCCTTCAAGAACAGAGCCAATAGAGCGAATAGACCTATACAAGCTCAGCCCTCGGCGCTAGCTCCCCAGAGTATGGTCCCGCCTCCTGACCAGGGCCATCAATTCTTCCGGTTCCTGCAGCACAGCCTGTCCCGTAAATCAAGCCACAGCATCCCCTGCCGACTCTTTCATGTGAGGAGAAGGAGCTCCGTGCCGTTGTAGGAGTGCGTCTGACGCTTCCTGTCAACCAGAACCCGACTCCTTCTTTCAGTGCCTCGACTGAGGATCCTGTGAGCTCGCTGCCCACCTTTGACAGCTTCTCAGACCTCGACTCGGACGATGAGCTGAACTGCCTGGTGATATTCCACCCTGCCACTAGTGCTGTGCATATGGCAGACAAGTGTCAGCGTGTCAATGCTGACCGGTAGAGGATGACGGATCCCTCAGCGAGCACAGCCTCGAGGGCACCGATGACTCTGAAACTTTTGGCCCCAGCGGTCTCCAACCCCTGCAATCTACCCCCCAAGCGGCGAACGCAAAGACCCAAATTGGAACCGCGGCCAAAGGTGCTAAGGGTGCTACCGGGAAGCAGACCTCAAAGAAGAGACCCAGCACAGAGGATACAACAGAAGCCCGAGCCACAGCTACACCCCAGAGGAACCAGCCTGTGGCAGCTCCAGGCGCCCAAGGGATGGCCCCCCAGCGGCCAGGTCTCCCTTTCACGCAGGAACATCTTGCACAAATAACTCCTCAACAGCGAGCTCAGTTTGAGACACACATGCAGAGACATCAGTCTCAAAATCGGGGTCAGGTACTCAGCAGAGCTGCCACCGCAGGTTATGGAGGTTTATGATGACATCACCAAGAACGCCCCACCCGCAAAGCCTATGCCTATCTCACCAGAGCAGAAGGCCGCTATGACCAAATTGCCTAAAGGTTTTACGTGCATTTTATATAAGGGATAACTTTTCAGATGCAATATGTTAACTCTGATTTTCTTTGCTTTCGCTCTTAATACTTGAATTCCTGACTGGCTAGGGCCTCCCTTCATCCTCACATTTGTTGTCCTTCAAACTAGCTAGTGTCGCATTAAGACTCCCCTTGTCTATGGAAATAGTGGTTGATGTCTTGAATACCCACAACAGTGAGATAAATATGTCCATAATCTACGTGATATCTTTCCTGATTGAACAAATCTTTAGTAAGAAACGCACCACATTAGCCAAAGGGCATTGAAACAACATAAAAAAACCGCCCATCATTCATAAAGACACCACTTATCCACCTAGGGCGTATAGCTCGGAGGCAGATCAAGACCAGAATCAACTAGGATATCCCCACCAGCATCCGAATTAACATGATAGCGAGGCGGACAGACATCCTGTCGAGCAAGAAGGCTAGGATCTAATCCAGAAATGGTAGACCTAACGAGCCCAGATGCGGATTGCTATCGAAGATTATCAGATGATACAATTCCATGGTCATAATTTAATCAACTTACCCCGTCCTTCGAGCCATAGTTCCTAATAAAAATAGGATCACGATTCCCAGTCCTCCCAACCAATTCATTTCGCTTCCAAATGCCATATTTGAGAACCAGTCCTTGGAAGTCACACCGCTCGATAACGCACTCGGTGACAACGCAATTTGTCAAGGTAGCTCTCTGAAGTTGACTATTTGAGACTGTCGTGTCGGTCACCGCACTTCGCTTTACGGTGCTCTTGTTCTGAATAATTGACTGTATAATTGATGACTGTTGCACCGAGCTTTGGGTTTGGATAGTGCTATTTGTGATATCGCTGCGCTCGACAAGGGCCGCGTCATGGAAATGGGATTTTTGAGCTGCGATCCGGCTCACATCTTCCATCTTCGATAGTACACAGTCGCTGAGTGTTGATCGCTTCACGGAGGAATTGTTGATAGTGCAGTTGGTGAGAGAGCTTCGAGTTATGGTGTTGCCATCCCCGTTGAGAGTGCTGGTTTGGAGATTATTGTTATCCATGATGTCGCTCGGGATCCAAATTTCAGATTCGCAAACGAGATGTGAATAATTTTCTGGGAATTGAGCAAATTATATATGTTCAAAAATATTTTGGGGAAGGTCGGGATTTTGGGCGAGGCTGACTTCGAGCGGTCCGAGGCCGCTCGGCGAGGAAAGCTGTTGCCTACGGTTTTCTATACTCACATGAAAGATCGTTGGAAACATATATTGTACATAGTATTCCACATTTATCTGGTATGGTTGTTCATCTGCCACTAGGTCTCTGTAAGATCACAAACCCAGCATTCGCAGGGCCAGTTATCGTCCTCGGCCATAATAATAATGGGGATACTGAGATGTTTCAAACAGCTTAAGCTGTCGAAATTCGGCCGACTTGCTGCTTTCCATAGGTCCAAATCAAGATACTCCACACCCGCCAAGCTATTCCATTTGATCTTTTCGATGTATGCATCTGGTATGATGCTCTTATGGTATCCCCAGCTAGCTAACTCATCGCGCGGGTCCAGCCATGAGTGCTTGAGATTCTTGGGAAATTTGAGAATGCGTTATATAGTGTTTGGTGAAAGATCGCAGTTGAGCAAAGCAAGGTCTTTGAGAGCTGTCTTTGTAGAAGGCGACCTTGCAGAAAGGGACGCGGGCTCTAAGCATTCAATGGTAGCGCCTTGGATGCGGAGTTTCCCAAGCTGTTCCATGAAGATAATAATCTCATTAGCACCAAGCAACCACCCATCTGGAAAGGGATGATGGTGATTTTCGCATGTGCTGGAGTATCATCTCCGGCAGTTCAAGAGGAAGACTCTCCAAGAGAGAGAGTTGGGAAGCCATGACCGGTAGATTTGGAAATGAGAGAGGTTTGAGAGGAATTGGATTCAATCTTCACTGACAAGAGGGCAAAGAGGAGAGAAGAAGGTTTGATTATCTACAAACAAACAGAAGCCAGCTAAGTCACAAGTGGCTGGTTGATGCCTGTGTTTCCAGGCATCAAGCCAGATGCTCTGTCTCAACAGTATAAGTCCCTAGCTACCCTTTAGCAGATTTAATTAGGACATAGCTCCAGATAGGAAAAAGCATCAGGCTTAGCATGAGCGCTAGTCAGCGATAAAAGGAATAATGACCTCCCTCGATCACTATCATATGCGACACACGCCTTGACCAAGCCCGATACGGACACAAGTGCAACAGGCTATTCTAGCCCTATGAGTTTTCCCGTTGTGGGTGTTCATAAGACCTAGTATTCTTATAGAGTCTTTCCAAATTCAACGGATGCAAATCAGAGCTAATTGGATGAGGCCCTGACGATGTGCGTTGTGGTTATAATTGATATTGCTCAGGCTCGGTGTAATGGAACAGAAACAGAACGTGTTCTTTGTGCTGTCAATTGATGACCCGATGGAGTAAACCGCTAATAAAATGATAGATACTTCAATATCTATAACTGCATATCAATATTGGACTTCATAGTTCAATGTGTAGGGACTGGGAAAACCTGATACAAGAGGAAGACAACGATTGTATAGTAAACTCACATAAATACAAGTCAGGGCCTAATATTGATGCACGTAGACCTTTTAATAGCTAAAAAAAGGAAGCAGAAAGATGGATCAAGGGTACGAATCTACCTACCGCCATGAAGTCCTTTTCTATATGCTTGATGGGGACAAAGAAAGAGTTCTGTCACCTGCAGTCAAGGAAGCAAAGCCTCGCTGCCTTGCTACCTGGATGCATTTGAATTACATACCGACATCAAATACATAAAATCCGCATCTATAAATGGTAATGGAACAAGATACAGCGCATGATTTCAGAATAGCCAACATAGCCGATACGGCGCTACGTGTCCATGCTGGATGCTACCTAGGTAGACCTTATCACACCTTCTTTAACTGGCTGCCTAGAAAACCCCATCGCTCGATAGCCCATGATTTGCAGAGCCTTGGAATAAAGAAATTTATCTCATTTGAGCTGCTGCTTCGCGATTCCTAAAAAGGCCGACTCGCACCAGATTCAGAAAGGGAAACTAACGACAGTTTCCTAGATAACTTGAATTGCTTGAATACCGTTATCTTGGAGTATCGGATCAAAGGAAAACGATGCTCAGATGTACACAGTAGCAACCGGCACAGCTAGCGTGTGCTAAGTTTGTCTCATTTAGCCCCATCGTGGGCAGGGGCCGTGATGGCTGTGATAATTTCAACGCTGTATACCTCAACTAGACCAATTGCCAAATAAATTAGTACGATGAATGTTTGGGTTTATAAACTGTCCATCAGGTCTTCTTCTTTTTCCTTCTTAATCATCTTTCTATCATTCCGGGGTTTCTCTCTCACAATCTTCCCCAGCTACAAATCCCACACAGTCTCGGTTGTCTCCAGTTGTGAATACCATGCCCTCCAACTCCCAAAATGTGGGCATCAAGGCCCTGGAAATTTATTTCCCTAGTCGGGTATGCATGATTCAATGTTCATTCTGCAATTGGAGCCATCGGGAAACTAATATCATTCCTTCTATACAGTACGTGCCACAAAGCGAGCTAGAGACCTATCTCGGGGCCAGTACTGGAAAATTTACCATTGGCCTGGCTCAGCAGAAGATGAGCTTCTGTGATGATCGTGAAGGTATGCAGACAAACTCAAAAGGCCGTATGGTGTACTATATGCTCCATACTAATATGATGTACCCATGTCTATAGATCTCTATTCTATGGCCCTCACGGCAGTCTCGTCCCTGTTGGAAAAGTACCGGATTGACCCAAATACCATTGGCCGCTTGGAAGTGGGAACAGAAACGTTACTCGACAAATCCAAGTCTTGCAAGTCAGTGCTCATGCAACTGTTCGGCGAGAACACGGATATCGAGGGAGTCGATACTTACAATGCCTGCTATGGTGGAACTAATGCCTTGTTAAATGCAATCAACTGGGTCGAATCATCCGCGTGGGATGGTCGCAACGCTATTGTCGTAGCAGGTGACATCGCTCTCTACGATAAGCCCGCCGCGCGTCCTACTGGTGGCGCCGGCTGTGTGGCTATGCTAATTGGCGCCGATGCGCCTCTCGTGCTGGAGCCCTTCCGCGGATCGTATATGAAGCACGTCTACGACTTCTATAAGGGGGACTTCAAATCGGAGTACCCACTTGTTGATGGACAGTACTCTAACACATGTTACCTTGAGGCTTTGGACAACTGCTATCAACGGTATCGTACTAAATCTCTAGCTAAAAGTGGTGGGTTGCCAAGCGGAGATGAAAAGTCCCAGGGGAGCTTCTTGGATACCTTTCAGTATTTCGTCTTTCACGCGCCTAACTGCAAGCTCGTCTCTAAGGCCTACGGTCGTCTGCTGTTCAACGATCTCCGCACAGAGCCCAACCACTTTGATGATATTCCAGCAATGGTCCGCGATGTTGAGTACACTGCGTCTCTGACGGACAAAGAAGTTGAGAAGACTTGTATCGGGTTGACCAAGAAAAGGTTCTCCGAGCGTGTCCAACCATCTATTACTGCACCCACAAATTGTGGGAACATGTATACCGCTAGTATTTACTCAGGGCTGGTGAGCTTGCTGAGTAATTTTCCTAGTGAGGAACTGCAGAACAAGCGCATCGGCATGTTCAGTTACGGCAGTGGCCTGGCTAGCACTCTGTTTAGCTTTCGTGTCACAGGCGATACTTCTGGCATTGCGCAGCAGGTCCAATTGAATGAGCGCTTGGAAGCTCGCACGGCGGTCTCGCCGGAGTTTTATAACGAGGTAGGTTTTTTTCTTTTTTTTTCGATTGCTCATGGAGCATACTATCTACGCAGTTAGTTTCTAACAATGGTAGATGTGCAACCTCCGGGAAACAGCCTATCAGCAGAAGAGCTATACCCCTATGGGAAGCGTCGATAGTCTAGCTCCGGGTACTTACTACCTTGTTCACGTTGACGAGATGTTTCGACGAAGCTATGAAAAAAAGCCGGCCGTCTGAGTGACAGAATTTCACCACCGACTTTGACGTAACTTGATAAGAAATGACGGCCATTCTTTTAGGGGCCTAGAGCTTGTTTAGGTATATTTTCTTAGGTATTTCAAGCTTAGTCCTCAACGAATCAATCCCTCTTTAGATTTCGAATCTGATATTATTATACTTCACATTGCGTGCACCGAAATTGCAAGTGCATAAGTGGATAGGTGGATACTAAGCTTTGGTCGACATCGAAACGTCTACAAATGTGACAGGTATTGTTTCAGTAAAACTCCATTACTATTATATAAATATAAGTCGAAGGTGACTTCGTCCCCTGGAAAAGAATGTACATCCTTAGTGGTTAAGCAGACATATCAAGTCTGTCGTAAAGACAACTCATATATATCCGTTAAAAGTTTCAACAAACGAGACCTATTTCAGATCCGCGCATCCAAGAGCAAGGGTGCCACCCTAGGGATAAGTTAGTCATGGAATGTCCACGGAAGAGTCTGTGTTGGAGATTGTCACTTACCAGGAGATTAGCCTCGGTGCAGCACTGGGGCTTAGTGGGACAGCTGGATTCCTCGTATCCATGGCCTGTGACAAAAATGTTAGAAATCTTCCAATCTTGTAAACATCATATGGGAGTCCAAACATACAGAGAAGACCAATGGATCCAACGATGTTGGCAGCATCAATGCCAAGAGCCAACAGGAGGGGGTCGACAACGGGGTCGAGAGGAGTGGTGAGAGTACCACAGCAGAGGAGAGGACCGACACATTCCGAGGTATCAGAGCGCTTCATGGACAGGTTGGACTCCTGGGGAAGGGCGGACACCATGCCGGCGCCGACAAGAGAGAAGACGGAGAGGATAGAAAGTCTCATTTTGATGGAGTTTCCGAGGTGTTTGAAGAAGAAAAAAGAAGTAGTTGTTGTTCTGATGGAGAGAGGATTGCGATTGTGAATGAAGTCCAGAATTCGTGGAATATCCTGGTCCTTATATAGGTTTCGACAAGATACCCAAGGCATCAATTGCTTCCGTCACAACCCCTATGTCCAACAATTGAATGCCCTTATCATCGGGTTCGGATTGTGTAAACATCCATTTGTGAGATGTAGACGTGAACTCTCCGAGTAGTTCCCATCTCGGTGAACAAGAAGATCTGCAAAACTCTAGATAGCATTTGGCCCCAATGTGAGAGGCCAAGCGAGAGCCTTCGACCTCTAACCGAGGTACAGGGGTGCTGAGGTTAGTTACTGCTACTGGAAGAGTGAACCAGTTCCATTGATTGAATCCGACATAGTTCTTGATGTGGACATCCACGATTCACATGAGTTCCAAGCCGAGCTGTCTTGGCTGTTGATCAGTCTTGGTCCATGCTCAATATCATTGAAAGACTTGCAGTCACTGGCTCGAAGTCAATGCCAAGTCAATGAACAAGTCCAATAGCCAGCGGGGCCAAACCCCGGTTATTTCCTCTCCATCTCTCCGGATCGGGGAGTTCCTTATCAGTGGGCCCGGTTTCCGGCATGATCTACCCTGTGGCATCGAATCAGAACTGCCAAGATGTCGATCCACTGTAAGGAACTGGTAGAGCCCTGTCACCCGATCGACGTATCAACCAGCCGCAGAACTCAATTGATGGACAAAAACCAAGTCTATACTCCGTAGTGGCATCCGCGGTCTCCGCAATCCGAAATTTTATGCAGTTGGCTTGCGATTTGTCATTTCCACCCCCTTCGAGCGCATAATGCGCTAGACCCGGATCCAACCCCGCGAACAAAGCGAGACATTTCGAGATAAGTCTCGCACTGTTGATTGCACGATGTCAAACTAGCTCGCGGGCACCAAGGGGATGGACATTGTGATGGTCCCAAAGTCTTGGTAAACTTCGATCTCGGCGCAGTCAATCTGGATGACCGTTGCTCTTCATTGGATCACTTGAAGTTTTGTACATATCAGCTACCCCTGATTGTCGTCATGGTTCACGACGATCTTGATAAGTGTGTTTGAATGAGTTACGTGAACATAATGGATCCAACATTGGAAGTACCTAGATATCGATGATGTGCCTTGGTTTAGTCTTCCACCTGAATTTTGAGGTCATCAACTCAAATCACCTCTTCTTGGCTTTCAGAGGATTCGATCATGTCAATCATTATCAATTGGATGTGTGAGTAATCAGAAAGATAAGGCATTATCATGACGAGTTGAGAAGTCAGAACTATGAATCATAGTTAACCATGGCTGATATTCTCACCGGCCTGCAATATCCCACGAAAAGTCCCCTGAAACTCAGACATAATCCATCCCAGTCATAACAAAGATGAACAAAGTGACCAGGGCTGAGATGGAAATATGTGGCGGTGCATCTGTGGCGGTGCACTTTGGCCACACCGCCACACCCTCGCGACACAAAAAACTTCCCGCCTCAATTAATCCACACCACATTCCCCGGGGTTATCGATCAACCAACCCCTCTACCTTTTTGATTTTTGAGCAGTTGCCCAGCGCAAATTGCCCATATATCATAATCAAAATGCCTACCACTTCTCTCGCCGACCTGGTGGCCTCCCTCCCCTCGGAGGACACCTGGGGCCCCTCCACCTCTGCCGATAACATGCTTTCGGGTGTGCCTTACGCTCCTTTCTCCAAGGGCGACAAGCTTGGCCGCATGGCCGACTGGACTGCTGAGACCAAGGAGCGTCAGAACCAGCGTCCCCAGTACAACCGTGGTTTCAGAGGTATGTTTCTTTCACCTTTTCTCTGTCCCCACCAACCTCCTCTTTCAATCGAATTGCAATGGCTAACAGTTTAAATAGACCAGCAGGTGTACGGCGCCGGTACCTCCAACCTCTTCACTGTCGCAGCCGCCGAGGACGAGTCCTCCTTCTCCGTCGTTGATAACACTCGCGTCCAGAAGCGCGGTTTCGGCCGTGGTGGTGGCACCGTTTTCCGTGGCCGTGGTGGCCAGCGCGGTGCTGCCAACCAGCGTGGTGGACGTGGTGGCTTCCAGCGTGCTGGACCTAATGTTGGCCGTGGCCAGCAGAGCGGTTACCAATTCAGTGACCGTGGCGGCGGCCGTGGTGGCCGTGGTGGCCGTCGTTTCGGCTGGAGAGACTACGACAAGCCCCAGCGTATTCGTGAGGCCTCTGTCAACATTCGTCCCGACTGGAAGATGCTCGAGGAGGTTGACTTCACCCGTCTGTCCAAGCTGAACCTCGATGCCCCCGAGGGCGAGGACCTCGAGACCTACGGTTTCCTCCACTACTACGACAAGTCCTACGACAAGCCCCCCGTCAAGAACGCCGAGCGCAGAATCCAGGCCCTCGACCGTGCTGCCTACAACGTTACCACCTCCCAGGATCCCGTCATCAACGAGCTCTCCGAGAAGAACGCCGCTACCGTCTTCGCTACCTCCGATATCCTGTCCATGCTGATGTGCGCCACCCGCAGTGTCTACTCCTGGGACATTGTCATCGTCCACCAGGGCGACAAGATCTACTTCGATAAGCGCGACGGTGCCTCCTTCGACATGATCAGCGTCAACGAGAACGCTATCGACGCGCCCCTCGAGGCCGCCGAGGCCGCCGGCAAGCAGGAGCAGATCAACACCCCCAACGCCCTCGCCATGGAGGCCACCATCATCAACCACAACTTCGCCCTGCAGACTCTCATCGAGTCCGAGAAGTCCAAGGTCTCCTTCGCCAAGCCCAACCCCTTCTACGACGAGACCGAGGAGACCGAGCCCCTCGCCTCCAAGGGTTACAAGTACCGTCGCTTCGACATCTCCCTCGAGCGCGACGAGGAGCCCGTCTCCATGGTCGTCCGCACAGAGGTTGACGCCGTCGTGAAGGGCGGCCCCACCGGATCCGAGGACCAGCAGCTCATCATCAAGGCCCTGAACGAGTTCGACCCCAAGGCCCAGGGCTCCGGCGGTGCCCTCGACTGGCGCAGCAAGCTCAACTCCCAGCGTGGTGCCGTCCTCGCTACCGAGATGAAGAACAACAGCGCCAAGCTCGCCCGCTGGACCACCCAGGCTATCCTCGCCAAGGCTGACGGCATGAAGCTCGGCTTCGTGTCCCGTGTCAACCCCCGCTCTGCTGCTGCCCACGTCGTTCTCGGCGTTGCTGGTTACAAGCCCCGCGAGTTCGCTAGCCAGATGAACCTTAACCTCGGAAACGGCTGGGGTATCGTCCGTACTATTGTTGACCGTATCCGTGCTCTCGACTCCGATGAGCCCGCTGAGAAGGTTAAGAAGTACGTTCTCATCAAGGACCCTAACAAGTCTGTCCTGCGTCTGTACAGCGTCCCTGCTACTACTTTCGAGGAGGATGATGAGGAGATTGAGGAGGAGAAGGAGGAGGATGAGAAGTCCGATGAGGCTGATGAGTAGATTTTTTTTTCTGATGACTTATGTTCCTCATTCCATGTGCATACGTACTCGACCCAAAATTTGATGCTTTTATACTCTTCACTAGAGAGTCTGACCAATAATCTATTCATCGTTTCACCATACAATAAACCTCTCACTCTCCCAACGACAATAACCACAGACTTCTTCTGCCTTTGAAAGAAATAGCCTTATATTCTTGCCATGTCGAGTATCACCCGTAGACGAGTGACCAACTTTTTACAACTTTCGGGGGAACACAAGGTCCGTCTTGAGTGCCTTCTCGGTGACTTGATAGGCTTACACGGTTATACGATTTCCAACATCGCTCATTTCACAGCTAGTTTGTATATGATCCTCCTTTTGGACATGGAAACGCGGATATCATTTGTTGATATTTGGTTATATAAACCTACCTAGGCAAGTGCCGTCAGAATGCACCATTAGAAGCAAGTTCGAAGGAAATATAATTAATCGCTCCCAGAGAGCAACGAAAAAGAAAGGGAATATATTTTCCAGGTACCATATCATCTGTACCTGTGGTGATTTTCACTTATATACAACCCTCTCAACGGGAGTATCTCAGACAAAGACAAAGGAAACCAAAAAAGGATAGTAAAGAATCGAAAAAGAATCGAAAAAGAAATAGTTCACAAGCACAATCAAAACCGAAAGGCAGGCAGCAAGCAAAGGCGCCGAGTCACTCCGTGGCAGTAGCCAACACAGACAAAAAAGACAGGATTTTCCAGACATCAAATCATAATCATTTTCGTTGCGTTCGACTCTACTCAACCATACATCGAGTCATCGGCTGTGCCGGACATACTGAGATCGACCTTGGTGCCGAGCACACTGCTCAGACAATCTATCAACTCGAAATCCTCGACCACAGCGCCGAAGCCGTAGCAGCGGACCTTGGTGTTGAGCGTGTCCATAATGATCTTGATGTCGTCGCGTCGCAGCGTTGTGTACAGCTCGTGGTTCTTGAGACATTGCAGCGCCATGATGGGCGTGATTTGTCCTTCTGTCACGAGCTGTCGACTGAGGTTGAGGAGTGTGCTGAGGTTTGCGTGTGGAAGATCCGGTGCCTTGTGCGGGTATGGTTGTTCGTGTGTTGTTTTCGCAATGTAGCTAGGCGGTGGGCATGTTGCCATCAAGGCGTGTCCGGAAAACGGCATGTCTTCGTCGTCAGCTTCTGTGACCGACCGTCGACAGAGGTAGTCCGTGTGTTCGCGGCAGGGACCTTCGAGTCTGTAGGGATGTATTCGTTAGATTCGATATTTGCTATTGGGTCATAATGAGCCTCACGTTAGGATAAAGTCAACCTGCAATTGGGGATCTGTCTCAAAGACACCTCCCCGCGCAGCTGGCATAGGCTGCATAGTATCAACGGGTAGACATGACGAATGATCCATGCTCATCGAATGCTCGCCTACACCCGCGTGGTATACTTGCTGGTGGGAGGCATATCCAATCGCGGGCGCGACCTCGGAGTGATCCATGCCATTGGCGCGGGGGCTCATGCCGGATGAGATCGTCGTTGGAGGGGTTGTGTTGTGGTTGCTGGCAGAGTGGGCAAGAGGGGCACTCTGCGATGCAGTGCTGCTGCCAGTGACAGTGCCAGGGCCCGGGTGGAAGGGCATCATTGGTGGACGCTCCGCCCGGCGACGCTCCAGATCTGCTTCGTATTGAATTCCGTTCGCTGCGAGGATTTCCTTCAGGAGTTCGTTCTCCTCTCGTATCGAATGCATCATCTCTTTGTGTTGTTGAATTGATGTGTTGGCCTCTGCGATTTCGGTGGTGTAGGCTTCCCGTAACCGCGATACCTCAGTCTCCAGTGCTCTCATGTATTGTTCCTTTCGCTCGCGATGTGTCCTGTGTGGATCAGTCCTGCCCGATGGTTATTGTATCCGCGGGTTGTGTACCTCTGGGCCTGACGGTTCAGTTCCTGCCGTCTGGTGAGTGCAGGCTTGCTATCCGGCTTGGGGCCGCGACGTTTGGGTTGTTGACCATCTAGAAAGGCTTAGTTGTGGTCCGATTGAGCCACTAGAGTTAAATCACTCACCTCGCGTGGTCTTCTTCGGCGCATTAGCACTAGGGGCGCTGCCACTGCCGCCTCCTCCAAAAATCTTGAATATTTCGGCTCCGAAGCCTTTGTTCGATGGGGTCTGTGGTTCTTCTACCATGTCCTGCACCGTGCACTCCGGGGCCGTGGGCCGAGCCGGAGAGACATTGGCGCCACAATATCAGCAACGACCATAGAAATGCGATAAAACAGTGGATATCTGCTTGTGGTTGTGGAAATCTTGGGGTGGTCGGGGAGCGAGGGGTCAGCTCTGGATAGCTTCCGGGATGGCGAGAACCGGGGAAACCCGCTGTAATTCCCGGGCCTCAGCCTTCACCTAGTTCACCAGGTTTGCCAGCGCCAACTGCGATCGAAAGACCAGAGTCAATTGCACTCGTGCATTCCAACTTATGGCGATTTGTACGTTTTGTACGTTGTAGAGTTGGATGCTGGATATCCCCCGATCGCGAAACCCAAGCAGATATGGAAAGGAAAGCCTAAAGAGATGCACTCACCAGAATACCCCATGGCATGATCCATTGGGTAAACCCCACCACTGACAGCCATTAGAAGAGTTTTGCGGGACGGGAGAGGCAAGGGAGAAGGTTAAGTCTGGGAATGCGAGAAGGTATGGAGCCCTGGGGAAGTCTGGAGTTTGGAGATTGGAGAGTTCAAGTTATAAAGACGAAGTGGATAAGGCCGATTTTTGTACAACTCCTTTTCTTAGGTCATTTGATTTTATTTTTATAATTTCTTTTCTCTCTGTTCGTATTAACAGATTTTATGCAAATAGAAAAATAATATTAAGGCGTTCGATCTGTCTTAGGGCTCCACTGCACTAAAGAACATAATCAAACGGTCGTGAGACGTGACTTGTAAGTAAATAGACCCAGAATACGGAGTAGGTGGAAATTAGTTGAACTGGGGATAACCTGGTATGAAGGCACGATAAATAGTCTGAAATAGACTGAAATAGACTGAAACAGAGGGGAAATAACCAACACTTTACATACTCGGCGCGTTAATAGAGTCATGAGGACTCAAGGTACATGAGCGGTACCACTTGCCACAGCCATTCCAGCACTACAGAACAGGTACCGCACAGGTACCAGGTACGTGCCGATGTTTAGTGTGATCAGTCGAGTGGGCTGACCAATCATTTCGTCCGGCTCTGGAGACCTCCCAAGTCACATCCAATAGTCTCTCCCATATATTATCGAGATCGGGGATATCCTCACCATTGACAAATACTATGATCCCCGGTCGTCTGCCCTGATCCCACTAGCGTATCGAATATCACAATGGGCAGTCCAATAAAAACGGAAAGATGATCCAGGTCCCCGGCTCGATCCCTGAGTCTCACGAGATCCTAGTGCACATCGCCGCTGCGAGCACCGCACAAGATGATGCACGATATAGGGCCCAAGTTGCCGCTATCCTAGAGTTTCAGTGTGTCTCACGCCAGCCACTGATGGAGGAAAACGAATCTTCAACTCTCACCGATGCAGACAACATGTATCCCTTCTCCGCCGGTGCCGCCGTGCAGTCCCCGGTGCTCTCGACGACTCAACACGAGGCTTCGCCAATATTGCGGGAGGCGCTCCGGCCCGCATACGCGACCTTATCCTCGGATGATCGCTTGCTCCCTGAGAAAGATGGATCGGCTCCACGCAAGCACATCATCTCAAATCATCCTGACTCCCTAGAGAGTCTCATTAGCGTCATCCCAGACTCCCAACCCGGGATCGCCGAACTAGTCCGCGCCGAGCAATCTCGTGCAGAACTATCGTCTCCATCGCAGCTCGCTCCACCTCCCAAAAGACGTCGCACTGCCCCGATCGAGCTCGATCCAGCTCAAGCAGGTTTAATTGCAGACGACTGTGCAACGGACCAGCCCGCTGGATCTCACAGGGTTATCCCCATCGAGAACCAGCACCATGGTCCCCCCACTGGTTTCCCACAAACCCCCATCGAAATAGCCAGCTCAGATCCGGGAAAGGGTCCAGATGGCTCCATGGCTCACCCTACCACTCCCTCACATCACATGCCGACCAACACCCCAACCCCAACCCCTAATCACATCAATCTATCCACTCTCCCTCTAGAAATCCACCCCCCAAGACCCCCAATCTCCACTGCCCCTTTCACTACCCACATAACTCCAACCCTATCCATGCTCGCAGAGCGTCTAAAGCCAGTACGAACATACAAACCATCCACTCAAACCCGCCCCCTAGACCCCCTAGAAAGAGGCTACTGGCTCGTGCACCTCGCTATCGAGAATCCTCAAAACCGAGACCGAGATTCACCCGATCTTCTTCCCGATCCAGACTCAAACCCCAAGTCTGAAACCACTAATCACATTCAAACTTCAACTACAAAGCCAACCCCAAACCCAAACCCAAAGCTAGAAGAGAACACACAAACCTGGCCCTCCCCGCTCTTCCACGCCTTCTGGTCTTTCCTTTCGGACTTCGTAGGCAAGGACGGTCGTGCAGGATGGGGCGTCTGGTGCATTCTCGAAGCTGCGGCGCCAGCTCCGTCAACCCTCTCGCGTGACACGCACGTCTCTCTCAAAGTCTATGCGTGGGGTGAGGTCGCTATGCACGTCTACCTTTTGCTATTCTTGGCTAGTGAGCGGCAGATTCGTGGGATGGGTGTTCAGTGGCGGGATTCGCGCGAGGAGGTTGTTATTCAGATGCCGTAGGACACGGTGATTGGTTAGGAAGTGTGTTTGGTCTGGAAATTTGGGGATTGGGGAGGGCGTCTTGAATATTTAGTTGGGAATTGTAAACTTATAACATCGATACCCCCTTACGCATTGCATTGCAATAATGTCATTTGATACTTTTTGAGTCTTCAATTTGATATTTTGATAGAAGGGTTATTGTACATGCTGGAAAAGATGAAGAAAAAGAAATTCCGTTGGGGATGATGATAAACAGCAAGGGAAATAAAAAAAGATAGAAGCCATGTTTTCGCGCGCAGAGATCAATGGAAATGATTGGATTCAATAAATGAGCAAGTTGGAGTCAGCGATTCTCCGACGGTCCCTCCGATGCGCCAGGTCGCCAATTGGAGGAAAGAAAGAAAAAAAAAAAGAATAAGAGAAAACAGAGAGAGAAATTGTGATCGAATCAGCAGATGCAACTAGTACTGCAATTCACCACTGCCAGATGCGTCGACTGCATCCAGATCCTCGTAGCTTTTCAGGCTGCGACCCTGGACGGCTTCGCGCGGCGCCATAGGACCTCCGCTGGAAGAGTCTGGGAAGGGGTTGCCAGCGGCCATGCTAGCTGCAGGGTGGCCAGCTGGAACACTGACACCAGGGGGTGGGAGGCGACCACCACCATACATGCCTGGCATGCCGCGAGGAGGGCTTAGTCGGCCGTTGCCGTTGAATCGACGACGGTCGTACGGACCGGGTCGGTTGTTGCGGTTCTGGCCGCGGCGCATAGGTCCGGGTTGATGCAGACCGCCGTCGTGTCCCATCGCGTTTCCACTCCAACCGCCTGCGTGTGCACCCATCATGCCGGGGACTCCATTTAGGGGGAAGGTAGGCATGTTTCCATTGGGGGCGTAGGGCAAACTGGCAAGGCTGAATCCACGAGGAGTGCCGGTGTGGCCTTGTCCGGAGCCAAGGGGGAAGTGACCGTTGCTGTTAGCATCGGATCGGGATGGGGCAATGCGTGCTGGGTCCAAGACATAGGCATTCACTAATGCAAGCTGTTATAATTGTTAATACTAGGAGTTCTTGTTGGATGGTTTGCACACTTACATCGTTCTTGATTCCCTCAAACCACTCTCCATGGCGCTTTTCGACGTGCTTGCGCCAGAATGCTTCGGCCTTGAAAAGCTTGGTACATTCAGGCGCCTTGCACCGGTACTTGGAGTCGTCTTCTTGCTTCATATACTTCAAAAGTTCATCCTCAATCGCCTGGTCAACGGGCTTACCGCCGAGCTTGCTAAGATCGACATTCTCCGGCTCCAGGACCTGGAGCAACTTGTCTTCAAAGGTCTTCACCCAGTTAAAAGCACGTTGCAGTTGCTGCTCAGACTTGGAACCATGGCGCTGTCCGCGCTTTTCCTGGATAGGCGAAGATAGGTCTTCACCCTCCTCGCTAGGTTCCTTCTTCTTGGCCGGGAACGGCTGGCCAAGAGCACTAGCTCGGGCCACTTCCTTGGCCTGGCTGGAAAGTCCGGTACGTGGACGACGAAGGTGTCCACCAGGGCACTTGCGGCCAAGCTCATGGACCGAGTCACTTTCAAAGACACAGAAGAAGCAGAAATTGTAGACCCGGCGCAGGTATTCAACTACCAAGTCCAGCTTCTTCTTCTTAACTGCAAGTTCCTCATCATCGACGTCTTCTTCTTCGGGAATTTCCTTCTCTTCCCCTTCTTCAATCTCCCCTTCGTCCCCTTCATCGCTATATCCATTTCTCTGCTTCTTCGCACTAACTGGTCCCGTAGCAGGGGGCTGGAGCTCTCCCTTGCCGCGCAGGTCATCAACATACTCCTCGATCTTAGTGAAACCATCCACGGTGACATTCATCTCAGAGTCCAACTTGGAAGTCAAACGTTTGGCCAGCTCGAGATCACGATCAATTCGCTCAGGTGCAGAGAAGAGATCCCAGAGAGCCTTCTTGCGCGGCTGGGCAGGGGGAACATGGACTCCGACGTGGCAAACAAAGTCACCATGGACGGCATCATGGATAGTCTTGTCATTAACAGCCTCGAGAGCTTTCTCGGCAGGGCTAGTTGTGACACCACCGTTGGCACCTCCATCTTGGTCCATATTTTCAAATTCTTCATCGCGTCCATCTCCGCGCTCCACTGTGCTGGTGTTTGCTGAAGGATGCAGCATGATCCATCCCATGCGATGGAACTTCTTGGAGGGGTTCGGATCACTCAGGCTGAGGCCCTTGAAACCTCCATCTTCCTCGCCGAGATGCTCCTTGCAGAACTCCTCGATCTTGCTGCGGCTGACGTTTGGTGCAAGGGTTTTTATAAGGAGTGCAGGCTGGGCAAGAGCTTCATCACGAAGGTCTCCGCCACGGACTGGAAGTAGGTCAAGTACTCCCATGGTCTCGGCGGTAGCGGTGGTCTCGCCTTCCTCCTTTTCAACCACACCGCCGGCACCATCGCTATCGCTCTTGTATATGCCTTCAAGGGTAAAGTCCCTGAAAAGGTTGTTATCAATATCATGCTCCCATTGTTCGTATGCACCTTGTCGAACCTCCATGAGGCGGGTACGAAGAGGATCTCTGACTTCAGGAACATAGCGTTCTTTGAACCATTCCTCGTTCCGGTGCTGCTGGACGAACAGCCTAGCCAGTCGAATTTGCAGATCAACCTTGTATGTGTCATAAGCTGCCTGGATTTGCGCGCGTTCCTTTTCACGATCTTCGCGTGCTTCGCGTTCGCCCTTGACGCGACGACCACCGTTCTTGGCGCGCTCTTTCTCCTCATTCACGGATTCCTCCAATCTCCACCACTCAGCGAACCAATTGAATCCGACTTGGAAATCAAGTGTAAGAGGGTTGGGCATGGGGTTGGTCGGAATGGGGCGCTTGCCACCACCACTGCTGTCTTGTCCGGGCACATAGCGGTCGATGTTTGCCACAGTTGGCGAGGGGGCACGTCGGCGGTCCTCGCGCTCTCGGGCAGCATGCTCCCGAGAGTTGTTGTAAAAGTCCTCGCGGTGAGAACGACGCTCCGAAGGCTCATACCGGTCAATCACGGGCGAGCGGGAGCGCGGGCGTGCACGTCGTCGATCTTGAGAGGCTGGTCAAGAGTCAATTTCGGCCATCTCTCTATATTAATATTCGATGATCAACTTACCGGGCGACCGACGTCTGTATGATTCCCCCGTGGCTCGTCCCGTAAAAGAATCTGACTCGCGGCTCCTTCCGGGAGATCCATAACCATCGTAGGAATCCATTGTTCTAAACCTTCTGATTGGTATATTCTCTTCGCTGCGATCAAGATATCGATATATCCAAGGACTCAGCCCAGGTGGATAAAGTGCAGCGGAACAGTCTGCGTTGATCGATCAGGGAGTCGGGAACCGCAGGGTGAGCTAAGATTTGGTATCGTCAACATCAGACCAAGCAACTTCATAGAGCGAAATAGCGACGGTGGCGGCTGGGAAGTTCACGATGAATAACAGAGGCAGGGGTTTAGGGAAAATAGAGAGACAAGAACACACTGCTGCTGGCGACATGTTGGCCCCGGAACTTGGCAGGGGTTGGAACATGTTTGCAGCAGGTGATTTCGGATAGCAAAGAGAAGTTATGAAGAAGGCTGCTGGCAAGAGCCAATGCTGTTATGCATATACGGAGTCATAGCCCACAGTATCCAGCAATGCGCAGCTGGCGCCACGGCTTAGGAAGAAAAGAAGATGAAGCAGGGGAATGGAAAAGCAGGGTCAGAGGAGAGACTGATAGAAAGAGAAAGGGCAAGGGACAAAGCCAAAGAATGAACAGAAAGCGAATTGGAGAAAGAAGAGGGCCACCTACAAGAAGCCTCGAGCGAAACGCGACAGTTGGCGATAAAGGGAAGAGGCCGAGGAGGCGGACGAAGCTGGAGAGAGCTGGGCGCTTAGCCGAAAAGGGTATAGCGGCACGGGGATGACTGACATCCGCTGATTGGCGGATTATCAGGAACAAGGCCGAATGACAATTATCTGCCCTAACTTGGCAAGTCGACTCTATAATTTATTAAGTCCGGAATAAAATGAGAAGAGGAAAGGAGAAGAGAGGTTGACTCAAATGGAAAAGAAACGTGAGTTCGCGTTAGACCCCAATACGAACGAAGTATAACATCCCGTAACAACCAGGAGGCCCGGATATTTCAATCGTGTCGATGATTTACTTCGCGGATCGATAATTCAGTTCATGGAAGACTGCTTCGGTGTTGTGCGACTTATATCCAATCAATGGCCTATCAGCCTTTTTAGCTTCTCTAAGCCCCCTCAATCATTCATGTCAGTCGCCAGGTCACTTTCCGCTTGACTACATAACTAGCGCCGGCAAACGAAGTGATACATCCATACATGGGTTCCTAGGGTACGGAGTAATCAAAATATGGCACTTTTTTTGGCTTGTTCTTTGGGGATTGTGTCTGGACATATTATATACGGACTAGTCTATGTAAAGAGCCCCATTGCGATGTCAATATATCAAAAAAGCCACTTCTGTTATGGTTCTAAGCAATCCCCAGACTTCTCGTTATAGATTGGCCAAGGGCTTGTATTCTTTATAGCGAAGCTAATTTTGGAAAACAAATCCTGAGACTTTCAATATTGGAAGAATATGCGTTTTAGAGACTCAGGGCCTATTGGCTTAGTCGTTACCAAACAAAGAAGGTCAGTTTCACCGGTGTCAACGCCCCCTCATCAGTCAACCGACATACTACTTAACGGTTTCGATAGAAAACACAGTTGTATAGGGATTTTGAGTGTGGTAGCCAATCACATGTTGAACTGCACCGATCTCAATGCTCAACAAGAATGGGAAAAAGCGTTGACAGGAGACACAATGCGGTAATATATACTATGTATAAGTATAAATTCCCTCATTCTTGACAGATGACACGTCCAAAGGTAAGCAAGAAAAAGGAAACACCGTTGTGAGAACTCAAATTTTCCCACAGGTCTTACACAAAGCACAATATTGATAGACCAATGCTGACCGCTGATTGGTTTAC